CCACCCTCCCCCGGGATCCGAGATCCTCTAATTGAGATCAAAGGGATGCCCGTGGTGCGGCGCAGGCAGGGCAGGAGCGGCACGGTGGCGACTGTCGCCTCCTTGTGGCCGTGTGAAGAAACTCCCACAAAGACGAAGGAAAGTTCTTAATTTAAGGAACAAAAAGCTCCTCATGATGATTCTCTCTGGGACCTTTAGAGAGTTGAATTTACACTGACTGAGCTTCAAGAGGCTTTGGCTTCATACAAACTGTGAAAGAAAACTTAAAGAATGTCAAAAACGATCCCTCCCTCCCTCTCCGTCTCTGAGAGGTTTGAAAAGTTTAGCAGCCTGGGCGACACAGGAATGACACGGGTATTTAAAAGAAAACCCCATTAGAGTTTCTCTTTATTTAATTCTTTGGCAAAAATCTGAAGCACTGTCACTACGCTTGGAAAGAGGCTTTACAGACAAGCGAATAAATAGAATCCACCTCACACCGTCTGAAATCCTTGAACAGGTGGCTTAACACGAGGGAAAGGTTCGTAGGCGTTTGCTCTGTCACACAGAGTTAATGCCTCCTGAATGGCGCCGCTGTAACGTTCCCCAAACCGATGAATTCATGTGAACTTGAGACTAGAATGCCTTTCAAACTAGAGCCACGTGCCGCTGCCCCGGTCTATAAAAAAAAGAAAAGTGAAGTTGTTCAGTGAGCTTTTCAAAAGAGCTTTTCTTTTTCTAAATGTTTTGGTTGAATTCACATTATTGAAGCTCTGCTAAGTGTTTTTTTTTTTTTCTTATATTCACAAAAGGTTCCAGTGGCTGAGCGGCGGCTGAAAGCCTCAGTGTCCAACCAGCGCAGGATTAAGGTCGGGGGGGGGGGGGGGGGGGGGAACTAGTTCATATGAAGGTCCCGTTATTGACTGATCGCTTGTACCTGACAGATACAAAGCTTTGACATCAGAAAGTGTGTGTGTGTGTGTATGTGGGGGGGTGAATAAAAGATCTATATTGATGTAAATTTTACCAAAAAAAAAAAGATTTATTAATGTTATATCATATAATAAGTGGGTGAGGTGGGTGAGGTGGGTGAGGTGTCCTCGTCACACTGCCACAGGAGAAAACATAACGCCTCCTTTTCTTTATGATCCAACAAGTATTTTTGTAAACATCCTCTTGTTACTAGGTGCTAATTGGAGTCATGGTTAGATAAAAGCAAAGAAACGGTTGTGAGGCTCTCATCGCCATGGCTACCTGCCTCACTTGGCTTTAATTACTGCGGCAATTTGGGCTTTTAAATTTTTCACTTCAAAGAGTGACCTTTTCTTTCAGAACGCCAGGTGAGCCTCCCGCGTTTTATTTACTTTCTGCCTTTATTTGGAGCCAAGGGTAAAATTTATACATTTCCCACAATGCAACAAAAAGCACCGCAAATCAACCCGTGCGATGCCTTAACATTTAAAGTATGTGCATTCATAAGTGTCTGAAATGTTCCCTATAGAGTAAACGACTTATCTGCTTATCCTGCGATGGAGCCAATCCCAGCTGACCTGCAGGTATTTGGACTGTGGGAGGAAGCCGGCGGCAAACTCCACACAGAAAGACTGGGTTCAAACCAAGCGGCAACCTGCTGCCAACAGGGAAGTAACAAAAGCTGCAGTTCCTCTAATGGCCACTAGAGTCTGGCTCCAACAGTGAGTCAGTCCCCATAGACTCCCATGTTAAAATGTCCAACTTTACAGCAGAAATAAACATGTTTACAGCCTGGTACAAAAACTGTTTTGGTCTCTAGAGCTAATTGCCTCCTTCATGACACCTGTTTATGTAGCTCACCTGTTTACATTTTATTTGGGACTAAACTTATGCATAATTGAGGGCGTGGCCTCTTTGAGTGACAGGCGGGTGAGTGTTTGATTGCCACAAACCAAAGTCTCGGCTCGACGCACCTCCTCTTTGCCCAATTTTGGATTAGCCGGGAGTGAGGGGCGGAGTGAGGCACTGCCAAGATGGCGACGGCGGAGCAGCTCACTCTGAGCTTCAAAACCGCTCTTCAAAAACCTGTGGGTGACGTAACGGAGGCTACGTCCATCTTGCAAGTGGGCTGACAAATAGTACAATTTCTTTTTTTTTTTAAATGTACATTATATTTTTAAATGTTTTAAAACAAAATGACCTTTAAAAACATTAACTGAAGTCGTTTTATTTGGCCTCGGTATCGTTACGGCGGCCGATGTGGGCTGCCAACATTTTTCAAGCGGGCCAGTGATGTAGAAGATGAAAAGAATGAACACACACATCAAAACAATCGTAGGAATCGCAGGTGAAGTCAGCTGTTACTATTAAACCTGTGTTAATATACAGTGTTATTACAGCACGGCGCAGCGTTCGCACCAGTGAAGGAAAATTCCTGAGCAAGAATTTTTTATTTTTTTTCCTGGCCTCCCTGATCCAACACGTTCCCACCCACACACAGGCATTTCAACCTTTTTAAACCTGTTGCAAAGCTCTTGTCTACTGTTGAGAGAAAACAGGTCAGCGTGGCAGCAAGTGATTGAAGTCGGCGGCTCACACAGCCACAGAGCCAATCACAGAGAAGAGATGGGGGGGGGGGGGGGGGGGGTGACCTGATTTCTTCACTGTTAAAATAAATAAGAGATAAATACTATTAAGGTGAAATGAAATTTTATTGTCAAAACAAATCAATATAGAGTTTAGTAGTAAATAGAAGAATGAATAACAACTTTCTTTCTTTAACAATAACACAGACGACCAGTTATCTGTTCTGATTGGTTGACAACAGCTGGTTATTGTGTTTTTTCTAATCATCCAGTCTGACATGAGCTGTGGTTGTGTTGTCACCACACCGATCGATCCATCATCTAAATTACAATCGTTCCTCCAAAAGCAACTTTGAACTTGTATTAATTAGTTTGAATTTGTGATTCAGGTTTTTTTTTCTGTGACAAAACCACAGATATACGATATATATGATTTTTAAATAAATGCTTTTAGCAACAGTGATTTGAGTGACATGTTTATTTAATTCAAACAGAAAGGGTTGATTGGCTTGTTGATGTTTACGTGGAGCCGAGAGGCTGCAGCAGATTTATTATCTTGCTGTGTTCCCCTTTCATCCTGTATCACACGGACAGATGTGAGGACTGAACAGCTGAAAGGTTTCCAGGTAAAGTGAAGACACACACACACACACACACACACACACACACACACACACACACACACACACACACACACACACACACACCTCACAGCCAGCCGTTGGAGGAGAAGTCCCGCCTCAGCTGCTGGGTTTCGGCCTCTGTGAGCGGTTGCAGAGGTGATCGACAGGCGCCGCCGTGGAAACCGAACCACTCCATGGCCTGCTTGAGGGCGGGAACTCCCAACTTCCTGGTCACCTAGCAACACAGAGCTCCAGTCAGTCTCTATACACACACACACACACACACATGCACGCACTCCTTTCCAACAGGAACTGCAGTGTGGTTTCAAAGCTTTATCAATACCGACGCCTAAAATCAGACAGGTGTAGTGATCGATATCCGGCTGCTGAGCTGCATCTGATATCAGAGTGACGCCGGACTCTCATGATGCAGCGTGTGGAGGCGGTAGTGTGGTGGTAGGCTGACGCCGTCAGGGCAGTGACATTTCACACGCTCTAACAGACACGTTTGGAGCCTGGGGCAAAAATATTCAGCGCCGCTTTCTTAACTCTGAGGTGTCATGAAGTGCAAACTCTCAACGCCGTCTGGTTCAGTGTCGTTACTGTCGAAGTTCACTCAGGGCTCGACACCAAAACACAAACACGCCGTTTTTATGCTGAAGAAAAAGTTCAGTTTCATTACAACATCCGCTAGGTAAAAGTTTGAACCACTGCTCTGCTTTAAATAGTCCCATTGTGAGTTTTTACTTTTTGTGATATTCATTATTTTGTCACTGCGGAAATGTAGTTTGTAGTTGTAGTTGTGTGTGTGTGTGTGTGTGTGTGTGTGTGTGTGTGTGTGTGTGTTGGGAGGGAGTTGTTGTCAACTTAATTAGTTTTTTTTTTCCATCAAATTAGTCAAAACTCAATTTGAATTTTTTTAAAAAACTGACCTTAGAAGACGTTCACTGTTTTGAATTAATTAAAAAAGTTAATTTAAATGAGTTTCACTTTTTGTGGATTGAATCATCAGCAGCTGATGTGAGAGGGAGGTTGGCTGCTTTCTGGGCAGACTGGACTTTATCCAAACATTTCTGAGAGCTAAACAGTGACATCATCTGTTGAGTTCAATTACAAATTATCTACAAATACAACTGATGAACCAAAATCTTTCAGCTTTCAAACCTCAAGAGCAAAGAGACAATTTAGAAAAAAACCTTGTATATGATATATAAGGTGAGGAGGTGAGACCTCTACTGAGCCAGCAAGAAGCATGACGACTGTGATGCTCCGTTCACTGACCTACCAAAGACAACTATTGCTAAACTACAGATTACCCACAATGCCGCTGCCAGGGTTTTAACAAAAACTAAAATTTCTACGCAGCCTACACTGGCTCCCTGTATCTTATAGAATTGATTTTAAAGTTCTTCTTTTAGTTTTTAAAACACTTAAAACACTGAACGGCCTCGCCCCCTCTTATACCACAGACTCCTCCCACAACTTGTTCCCTGGGTTGCCACGGAAACCTCTGGGGATGTTAGTTTTAGGGTTAGGGTTATATCAACATATCAGACTCACTTTGTAACAGAGCTCATAACTAACAGCTTACTTTATCTAAACATTATTTTATTAAATTTTATTTTATAAAATATAAATCACAATAACATTGTTTTATAAGTGCTATTTTATAGTAACATTAACTGTTAATGCTTTTTAAAATAATTTTCTTTTCTTTTTTTAAGCTTCTTTCATTCATATAGTAAATGAGAAAAATTTTCTTTTTCCACTCATTTTCTTTTGTTTTCAGCTCAAAAGTTTCTTCAGTCCTTTCACTAAAACAAACTGTGGTATGTTTGCTCAGACAATCAGTGAAAAGATTTCAGCTCTGCCTCTCGAACGCCTCAGAAAGCCTCCAGTCTGTTGCTGTTTGTTGGAGCTTGTGAGTGTGTGAGCGGTGGATAAAAGCGTCCACCGTGCAAGCAGATGGTACTCACGGCGGCGTTGGGCTCGATGAGGCGCTGCTGCAGGACTCTGGCTTCCTCCCAGCAACCGGACACACACAGACGCTCCAGCTCACACAGCTCCCGGCCCAGCACGTTAGCCAGCGCGCACACGCCGCCGACTGCACCTAGAAACACACAGCACGGACCAGTGAGAGCGGAACGATCAGTTATAACTGACACATCTTGATTTGCTTTTGACCTTTTGAACTTTCATTGCTTGTCGTATCATTTGTCTAAATCAAAAGGGAGAAGGAGAAATAGAAACATGCAGAAGCTGAAGCCAAAATATTTCTATGTTGAATAGAACTGTCATGTCGACCTTAATCAGTTGCCTGAATGTGTTGGGAAAAAGAGCTTTATCTGTGAGAAATGGACCTGCCAACATTAGATCTCTCTGGTTTTCTGTTCTTATAAAGTAGCGGCTCACAAACAATCTGAGGGGTCACAAGATTATTGATAAAAAATCTGATTACACAGAATTAATGTGAACTTTTTTTCTATTTGTAAGTTTTCTCTGCTGCCGAACGTGGTTTCTTGCGGGGAGCGGGAGGTGGTGATTGTCGCTTGACAAGAGCTTCAGCCATTGCTGATGCGGAAAGTGAGGAGATGGGCCGGGGCTAGCTGGTTAGCATGCTAACTTCAGTAGAAGAAAAGAAGCGATAGAGTCTAGACTTAACACTGGCGTTGCTTTCCACCTCTGGACACAGCTGTTGGTGAGTAAAGGAATGAAGTTTGATGCTGAAGTCACAAGGTTTCTTCTAGACTGGTAAATGAACAGCTGCTAATGCTAATGCTAGCTATGTAGCGATAGCAAATCTTACAAACAGCTCCTTTAAATAGTGGGTACTGTCGCTACTTCATGCCTCTGAAAATCCTTCAAATGAAATAAACAAAAGAAAGAAAAATCATCCTGCGTTTGGCCTGTTCACAGCTCACAATTCTACCAAACCCACGTTCACAAAAAAGAAAAACAATACATATTAAGGTAGAAATTCTACTTTTATTTTTAAGCTTTGTCTCTTTACACACTCAAACGTGTTTGTGTAAGTAAACAGCCAATCACCAGCATTGTTAGATCTCCATTGTGAGCTTGCTGAATGCTGATTGGCTCATCGACGCTGATGAGATTTACTCATTTACTTCTTAGGTTTCCAATGATGAGACATTTTTTTGGATCCTCGAACCAGTTCGGCTGGTCTATAAAAGTATAGAAACCTAACTTGCAGGATTTCTGGGTATTGAAGTTCGGATTTCTGCAGACAAGCCAAGAACAGTTTGTCGCTCAAAGTCGGTTCAATTTGGTGTCTTATTGAGGAAGGCTGCGGGAGGTGGACTGAAAGATCACATGTTCTGTCAGCTTACTGCGAGCAGTCACTCAACTCGGCCAACAGTATGTTTAGAATCTTAAATGTACCATTCATCAATCATGACGCGTGCGCTAAAACATTAGCATGCGTCACAGCAAAGTGCAAGAAGCACATGAGCTGCCCGAGAGGTCGGAGAGTGTTCAAACCACAGGGAAGGAGTGAGGTGTGTTTTCAGCTGAAAATACTGTATATTCCCGTTAAATAAAGCCATCCATCACTCTCCTGGTTTTATATCTCAGTTGTGAACACACAGACACAGATGATTTACTGTCAGCATACAGTATTTCTGAGATAGAAGCTTTTCTCCATCCTGCTCTTTTTCTTCCCTGACAGATCAGTAGGCAGATGCTTGTTTTTTTCTAAATTTTATTTACAGACCTAGATACACAGACATCTTCCCAGGCAACGAGATATCATGGCCTTTCAGTGTGACATCTCATTGCATGTCTGGTGGGGGAGAGAAGCAGAGAAGCAGCAGCCTCCGTCCGTGGCCTTGGAGTTGTTGTTGTTGTTGTTGTTGTTGTTGTGGATAGACGAGCCGGAGGCTGATGGGCAAATTCTCTGTCTGATTTATGTTTCTGTGGCCTGCCGATGCTCAGATCACACGGCTGACAGCAGCTTACCTAACGCCGCTGACTGACAGACGAGCCGCCGCCCCGCCTCCTCGCTGTGAACAGAGACACTATAAGGCTAGACTGAGACAGAGGGAGGCGAAGTACGGCTCAACATGTCCAGGAAAGAGTGGAAGAAAGGCTGCGATTTCCAGGCGAGAACTGACGTGAGCCGTTAAAAAACACATGAAGATAAATGCGGACTATTTTTGATTGATAAGTTATTCTGAGGTCTATCGGATACATCTTTGAAGAAGGTACTGATAACAACATTTGGTCTAAGGAGAACCATATTTCTGATGGATCTCTGCCGAGTATCTTATTGTATTTTCTAACAGGGATTCTTTATAAAAATAACCACAGTAACAATAAAGACATGAATCCAGTCTCTGATTCCATATACTGCATGTAAGGCTGCAACTAGCGATTGTTTTCATCATCGATTACCCTGCTGGTTATTTTCCAGATTAATCACTTTGCCTATAAAAGCATCAGAAAACAGTGAAAATGCCCATGACAACATCCAGGAGCCAAATTCAAACAGTTCAATCTCCCAAATCTTCAGTTTTCTTTAATGTAAGATCTAAAAAAGGCAAGAGACAAGAGGTTATAATACGTCCTCGGAGCAGCACTACGTCTTCAGGGCAGATTGAAGGCTACAGTGACTCGGTATCGGAAAAATGACGAGACGGGCTGGGGCTAGCTGGTTAGTGTGCTAACTAAGGGACAACTGTTGGTGAGTAAAGGAAAGGAGTTTGATGCTGAACTCACAACATTTCTTCTAGAACGGTAAGTAAACAGCTGCTAATGCTAATGTTAGCTATCTAGCAATGGCAAAAGTTACAAATAGCTCTTTTAAAGACAAAGACTGTGCTGTGAGTTCAGCTGTATTTACTTATAAAATGATGGCCCAGAGAGAAAGTTTGATTGACTCACTTTTGGAGCCAGCCTCAAGTGGTCATTTGAGGAACTGCAGTTTTTTAGCACTTCTGTGTTAGCTTAATTTTTCAGCCATGGAGGTTTGCCACTTGGAAGCAACAGAATATCTTTCTGTTTTAGCCTCTCACAGAGCACATGGCCCCCGTCTGGGTAACAAGCGACTGCTCTCTGCCACTTCGTATAATTTGACTTAATTGTACCTTGTGTAGTAATAATAATAATGATAATAATAATAATAACATCGGCAGCTGACAACACATCAGCTTCAGTCTGAAAACTTTCCTCCTGTCGACCCCGCACAGCTTCCATCTTTGCTTTCTTTTACGCAATCTATACTTTTCCATCAAAGCTTTTGACTGACAGGTAGAATGCCCGCCCCATTTTGGACAATTTGGACATCAAAACTTAACTTCCACACATACTCACAGCATGGACACATTATCATATCAATCACTCTGCATTACCTAGCTCTGCATTAGCTGACACACACATACAGCCAATTACTCCCATATTGCAGTTATGGAGATGTGAGTATGTCAGGGAGCAAAGATCAGAGAGCTGGGGGATTCTGTGTGTGTGTGTGCAGGTGCAGGTGTAGGTGTGTGCATTTTGGCTGGTCCTCACATCTTCAAAGGGCTGTTTGAGGGCTACGACGTGGCACAGTTTAGGTTAGGGTTGGGTTTAGGTATTTATTTGTGACTGTTAAGGTTTGGGTAAGGGGCTGGGGAATGCAATATTTCAATAAGTGTCCTCTCAGCTATAGGAAGACAAGTATGTGTGTGTGTGTGTGTGTGTGTGACAGACAGTGTGTTTGACAGGGCTGGCAGTGGGAGAATATGACTCATTAGGTCCCTGAGCATCATATTGATGCCTATCCCCTAATGTGTTATCTAATCCAAGCTTACAGTCCACTGTACGTGACCGACATGCCGAGAAGGCAGAAGAAAACTCTTCATAACGCTGCTGCGTGTTTTATGATCTACTGCGACTTCAAATGACAGATCACACGCTGCTGCGCGGGATGAGAAAACTCTTAACTCAGGGTGACGTAAATACAAAACGGTCGAGTTAAAAATACTGCAGGTGTCTTTAATTTCTGAAAAACTTTCAAGATGAGCACAGGTGACGTACAAATATTAAGATGCTGTAATGTGATGTGGTTGTGATGTTCGGATGTAGGACAAATGGTGCTTGCCTTTAACAACTCCTGAGAAAAACATCTGGATCTTAAGACGCTTGATGCTCCACTTTCTTTTAACCATCAGAGACTTTGAGTTTCTGCTGTTTGGTGCTGGACAGGAAACATTTGTCTTATCAGAGTTTGTTTTTTTGGGAAACAGCTGCCAACAGTTTGAAACTCAAGAGACTAAACTTTACGGCACAGACAGAGATCCTGCCTCATTCTAAGAAAATCTCCTTTGTGTTTTCTCACAGATGTTTTCTTTAGCCAGAATCATGATGCTAGTAGTTGGTTCCAGTTCTGTTGCTAGTAGCAAACGCTGACAGATATATTTTATCTACACCTCAAGTCCTCTCGCTGAAGCGTTACCTGTAGGTAATGTTTATTACAGCTGTTTGATGGTTTGCAAGTTTAGTTTTTCAGTTCAATCAACATCTAACCAAGCCGGCTGTTAAACTAGCTGCCTGAGGCTAATGCGTTGCTAATACAATAAAGGATATAATAACTGTCAGATTGATACCGCTCTCATGTCTGTACATGTTGACATGCAGCTGGAGTCTGTTAGCTTAGCTCAGCATAAAGACTGGAAACAGGTGAGCTGTCGTTTTTTTACACTCTGACGTTTGAATGAATCAAACAGACGAGATTGTTGATGAGTTAAAAATGAGATTTAGAGTTGCCATGAGGGAAAATATCCCTATGAGGGGTAACCTTTGTTTTACCTCAACATTGAACACATTCAACAGCGTTTGCCTCTTTCTTGTTGTGGCAATGAACCTATAAGCAGAGACTGTTTCGTTGTACTCATCGTTTAGACTCATGCATCCACTGCTTTTCATTACACAAATGGAAAATCTCCTCAAACGCAGCACTAAGGAGAATTGTTAACGCTCAACACACTTTCAACTGCAGACGCAATTATCACATAACTTCAGCAAATTACTTAAAGTTGACTAATTATCCTCCGTGATAGATTTCATATCTGGAGTAATTTCTATGCTGTTGCTAATTGGTTTTTGAAGTGAAATGAAATGAAGCCATAAGATCTTTCCTGAGAGGGAAGAAATCAATCTAAAAAAAAAAAAAAAAAAAGAAAAGAAAAAGATTCTTCTTTTTCTGGAAAATGGTCAACATCAATGTAAAATGTGAGACGCGTTTACATGCATCCTGTGCAGCTCAATATCAGGATGATGTCCTCAAATTTTGCAGAGTCAGTAGATAGTGACACACGATCCCTTCAGAGCGCTCCTCTACAGTCTATGTGAATCACGAGGGAAATCTGAGACAACGACAGGAAGTGACCACGGAGTACAAGGGGTTTATGGGAGGAAAAAGGTGGATGTTGATGTTTTGAGAGCAAATGGTTCCTTGTGGGTGAAGATATCACCAAATTCTGCTTCTTCGCACACCTCACAATTGGGCAGTGGGGACCCGGAAATGAAAGGACGGACAAAATCAACTCCTTCATTTTGGTTTTTGGATGAAAGAAAGAAACAGTAGGAGAGATGGCGGCCTGGGGGGACATGTTGACGACAACTCCCTGTGAGGAACAACAGCACTGTTAGTCCTGTTTAAGGGCTTCTTACCCACACAATAGGCGGCCATGAGAAACCCCGCAGAGCCCGCCAACACCTGGAAATCCTGTGTTTTGGTTTTGTGAACAGTCAGGCCGATCCGTGTGATCTGAGGAACAGATAAAAAGAGACAGACACACAAAGAGAGAGAGAGAGAGAAGAAGGTGAAAAAAAAATCAGGACTGTTTCATTGTCATCACTCCTCCCCGCTGTCAGGACTAATTTCTGGTGCGGCATTTTATTCCCTGGGGAGGCTGTCAGAAGAGACGATGACAAACCCAACATCTCACAGGGTAAACAAATCGCTGAAATTGAGACGAGCACCAACTCTTTACACAGTGGAGGTTTTTGGGAGGAGGGAATCGTTCAACATCCCAAATGAAAGAAGAAGAAGAAGAAGAAGGAGAAAGAGGAAGAGAGGAAAAACAGACAAGTCCCATGTGAGATAAAATAGAGGAATCAACTTCAAAAGAGGAGGGGGAGGAAGAGGAGGAGAAGCTCATGAATAATTTATAAGCTCCTTATTTTGTTTTGCATCTTTTAATTCTCTTTTGTCAATCCGGATATGAAGCGCAGAATCCAAATAAATCTGAAATGTTCAAAGGGAGCATGAGACGACTCGGCGGCTGCTCTGCACATAAAGCTGAAAACTCCGCAGGGAAAACCTGCAGCCTCTAGTTTCAGCCTCCATCACCGTTACCGGCGGAGGGTCTATTTTTAAACCGCCGGGTGTCAATCAGTTTCCCCGTATCAGTCATTTCAAACACGCAGGACTGTAATTGATCAGTCATTCAATCAGGTTATAGGAGCTCCCGCTGGTCTCCTGAAAGCTCGAGCACTCTGGCTATTTAGATACAGCTCCCCAGTGGGGAAAATAACATCGCAGCAAGACTACTGTCTGCCCCGGTGACAGAAAAACACTCATTAGCTTTTATTTTTTTTAAGTCTCATTATTGTCATTAGCCTGAAGTGTGCGACTCAAGATGGTGGGAAAGCTTAACCCTCTACTGTATGAATTCAGTTTTCTTGTCTTTGGAGGAAGAAAATAAATAAATAAAAAATCACCTGATCACCAAAGTGAGTACGGTTCATACTCTCGGGAACATGAACCTTTGTACAGTATTTCATTGGAATCCATCCAGCTGCTGTTGAGATATTTCAGTCTGGAGCAAAGTGGTGGACGATTAACAAACACACAAGATCCCTTTTTTCTTCACGTAATAATAATTAGTAATTCTCATTTTCTCACTCCACGTGACTATGGCTGCAAGTTATTCTCTCCTATTCCTAACCTCCGCCCTACTAAACAAAAAATGTTGTTTGTCTATAAATTAAAGCTCCTCCAGTGTAAAGGTCTCTTGTCCATGTGTAGTGTGATTATAGATCAGCTCTAGCTTCTATATTAATACTGTGAAAGTATCAAAGCCTCAGTCCACAGAGAAATGCACACAGCCTGTATTCAAGAACTGAGCCTTAAAACAGCACGTTCAGGACTTCTCGGAACTTTGATGAATGTTCGACAACAAACAATCAAAACAAGCCCCGCCCACCTGGACCCACCATCCAAACCTTTACAGGATTTGGTTTCTCTGAGTGTTTTTACCTGAAATCTGCTATATTTTTATTGGATCACTCAGAAAACAGTCAGCCAATCAGAAGAGAGGCTCAGAGCCTCCTCTCTTCTGATTGGCTCACCGACCTGTTGTTACTAGAGCTCCAGAGAGAAGCCTGAGAGAGGAGATGTAAAACTACACTGAGATGGTTTTTATATCTTCTTATGGATCAACACTTCAAATAAAACACAGAAGAAGAAGAAAATATGGAGCTTTAAAGTTCAGGTGTAAGAAAGAGAAATCTATAAATAAATCAAAATTTGATTTTGATTTGATGTATAGAAATCTAATCCTGTGTATGGTTTGTGTGTCTTGGCTCTGGACTGGTGAAACGTACATACAGTAAACGCCTCTGAAATCTGACCGTGGGATCCGGGATCCCTCACTGTCCCTGCACTCAGGAGGAGGACGACCTGAACCACATGATCAGGTTCCTATCGAACCATTAGACCAGAGGATTTCAAAACGGGAGGTGAAGGAGAACTGAAGGGGAGGCACAGAGGGAGAGACGTGACCTTACGCCTATTTTTAGATTCAACTTGACTCACGCCATCATCCATATGATCTCCAGGGTTCCTCACAAATAAACTTCCATGAATCTGCACAGAAATCTTTTTTTTTTTTTTTTTTAAATGGGTAAAACAGAAACAGGAACTGCTAATGGCTGATAAACCGGGGCTCGGGTTGTCGCTCTCCACAATGCTTAATTGCTTTAAAGCGGCAATTATGCTCCTTTAATGATTCACATGCACATTTATATTATAGCAAATTATTTAAAAAGGTGTCAAACCCATCTTACTCTCTTCTGACATGTGGCTCTTTCACCTACTTACTGCCTACAACTCCTCATTTGATTCATCAGACACATCATCACCTGTCACCATCACCAATTTAAAGTATTTATAAACGAGGGTCAAAAGTCTTTCTGATAAACAGAAGACGGATTTGCTGTAGAAATAAAACAAAGAGGCTTCTGCATCTATAAAAACTATAATCCTAAAGCTGCTAAATATTGAATGTAAAAATGTTTTATTAAATTAGAACGAACTGTTTAGTTTGACAGAACGCACGGAGAACGTGAAGGAAATATCTTTAAATTCATTACGGTTGTCTTCTTAATCAGCGGCGTCCCCTTTTGTGACAAGTGATGGAGAAAAAAACAAAACTCAGTGGCGTTAGTTTAAGTCTCATCGTGTCGTACTCATGTGTGAGCTGTTATAAGATGAGCTGAAAACCACAGCAGCGATTAGAGCAGATGAGAGGAAACTTTAATGATCCCTGGGGGGAGGACAGTTAACGTGGCAAATAACTACTTGACAAGAACTTGCGACATGACATGAACACATTTTTTTTTTTAACCTTTAGTATACAGCATCATATTGATTTATTCACAAATGTCTACTCCCACATCTGTCGCTCTCCGCTGATCACCAGCGTCACAATAAACTCTGTGTTGCTGTGCAGAGGAAAAAAAAAATAAATACACAGCTGTCAAACTGCTGTAAAGTCCTCCTGTGCCCAAAATAGAAAACACGTGGAAGCTTCTCGCTGCAAGCTTCATAACGTCCGTTTCAAACGCAGCTGAGAAAAAATCTGAGGGTTTTTGCGGCTGTTTGATCCTCTAACAAGCGCCGCAACCTGAGTCTCTGAACAGCTGCTTTTAAAAGAGGAGCAAATCCTGGAAAAGTAAGTTTAATTAAGTGATCGTGTGCTTCACTATCATTCCCACTGTTTCTACATTATAATCAACAGCAGAGAGTGTTGGACTCCAGCAGCAGGTGCAGACCTTCAAACACTAGACCGATAAAAACACATAAGATTAACACAACTTAACTGTATCATGTGCCTGAATCTACACGTCGTCAACAGTGAAGCTATTTGCAAACTGTCCACAACCAGGCGATAAACAGCTGGAAATGTACAATGACTAACGATGTTCATCCACAAGCCTTGAAAATACTTGACTGTGGTGGATGTCTCTGTGTCACAAGCTATTAGCTGCCATTTTTCTTTGTTTTCTTTGTTTTTTAATACACACTGTAGAGTTACCCAACTCAGAGTACACACAAGGGCGCCTGGGGATGGTTGTGACATTTGACATTTCTCTCTGTATCTTGGAGCTCCGTCAAGCCAGTGCGTTCGAACTGTAACACAGACTAGTTACACGTGTCTGCTGTTAAATGGCGTAGGTGTTATCTCTGCAACATAAACAGGAAATGCATGGTTTAGTCTCAAACACAAGGAGTGAGATGTTACAATTAGGGTTGTCAAAAAATAAATAAAAAAATACTCAGATACTAATCGAAATTAAAAATTAGTATTTTAGTTGAAAATGAAAAAAGCAAAAGTGCCATTTGCAATTATTTTGCATCACTATTTTACCTGGCCGGCAGCAAATGTTAACGTTAGCCGGTTAACTATTAGCAATTAGTCGATAGCCACATTAGACGTCCGCTAGGTTAACATTTAGCTAGCGGCTAGCAGCTATGTGTGACCGTGTTAATCTAACAGGATAACACAATTATTTGTGTCTGAAAAGTTGTTTTTTTTATTTTTTTTATTTATTTGCATCTTCATTTTTTCCGAGTATTTTCCTGGGTATCGGTGTCAAGTTTGAAATTCTAGTATCGTGACAACCCTGGTTACAATCCACACCTCAGGCTCCTGAGGTGAAATGTAACATCCTTATATGAGGATTATGACGTAAACACTTTTTAACATAATTGGTGTGTGTGTGTGTGTGTGCGTCTGTGTGTCCGTGTATTGTTGTGTATTGTTGTTACAACTAACCCAAACTCTTGTAGCCGTGAACTAGCTTACCTTCCAGCTAACGGCTAAAACATTAGCACTGACACCTTTCATGAAAAATATCTACACAGACACAATGAATAAGTTTAAGTTTTCAAGACTGAAAAATAAATAATATAATGTATAAAATAAATATTTATATTTTTTAAAAAATATTTTTTTCCTTCTAAAATAGTCAGTGTGTGTCACAGGGTGCGACTTCCTCACAGGTGGAATAAGGACTACATTGAGCAGGTATAGAGTGAATCAGGTGATTTGTAAATTGATCCTGATTGCACAACAACAAGTGTTACAACCATCCCCCGGGGGACTCCCCCCGTCATGAACTGTTGCACCCTAAACAACAGTTCCACCGTAGCCAATAATAAACGCAGACTTTGAGTTAATTGCAGGAGACACATACAATCAAGCTCTGATGAAATCTAGTCACAAACAAACAAGCTGCATGAAAACCTTCCATATGCACTGGCGGGCCTGATGTCGCGCAGACAGAAACAAAGGCAGTGAAAAGGAAAAAAAAAAAAAACAATGAAGAAGCTTTTCCACAAACCAATCACAAGCAATTTTAGATCAATCAAAAGGCATTTGTGCAGCGAGAGACCGCTGTGAGACAAATTTAAACCCGCGGGCCCGTCCTCTTGTCCCGGAAAATCTCTTTCGGCCAAAATAAAACAAGATTCGATTCCGTCCATGATAAAAATGCATGACATTTTTGATGAAGTAATCTGCCAAACGGCAGGAGCCGAGTGATGCGGGCGAATCTGTGTTTGCCGTCCATGTTCTGAATAATCTTTCTGCAACTTGTCTGCCTTCCTCAAATTGACCCACCACCCCTTGTTTTCTGTGTTTGGCCTCTTCACGCCTACAAATTGAGCGAGGCCAGTCTGCGCTTGAACTACACCCACGCTTCAGTCTCCCCAGCAAGTGGACAAACATGTTATTTCCCAAATCAGAAATCCATTTGCAACTTCTGGCACACACTTCCCACACAGACAAAAAGGTGTTAAGAGCTCGACAAGAGCGAACTGTCTTTTTCTTTTTTTTTTTTCTTCCCCCCATCAAGTAACCCTGCAATCAGCCACTGCAGGATAAAACCACACACACTTTAGTTTTAGGTTCTTCAATTAGTCATCACTGTGTTCTCTGCAGCTTCTTGGCTGTGTGGTTCGAGTCCTCTAAATCGTAAAAATCAGTTTAGTGAGGGAAATAATGTTTGTTCCCAGCAGCAGAGCGGCTCTAGGAAAGATAATGATGGTGTTTCACAGTAAAATACCTCCTCCTCCACTGCTGAATGGATTGACAAGAAATTTAAAAGACAGTCATGGTGAATCCTGATGACTTTGAATGACCCCGCAGCCAAAAAAATGCTAAATGCTTTATTACCGTTGACATTTTCCACGTTTAATAACGATGTTAGCGTGCTAACAGGCTAACGTTTTAACATGTTAACAGCCACTATCAACTTCAAACAGTTACTAACATGCTAATGCTGGTTGACACGCTGCTAATTCTGTCGCCACGCCACATAAATAAGTTTGAACCTGCAATAACTTTGGCCTCTTGGGGGGCAGAGTGAACAGGTTGTGAGCACAACACTGACTTGAACCTTTTGGCAAACATCCAGCAGTTACAAAGGAACATTATCACTGATTCAGAGTCATGTTTCTGGTAAATGTAGGTCTAGTGTTTCCCCTCTCTTCTAGCTCTGTTTTTGGTCTCCACCAGCTCCTGAGACAAACATCTGGCTCTTTAGCTGCTAAATGCTGCACCGTGTTCAACAGACGCCGTTTGCTGCTCAGCAGGAAGTGGACAGTGGTATTTTTAGTTGCTAAACAATGAGCTGAAACTCACGACGAAGCTGCAGATTCAGGTGATAATTCTCTGTAGGGACACTTTTCTTTTTGGTCACATTGTTTTTGTATCAGTTATAGCCACTTTGAGCCACTTCAGCTTCCTTTGTTGAGTTATATAACTGTAGTCCTTTGTTAACGAGTGAAAACACGTACAAACAAACATATAATGGGTTATAATTTAGATGTAACTGCCGGTGATCATAGCTGCACAGCCATGTTTTCACAGCTGTCGGGAGGCAAGTTCATTCATTCATTAACACAGTCTGAGGGATGTGGCGTGACTGCAGCATTAATGTAGAGATGAGTCTGATTAAGGTAACAACCCTCTTTATTTACAGTCTACGGCAGCAACATCTCAGTAGTCTGTTAGTAGGAAAGGTGTGAGAAAAAGGAAATTGGCTAAATCCTTTTATGGTGTATAAGTTTTCCTGAAACTACACGCCACAATTTGCTCTTCACTCGCTGAAGTCAGGCTGTAACAGGTTTTTGTTTTAAAACAAGTGAGCTTTCAAGAGACTGGACAGTAACTTTAGCCGTGAAATGAAAGAGGGTCCAGTCTCTGTAACACTCAGTTTGCTGACTGCGCTGGAAAATCTGTTCTCACACAGTCAATTCTCACTGTTTTCTTTGACGTTCCAGAGAGAAACTGACCTGATGAGGAGTCGCCTGGCCTCATCAGGTCAATATCGAATAACATGATGTAATCGAGACACATTACATGGAAATCTGCAGCCCTGTCAGGGTGACTGAGCGTCACTGTGGCTTCTCTGCCTGCGGCTCAGTGACACCTGCGCTGACCAGCTGACTCGCACATCACACGGAAAAAAGACAGCAAGTCGCGGAAGTGTTTCTTACGTCTCCTCCGCTGTCTTTAAGGCCAACGATGTTCGGATGCTGAGACAGCTGCACCACAGCGTCCAGCGGCAGCTCCAGCCCAGTGTTGGCGGGGACGCTGTACAGGACCACCGGCACCGGACTGCAGTCCGCCACCTGCAGGGGGACAACAGGGACACCAGTCCTCAAACACAACTCAACAAAAGTTGATCGTTCTGACTCCTGGTTTCTCCACAAATTTCACAGATTTTTACGTAAGATAAACATTTTTTCCTGGATCGTATCATTTACCTGTTTTGTTCCAAATAAAACATATTACAAATAATCATTAATATTATAATGAAAAATCCAAACCCAAAGAATTTTATGGCTAGACTCAGAGATAAATACTTGATTGTAGATCAGCGGCTTCAGACTTTCAAACCACAGCAGCCTGGCAGTGAATAGCAGCTGCATATTAACAGTTTTAAACACAGTGATTTAGAAGTTTATTCGGTTGTTTTGATACATGTGAATATGTAAGATTAAAAAATTTAGAAAAAGTTAATGTTGCCTGTTTTTTTTTATGTGATAAAATATTATTAAGAATTTGCAGTAAAAAAAAAAAGACAGGTTTGTGCATCATTTCAAACACAGTTCAGCCACATATCTTAGTTTTGCTTATTCTATTTCGCTTATGTTTGACCTTCGCTGTGCAGACTAATGTACGTTCAGGGTTTGACACTCGACGGCTGTTCTCACATTCACCAGCTGAAGAAAGTAAGTTTCTCTTTGCTCACCAGGACGAACCTGCAGGATCTGACATTACAACAAGTTTGGAGGCCGATCAACTTACAGAAGTGTGATGTGGAAACCTGAAACCTGCAGTGCACAGACACCGAGAATAATGCAAGCAAGGTATTTTTCACACGTCTGGAAAGAGTGAAAACACTTTGGCTGGTCCTCACTTCTTCAACAGGCTGTTTGAGGATGAGGACGTCGTTTCAGGTTTTTAAGGTTGAGGTCAGAATTAGTGCAGGGATTAGGAAATGTCAGTTAGGGTCCTCGCAGGTATTTAAGTACGAATGTGTGTGTGTGTGTTTGCGCTGTCAGTGTACCTTGGTAAAGTGCTGGATGAGAGCGCGGCTGTCCATCTTGCCCTTGTAAAAGCAGGGAGTGACCACCAGGACGGCGTCAGCTCCAACCGCCGCCATCTTCTCTGTGAGCTGGACTGTGGCTCCGGTGGCTGAGGAGATACAGGAGGAGGAACAACTTCACTAACACACACACACACACACTCTGGTTTCATCCGCACCTTTATAACTACACAACATGTCTGCAGGGCTTTTTGTTGCAGTCCAGTGTGTTTCTGTATGTGCACATAATGCATGTAAGGCCACACATACAAGGCCCTTCATTTTTACTGCGACACCTGGACAAATGTTTTCTTTCTCCCAGATAAACTGAATACGACGGCGTTTTGTACAGAGTCTGTATGAAGAGCGGGACACAGGAAGGACAGACGGATCTGAACTGAATACCAATGAAACAAGGAGAAATCAACTTCCATCCATCAGCAGCGTTTCATGGAAGAAAAGGAGCAGGACCAAGAAATCTTATGTAACAAATACTCCCGTGTCCCTGGAACATTTATTGAATAACTATCTGCGAAATAACTGATGAAGTGAGAACCCAAGAGGTTTTTACATCGGCAGTGAAAGGAGGAAGAGGAGGGGAGTGAAGGAGCTATAGAGAGTTAATGTCCATCTTTTCTCTCATTATGTGCTGCAGAGAAACTACAGACTCCTCCTGACTCCAGTTATCAGCCAGAAACATTAACAACAGTATGACAGTGATGTTACCATCACACACACACGTCAGTTTGAGCTCAAAATCATTCAGTCTTTTAAAAAGCAAATGTCTCAAAGCTCTGAAAAAAATGAAATTTCACTTTAAAAGTTTTTATTTTCATTTGTTTGAGTCTCTACTTTTTTTCAAATAATTTCTTAACAGCCTTTATTGTAAAACATTATATCAATCAATTTAAACGTGTGATGTGTTCAAGGAACTCTAATGACAGTATGGACAAACAATTAAGAGAGGAGCCAGATGTGTTGATGTGTCACCGGTTGTTTTGACAGTGTCAGTTTTTGAAAAATGAAATTTATGTTGATTAAAATGTCACATGTTTGAACTCGACTGCAAACATGAAGCCAACTAATTATTTTCAATATTTCTACATTCATCATTCAACCTTAACCTAACCTGCTTGTCATAGTAACGGTTACTGCTGCACATTACACACACACACACACACACTGAGCCCTACATTCACAGCCTGATCCGGCCATCAGCACTTTGCCCGCCGGGAGGGAGCGTCTGACCGTCCTCACCACCTCCACCCGCTCCTCCTCCGTCAGGTACGGATACTCCCCGTTGGAGCCCTGAACCACCAGACCTGCAACACAAAACACTGTTAGTCTATGACTGACGATCCTGGAGGGTCAATGACCACACGCATCAGTGTGTGTGTGTGTGTGTGTGTGTTTTCTGTTACTGCACTTAGAATGAAGTTAATTACTAAATAAAAACCATGCATGCCTTTATTTGTGACAATATCCTCACTTTACTTTAGTGCCTAAAACATCTGGACGATTCTGTTTAAAATATGACAGAATTTAAATAATGATTATAGTAGGAGAGTGATAATAATTCAGAAGTATTCCTTGTGCAAATGCCAGAAGCAGCAGAAACACTGTTATTAGGTGAGTGCTTCACACGCTGTAAATATCGTAGTAGTTGTAGTAACAACAGAAGGCCACCAGAGGGCGACACACGCCAGCAGGTGATTTTGCGTTTTTATCTCAGTGTTGAATTTCGTCCTCTCCGTCAGGTCCCTAAGTAAACACTGATGACTGAGTGGAGACTGATGAACCTCTGACCTGCAGTTTATGCAAAGGTGAACCCCCCCACCCACCCCACCTCCCAGTGACCCCTGCACCCTGACTCCACTGCGGGAACAGGTCTAGACTCCACTGGTCTTTGAACAAACCGGGGCTGTCTTCGTTAATTCTTCCTCCTGGGTCTCCTGACCTTTAAATGGTATCTTGTTGTATTTCTGCAGGTTTTCCTCCAGTCTGCGGTAGTCCACGTCCTCCTTGGCGGTGAACGGGGTGGCAATGGGCGGGTAGATCCCGCTCAGGTCCAGCCTGGCGGCAGCAGCAGCGGTGTGGCTCTGGGTTCGTCTCCATGCTGTCAGGTGGCCTCCTCCGCACAGGGGACTCAGACCTCTCCAGACCCGAGCGCACAGCATGGTGAAGCGGGCAGAGTGAGGGTAACTGTCCGTCTGTCTGTTGGTCTGCTGGGACTGTCTGCAGCTGCTGCACCCGGGGACAGTTAATCACTAACCTGCTTCTGTAAATATTGACCAGAGTTAGTGATTTTTTTTTTTTTTTTGGGCAACTTTGAAAGTTTCCCAACTCTTCACTTGTGACCGACTCGCTCCATCCGGGACAGGAGCGGGTTTCTGCCCGGCCACCTCCTGCTCTGCGCGGTGCAGGTGAGGTGTGCGGTGATTTCACACAAACACCCGCACTGCAGACACCGTCATTCACCTGGGAGCGACTGTCAGGCGGTTACAGACGGTGATTATCACCGTGCAACGTTAGCGAAGTGTGCAAGCAACAGATCCAGAGCAGAGCTCCGCCCACGATCAACGAGGGCTCATCCGTCAAAACAAAGCTCCGGAAGTAACGCAAACTGGTTTGTACTCCAGCCACAATCTGCTGTCGCCATATAAACCAGTTCATGGAGGGTCTGGGTGCATTTATGCTGCATCAACTGTGATTTTTAAAAAAAGAAGAAAGAGCTCCACAGGAAACCTTAAAAACACACTATGTACCCACCTGCACCAAGTACCACAGGGGTCACCACCTGGGATCCACATGTTGTTCCTAGATATACTTTAAATTCATTCATTCAAACCTTTATTTATACAGGGGGACACCATGAATACAATACAGATAGTCCTGTACAATGTAAGAAAACAATAATCAAAGCAATAATAAGATGAAGTATCAATGTGTGTGAACGGGTGAATGAAAAGCAAATTGTAAAGTGTTTTATTTAAAAGTGCAGCCATTAACCATTTACCCTAAACTTAAATATTTCCATTAATTGATAATGCAGGTGTTAATCCGAACATCCGTGATATTAAATCTCTTTCCCATCTTCAAATCCCACTTCTTCTGTTTAACTCCAACACCTGCGTTCAATGCAAACCATATTTATGTTATGAAATTATATTTATTCAATTTAGTATTTTATGCCTTGTGCTTTTATCTTTTACTGTGTTGTAAGGTGTCCTTGAAAAGCACCTATAAATAAATGTATTATGCTTATTATTTATTATTAATCATCATAAGTATTTCATCTATCTCCAACTCTAACTAATAATTAAAAAAATATACCATGTTCAGATTCTGCTCGTCGACGCAACACATGAATTTTAGGACAGAAATAATCATTTCAACAACAACAGGCAAGAGAGCACTAAAGGGAAACCCACAAGAGGAATAAAAACTGGAAACAAATAGATTATACAGAAAGATAGAAACTAAAAAAAAAGATTGAAAAATCAGCTAATGCTACAGAGGTGATGTTGGTTAAATTAGTTTATTATTAACAGCGACAGGTTTATGGTTAGTCTGTGGTGTAATGTGATTTTCCTTCACAGACTCTGATAGCCTTTACACTACTGCCACCATGTGGGCAAACGTTTAATTGCATTAATCATCCATCATTAAACATCCTGGTTTTCTGCAGTTTTGTGATTTTAAATTTGTTTTAATTGATAAAAATGAGACATAAAGTACCGGTGTTGGATTTAATCATCACACTGTTTTATATAATCTCCTACAGTTGCTCATCTGGGCTGAAATCTGGTGACTGTGAATGTGTCGCCTCCCTTTTTCCATCCTTACAGGACGTGGTACTAAAGTATGTGGATTCCCCTGCACATACTTTTCTCTACTATTGGTATTAAGGTGTTCTTTGTGGTTTGGGGTCGTTCTTTTATTTCCACTTCAGGGGAATCTTAATACTAAGGCATACAACGAAACCTAAGACAATAGTATCAACAGTGAACACAAACAACGCCACCAGGAAAATGGTTTTCCTAGACTGGTCTGCACCGACCTAAATCCCATCCAGCACCTTTGGGATGATCCGGAACGCTGCCCACGACCCCAGAACTCATCACCCGCCGTCAGCGTTGGACTTTTCGTGGATGAGTGGGAGCACATCACCTGAAGCCGGGTTCAACGTCTGGTGGGAGGCCTGAAACCAGAAGAGTGGAGACTGTTATAGCAGCAGATTAATGCCCAAGAGTTTAGAAACACAGTGCATGATTTGTGGCAGTAAATCTTTCTGTAGATTGAAGGCAGCAAAGGAGGGAAACGGTAAAAGATGAAGAGTATAATCACACCTGAAAGTTGAGTCACAATAACACCTTAACTAAGACTGTGAGACGAGAAAAAAAAAGACTAAACACAGTAGAAGAATCACATGCGGTTATCACAGCAGATGTTCCAATATCTTACAGTTTCTACAGGTCACTAAATTACACTCGTGGCTGCTGGTTATTGCTGGACCTGATGGCCGCAGGTTTGCCGTGTGGTACTTTGCTAAAAACACCACGAATCACAAAACTAAAAGAAAGTTAAGGTCTTGCAATTTGATTTTGACACAGCGACCATCTTCAGGCCGGGGTCTCGAGATCAGCTTTCATACTGAAACACAGTCAAAAAAACGAATAAATAAAACAGCATAAAACACCTTGGTTTTGGGTTGCCATTTATAAAAAAGTTTGGATGACGTTCACTGTTTCCACTTAATGAGTCTAAATGCTGGAAATCCCTGAACAAATTCTCAAAAGCTAAAAATATCTGCACTTATTTTAACAACTAGCTCATTGTGATTAAAGAGTTTTTACAATAATTTTTAAAGCCCGCAGTTGTAGATGTTGAGAAGTTATTAATAAATAAATCTAGCTCTACAGCTCATTTCCTGAGGGTAAGTGGTCAAAACAGTCCGTCGGAGGGGGGTATCTCTGAACTCTGCCCAACCTGGCAACCCAGAAGGTGTCTTTGTTATTTACTTAAACCTGATCCACCTACAGTTTTGAAGCACCTCTAATAACAACAGTGAGGAGACCAGAAAAACCAGTAAACTGTAATTTACTTAAGGAATACTGAAGCTAGATGGCACTAGATTTCAATAAATGATACAAGGCACAATTAGGTAACTGGGAAGGCTTTAATTAGTGTCACCACTACACCATTTATCAGTCTATTCAAGGATTATAATCAGAGTAATACCATTACTACTCCTGGTTCACGATCAAGTCACTTTTCTCTCTATTTAAAGGCGCAGACTCGTGTTAAAGTGACAGTTTATGGCAGGTACAGTTCATCACCAAGTCCTTACAAATACTGCACATGATAAACTGGGGCACTACTGCTGTATTACAGTCATTCTCATGTAGTGAGCTCGAGGCTATTATTAGAAAAGTTACGTCACCGCACAGTGGAGGGCGCATCTCTCCCTGGGTACAGCAGAACATCACAATCACCGGCGGTAAAGGAGAAGTGCTGGTCCCTCCTTTTCCCACATGGACCGGAACCACGCAGCACCACGTGACCCGCGAGCCCTGGACTGACTGAGCATCTCACACCGCATCATGGCTGCGGAGGATGCGGCCGCGCGGTACCGATCCGGAGCCTCGCTCCTCCGCGGGGCTCCGCTCTCTCCGTCCCGCCTGCTGCTGCTCTGCCTGTACGCCTGCACCCTGCTCCCCGCCCCGGCGCTCGGTTTGCTCGGCTTTCGGCCGGAGGAGACCGGGGCGGAGCTGTCCGTGGAGGACGGGGTGCTGAAAGCTACCGAGGGGACCCGCTTCATGCTGCGGGTTTACTACTCCACCTCCCCGCAGAGGCTCAACCGCACCGCGGCGACCCGGGCCAACAACGCCGCGCCCTGGATCGCCTTCATCGAGGAGCCAACTCCCGGGCGAGAGGGACAAGTTCACCCGAAGCGGAACATGTGCATGGACAAGAACGCCAGGACGTCCGACATCGAGGTTTTAGGGTCTTTCAAGTCTGCTTCCAGCCAGAACTCGGTGCTGGTGGAGCTGCTGGCCAAGGACCTGCGGAGGGGGGAGAAGATCAAATATTACTCCATGTGCGCCTTCGACGGATCCAAATGGGAACACTACCGGACCCGGGATTTCTGGGTTGCCGTGGTGGAGCGCTCGGCTGTCCCGGAGCTCTGGCTGCAGGTTCTGGTCTCAGTCCTGCTGCTCGGGCTGTCCGCTTTGTTCAGCGGACTGAACCTGAGCCTGCTGGCGCTGGACCCGGTGGAGCTGCAGGTCCTGCAGAACAGCGGCACCGACAAGGAGCAGAATTACGCGCGGAAAATCGAGTCAGTGCGTCGGCACGGTAACTACGTCCTGTGCACTTTACTGCTGGGGAACGCGATCATTAACGCCTCGCTCGCCGTGTGGATGTGTCAGATCCTGGGCATGACCTGGCTCTCCACGGTCATCTGCGCCTTCGGCATCTTCTTCATCGGGGAGATCCTTCCGCACTCGGTGGCGTCGCGGCACGGCCTGGCCATCGCCTCCAAAACCATCTGGGTGACGCGGCTGCTGATGGTGCTCTCCTTCCCCATCTCCTACCCCATCAGCAAACTGCTGGACCTCATCCTCAACCAGGAGATCTCCAACTTTTACACCAGAGAGAAACTCCTGGAGATGCTGCGCGTCACCGACCCGTACCACGACCTGGTCAAAGAGGAGCTCAACATCATCCAGGGAGCGCTGGAGCTGCGCACCAAAACCGTGGAGGACGTCCTGACGCCGCTGACCGACTGCTTCATGCTGGCCTCGGACGTGGTGCTGGACTTTAACACCATGTCGGAGATCATGCAGAGCGGCTACACGAGGATACCGGTGTTTGAGAACGAGCGCTCCAACATCGTGGACATCCTGTTCGTCAAGGACCTGGCGTTCGTGGACCCGGACGACTGCACCCCGCTGAAGACCATCACCCAGTTCTACAAACACCCGCTGCACTGCGTCTTCAACGACACCAAGCTGGACGCCATGCTGGAGGAGTTCAAGAAAGGTGAGGAGGGCGGGTGCTGTTTATCCGCGTGTCTGAGGCACAGAGGAGTCACTGCAGGGTTATGGTCAGGTTTATCTGGGGTCAGATAAAGTGCAGTATTACATCACGGCCACTCTAAAAGAACATTTTTGTTATATCAGAAAAACATAAAACACATAAAAACCTCTTCACCAGCCGAATAATATTTGTTCTAATAATGACAATATGACTCATTCCCTCACTCTCACACTCCAACAAAAACTTTTCTCTGCACTCTACAGACATGTTTCTGGTACTTTCATCTGCTCCAGTTTATAATGTGAGCGGGTGCAGCGGCGCAGTGTGTTGCTGGAGGACATTTAAAGGAAATGAGGGGTACATCTGCAGCTGTGAGTTTTGGCATCGTGCTGGAAAAAGGAAAGGGAAACGTAGCCACTTAGAATCTGGCATCTGATGTGCGGCTAGCGGTAGCCATGGCAACTTGTTGGTCTCAGGTGCCTCCCTGAGCAGGTGAGGGTGGAGAACCCCCCCGATGATGTGAGGTCATAGGTCAATCCAAACCCAGATTCTCTGATCAGCCTGAAGGTGCTTCCCAGGTGTGCTCACCAAGACCATAAAGGCCAGGTAATCAGTGCTACTTTTTGCGGCGGTTTCATTTCGTTTGCCAGTTGAACTTAAAAGTTTTTCAAGAATCTGTCCTTTTTTATTTTAAGATTCATTTTCAGACCATTGGGAGAGAAAAACATCACCATATTTGCTCAGACATTGATCCAAGTTTGTCAGTCTGAGCATCATTTGTTGTGTTTTTTTGGGCAGGTCTGCTCAGTACAGTAAACATCTATCACTGGCTCCGTGCTGCACAAACACAAAACCAGACATCACATTCAGAGATTCTTATTCCTGAAATCTTCAAGTCTGGGAAACTGGTTTGAGTGGCTGGACTGACTGGACAAATCAAATCAAGACAGCTGAGCAGGATACTTAAACCTCTGTCTGCTTCAATGAGGCTGCTCAGTATTTAACAGTGAGACTCTGTGTTACTCAGTGAGTGTGTGTGTGTGTGTGTGAGCTGGAAAAGCTCACACACACACACTCACTCTGGACAACGCTTCCCTGCATCGATAAAGAGTGAAACCCCAGTCTGCAGAGCCGCTGCAGCAGAGCAGTCTTTCCTCCTGTATGCAGTCCGCTGGCGTTCCTGCTTTATTGTAGAATTTAAGATGGGTGGGGTGCTCGCTGACCAATCACAGCCCTCCCAGCTCGCTCAGGGACCCTGCACAGTCAGCACTTTTTTTTTTTTCTGCTGGGCTTGTGGTGACGACAGGAAGAGACGGAGGTAAACAGAGAAGGACACCATGACCGAGACAAGTGACAGCTTATTTATTTACATTTTAGCTTATTTTGTAAGGACAGGGTGAAGATCTGTGATCACCAACACGTCATATTTTAACTTGACAACTGTTGATGTTTTAATAAAACATTGACATAGCTTTAAAAAGCTTTTTAAACTCAAGGGTGGAAGGATTTACCCGTAAGATATGAGTTTTATCTTCAGTGTGATCTTTATACTGCTGCTGACTATAAAGGGGCTCTGTGTGTGTGTGTGTGTGTGTGTGTGTGTGTGTGTGTGTGTGTGTGTGTGTGTGTGTGTGTGTGTGTGTGTATATGAAGCCAGATGCCGATGAACTGATGAACACAGACATGATTCCTGTGTGAGTGTGCCACAGAGAGATTTGGATGATAATCCACACACACCAGAGGATTATAAACAAGTCTCTCCCTCAGTCTCTCTCTCTCTCTCTCTCTCTCTCTCTCTCTCTGTGTAACAACCATTTCAGGCACTGCAGCAGAGAGATGCACACTCCCTCCCTCATCTCAATGAGACCTCTGCAGCAGCTGGTGCAGCCACAGAAACAAAAACAAAAAAAAAAAAAAAAGAAACACAAAATTGTACAAACAGCTGCACAGTGTCAAGGCAGTAACTGTATTTCATCTTCCACCTTCACCCTGTAGCACAAAAGCTAACGAGCCCGCTAACTAGTTGGCCACCTCAGATTATATTCAGGTTGTGTTAACAGTGAATTTGTAAATATCAAACTTCACAACACGTAGATTTAAAGATCACGTCTGGATCCTGAGCAGTGGTGAAGACATGGACACACCCTGAATGAAAATGAAACCTGCTCCACCGTCCCCATCACCTAATCAACATGACCTCACAATTTAACAGTCTATTCCAGCTGTTAGAAAATAGCCCGCTCCTCCTCGCCTCTAACACTGCTGCTGCTGCTGCTTCATTGCAGCATCCACCTGCATACTTTGACTCCAGGCTCCCGAGGGAGATATCTGCTATCACGCCCCCCCCCCCGTCTCTGTGCTCACAGTAAGTGTGTCTGCTGGGAATAATGAGGCCAGAGCCAAGACACCAGACCGAGACTCTGCTGCGGTGCTGTGAATAAGCTTTCCACTGCGAGCTGCAGGCAAAGGCAGTAAATGAGGAAGATAAGTGACAGGAGGGGAAGTTACTTTTAACCACAACCCTGTCAGCTTGGTTTGGGTCATTTGCAAGTGCAGTGACATTCAGACATCATGGTTAAACCTGCTACATCTGGTCCACTATTACTGAAAGAGCTCATTAGCTGCAGTGGAAGATACTGTAAAAGGTCTGTTGGATAGAAGACAATAACAGAAAGAAAAACATATCTTCGCCAAAAGTTGGTATAACAATGATTTCCCCACATTTAAAAAGACACCAGAGAGATCAGAGAGTCTGCTGAATGCTAAGCAGTATGGGATTCTTTGGCTTGAATGCTAAGCAGTACGTCTGGCACAGTGAAACCGGCCAAGTAACACCTTCCCCGCTGTGAACCACAGCAACAGTAGCTTGCTGGTGCGGGGAACCTTTTGGGTGCCAGGAGAGTCCTGTTTAGACAGATGGGAAGCTGAACGATGAAACGTTACACACAAATCTGCGTCCCCTCTGCCAGAAACTGGAGAGAGACTTTCAACACAACGAGGAGCCAAAACACACACTACAAGAACAGCAATGGGTTTAAAATGAAGATGATAAATGTCTCCTGCACAGACCTGTTTTGTGGTTACACTTTAAAACCACATTGAAAATCAGTGGTGAGACCTCAGACTTTCTGTCCGTCACATAACAACATACTGATTTAATCCAAAGGTTCTTTATTTAGTCAATTTCTCCATTGACAGGAATTAATTTCTGGAAAATATACACCTCACTACGCTTCGTCCTCTCCCTCTCCATCCTCTCCTCTCTCTTTGTCCTTGTCACTGTCCAGTCTCCCAGGAGGCAGAGTATAAAATATTCAGTGTGCTGTACTTTCACAGTTTGTCTCCCAGCCATCTGCTCTCTGTGTTCATGCTACTGTTTGTTTTTGTTTTTTTGTTCTTTTACACATTTCAGCTGATCAGCTCTTATCCTTCAAACACAAGCAGGTGAAAAATTGTGTAATTTACAGTATATGTCAACATCCATCCGTCCTCACAATCCTTCATAACCAAAGACATCGATAAAACCAACACAATGTTAAAAAAAATACTGCACTGTTATTGCACAGAGTATCAGAATATTCCTCATGTGGATGTAGACACTGCTATGACGTGCTCTGTGCCCATGTAATGTTCCACTATTGCAGTGGTTTAAAATCATAATGGCCGATGGGACTGATGAGATCTTATAACGGAAGGAAAAAGAAGGAAAACGCTTGATATTCAAAGAGAAGGATGTGAGATGGATCATTTATTATCTTGTCTGAGCACGGACTTCTCGTGTATAACCGGAGGAGAATGGTGCTCTTCCCTCCTAATAATCCTCAGTACAAGACGAATAAGACTTAGACCGGAGCTGCTCTGACAGGTAACCACACCATGCTCAAATTCAGAACATCATTAAACTCTAAGACCGACTGACAAAACAAAAACATCATCAGAATCATCAAAAGCTAACGCTCTCTGGTGATTTGTTTGGATGTGATTGCTGTTAACCTGCCTGTTGAACCTGTAATGACACTTGATAAAGTGAATTCACTGAGATCAGCCTCCCACTCCTCTGAAGGCCATACGTTTACAGGTCTTGTCGACTGAAAGCGCCGGCTCCGGACATGAGATACGGAGAAACAAAGGCTGCATTGCTTCGAGGGAACACTGTATCAAGTAGCCTTTCTTTCTAACGAAGCTCATGCAACACGTCAAATACTATTTACGTATTTGTGATCGTGACTCACAATTAAAAAAATGACCTGAGACCGTCTCTCCTCTGGCCGGAAACATGGTGACGTGAACGGGAATCATGACCTCAAAAAGAAATGCTAAATTTGTGTTTATCGAGATGGTCGAGCCACGGTTCAGGAATTAGCTTCAGTATTTAATAAACACTCCTTCTATCCCGACAAGTTTTAAATGTCATAAGCTAACAGCTGTCTCTCTGCCAGTAGTTCTAAAGGTTGATGCTAGTTACCATGCTAATTTATGAGTACAGAAGTGGCTTTTAGGCTAATGAAAGCACATTTTTTAAAGCTAACATGACTTTTATCTCACACTGTCAACACTTTATATATTTTATAAGTATAAGCATCTTACCTGTGTGCTGCAGCGAGGTAACTCCTCCTGCAGGAACAGCACAGGTGCAGCTGATTAATCATGGCTGTGCTCCGGCTGTGTGTGTGTGTGTGTGCAGGTTCTCGGGTCCTTGTGTTGTGGATGCTGGCTCACAGCCTGGCTGCTGGGACACTTGTATGGACCTGGGCCATCGTTAATGTTACTAATTACACCTCCGCTTTGAATGAGTTGCTCGGCGGCACGCCATGGAGTTAGGTCACTGTCTGGGGCCTGTAAAAGACAAACAGGTGCACAAACACAGGAATTTGATTAATATCAATGATTATGAAGAACAAATTTGACCATTTCTAAACAGTTGTTGTATAGGACTCCTGTATGTGTTGCTTGTTTAATGTCAGACGCTGTTTTTCCGCATTGCTGCCCTCACCAGATTTACAGGCATATTTATGGGTTGTATATAAACCACTTGGAGACACATCTGATGGGCAGCACATTACAGGATTCACAGTTTTTAAAGCTGTAACAGTGTGCCATCCACATTGAATGGGATGCTGTAGATTCACCCTGGTGTCTAATTTAATTTCAGGTTTGTGATGCTTCTAAACTGAAGAAAAATTTTTAAAAAACTGAAATCTGGGCTTGACTACCCTCCCACCATTCAAAGATGAATGAGCACAGATTACATTATTCCTGTGAGAAATTCAATTAAAGGAAAAGTGACGTTATCTACTGTCTGGCAGTAAAAGACCAATTTACATAATTCACAAGTGAGAAAAGAGCAACCTCTGCTTCCAGAAATAGAATCCCAGTTACTTCAGATTTCACTGAGAATTATTCATCTACAAAACTAAAATGAAATCACAAGTTATTATATAGTAATCGGAGACAGATTATCTGGAAGATTGCAAAAGTTGAAGACTTGGCTTGAGTTTATGACCTTTATCACGTGTCGTCCATGAATCCCAATATTCTCCTTAGATTCATCAGTTTCCTCTCAACGTAGCAACACATTTTGGCCGTGTAGTGATAAAATTAACTGAACTTTAGTTTATTTATTTGTAATTTTATCCTACAAAATTGTGCACGGGTTGTCCACTTTCATCTTTTTGACGTAATAATAAGAATAGTAATTATTTTTATTTATTAAAACTGGAACCGAAAAAAATGGAGAAAACTTCTGAACAGTAGTGCACATCTTTGCACATATACATAGTGTATGTGCACATACACACAAAGATATAAGCTCATGTTGCAGCTGTTAAAAGTGGAATCAGGTTTAAATATTAAATTCCATACATGCATCTTATAAAAGGCTCTTAACTCTGACACAAGGTTCAAAACAGAGAGGGAGAGAGTGAACAGCACATTAGCTGTAAACGTTCTGTCCTCTCCCTGAATTGGTCTGTTCTGTATGTAAGGCTGACCCACTTAGCTGAATGCATCTCTGCCAGAATTTTGTGTGTGTGTGTGTGTGTGTGTGTGTGTGTGTGTGTGTGTGTGTGTGTGTGTGTGTGTGTGTGGTAGCATTTGGCAGGCACAGAGTGTAGAAGCAGAGAGAGAATCTGAGAGAGGAAGCCGACTTGGAGCCAGAGGAGGACTGAACGCTACAAACAAGGATTCCCTATGTTTTCTGTCAGTGTGTATATTTGTGTGTGTGTCTGTGTGTGCACATGTACACATTTTTCTGACCATAAAGTTGTGAATTATGCAGTGGCTGGATAGTTAGCCAGTAACACACACGCTGGCCTCAGGACAAACACACACACACCCGTTGCCTGCTTGTTCCTTCTTCTTTGTTTACACATCAAGCCACCATGAATTAAATAAAACATTAATCCCATCTAACATCAGGTCGGTCTGTGTACTGACTGCTCTGTTTTGTTTAATTCTCTTCTTCTGTAAAATGTGCTTACTTTTTGATTATTAATTATTCTGTTATCTTTGGAAAGACCCCAAGACTTCACCACCAGAAACACACACACACACACACACACACACACACACACACACACACACACACACACACACACTCCTGGAGGTAAACAGAGCAGAAGAACTGCAGACTCTGGATACATCAGCTGAGTGTATTTATATGATGGATTGTGTTTTTGCATCCAGAGGCTGTGTGTGTTTTGTACCCCCCCCCCCCCCGCTGTTACACCCACTCCACTGGGCTCCTGCTGTCGCTCCGCTTACTGAACATCAGACTGCACAGCTCCACTCCCACTCAGTGTGCAAGAGGACTCTGAGTCGTTGCACCAATCACAAACCCACACATACTGTACACACACACACACACACAACTGCTCTATGTGTGCATGTGTGCTGGGTTTCTGCATCTGTATTATGCTTTATATTCAAGTGTGTGTGTGTGTGTGTGTGTTCTGTGTTTCTTCTGGCTGCAAGACAAATCCCTCCCCCCAGGGATCATGAAGTAAAGCTGAAGTTAAAAAGTTGAAGTTAATAAATAATAATAATAAATAAACTGTAGGCCTGGCAGCTTTTTAAAGTGAAAGAAACTGCTTCCTGAACTGCAGAAGCTTGTGACCACAAGCCTGGACCCTGGTCTGGGTCCAGGCCTGGCTGGAAAAGCCCAGAAGGATAAAGTGAATAAGTAGTGAGCAAAAACATTTCCTCAGTGGCGTTAAGGTTGAGACTGAAATGTACTTTGTGACACAACTTATCTGCCTAGTTTCATGTTGTGTTGACAAATAATGTATACAATCTCTTCACATAATGTTCAGACCATCAAAAATTTGATTATCTTGTCAGAGTGCTCATTACGAGGTTTTTTAATTTAATTTTTTATTTTCATTATTTACAATTCACTCTTTATATATTTTTCATAACTTTTCTTCCCTCTGCATTATAGAGTTTTTATAGTTACTGATGTTTTACTGGCGTTTAAAGTGTCTTGCTCTATAAAGTGTTGGTTTGGTTGGTTCTGGTCTAAACGTGATCCTGATTCTGTTACATCCAGGAAAGTCGCACCTTGCCATCGTGCAGCGGGTGAACAACGAGGGTGAAGGAGACCCTTTCTACGAGGTGATGGGCATCGTCACCCTGGAGGACGTCATCGAGGAAATCATCAAGTCAGAGATCCTGGATGAGACTGACCTCTACAGTATGTATGCACACACATGATCCAACACATACACACTTCCCTCTGTCAAAGTGTTTGGGACAGTGAACTGAAAACGCTCATTTTATGTGCGTCTGTCCTGTCAGCTGATAACCGCACAAAGCGGCGTGTCTCTCACCATGAGCGGAAGCAGCAGGACTTCTCCATCTTCAAACTGTCAGAGAACGAGATGAAGGTGAAGATTTCCCCTCAGCTTCTCCTTGCAACGCACCGCTTCCTCTCCACAGGTAACAGCCAATCACCTTGCGTCTTCTCATAGCTCTACACTTAGGAGAGAGGAGGAAGATCACACAAATTGAGAATATTTTCTCCACTGTTCCTTTACATGAGGTCAATAGTTTAAATTAAACTAAGGCTTAAGCCCAGAGTTTAATGTGATTATACTTACAGGGTCAAAACTCCATCCCAAGGCAAAGCTGAAGCATCCTCACAACTCTCCTGGAAACCTCGAGGTGGTTCAGTTTACATCCCACAAGACCTGAAAAAAAAAAAAAAAAAACATTTCATGCTTCACATCTCTTGCAGTTTTAGGGATCAACATTATTTTCAACCCTTTGCAATGTGTCTGAGTTTTTTTTTAACCTTCATCTGGCTTTTAAAATAAACATTCTTACCTCAAATTATGAATTTTTAATCCAACGTTTGGGCTTCATTGCATTTGACATTCCACAAAACGCTCTACTTTCAGGACAGGGTTATATTTAGGTTTATAGCTCATAGCTATAGTTTATAGTTGGGGTACAGACAATGGATGTACAATGGAGGTCCACCCAAGAAAGAGAACCAGATAGAGCTAAACAGAAACAGCGCAAACTGACTTGATTATTAACACAACATTAATTATTTTCAAACTTCCTTGAATAAAGAAAAAATATTCAGCAAAAGGGACGAGGTTGCATCCTGATCACGAGCATTGTTAATATGAATATACTCAGCAAATGGGACAACTGGGAGGGAAAATCCTCCTGATTGAGATACAGTATAAGAATATTTTGTCTCTCCATCTCCTTCTCCTCTCCTCCCTCCATCAGAGGTGGAGCCCTTCAAACCGGCTCACATCTCGGAGAAGATCCTGTTGAGACTTATCAAACACCCCAGCGTGGTTCAGGATCTCAAGTTTGATGAGAAGAACAAGCGAGCGCCGCAGCACTTCTTGTTCCAACGCAACAAACCGGTGGACTACTTCATCCTGGTGCTGCAGGTATCTGCTTTTAACTTTTACCTGAGCAACAATTATCAATGGACATGATGACAATACAGAAAGTACAACGAAAAAACTACTTGTTATCTTGTCCTAAATGGAGGCTGGTCAGCTCACATAGGGTTTCTCTGTTCCTCTGGTTTGTTTCTTTAGGGTCGAGTTGAGGTGGAGTTTGGTAAGGAAGCGCTGAAGTTTGAGAATGGAGCGTTCTCCTACTTTGGGGTACCTGCCATCATGCCAACAGGTGCAAACACACACCTATACACCATACTTGCGTGCTTATGTCTGATTGCTGATTTTAAGGTTCTGTAACAGCCACTAGAGGTCGCATTAGACCACCAGCACCTCGGACCAAAACAAATGCTTCGTCGGCCACACCTCCGGCCTTCCTTCGGCCACAACTCCCCTCTCCCCTCTCTTCCCGTCCTCAGCCAGCAAGGTGTAACGAAACCCAGTGAAAACGACCACTAAACACATAGCAAGACGTACTGCTGACTTTAGTTACCTTGTGTACACAAGAGGCAACAAAAACAATCCAGACACAACCATTAGCCCCTGCTAGCATTGCTGTGATATGCAATTCTGACAGTTAGCTAGCTAGCGATAGCATCATTAGCCGAACAAAATCATAATAGGGGAAACGGCAGGTTAGCTAGCGAAGCTAATGTTGGCTACTGTAGCAGGTCAACAGTATGTAGCAATCAAGTTACTTACACATGGAGAAGAAGAAAAAGCCACTTCTGAGTCAAGCTGGAGCCTTTCATCCGCTCTCCATCTTGGTAAAGCCAGACCAGAATTGGCTCCACAGTCGGAGTGGGACAGTTATTCAGCCTTGGACTTATCCACCGGGACCGGGCCACGCGAATTCCGCTGAAGAAGCCGGATGTAGCCGGTAAACAAACTCTATGGATGTTCTGACGACCCACCGGCCGACCAAGATTTGTGCTGGTAGTCCCCATGACCGTCAGTCTGTTCTCTGGCCGGATGCCTTTTTAGCTGTAAAACAAACTCTTCCTTGGAGGAAGTTCAAGGTGGTAGTTTTCACCTGGACACTACACACTTCACTCGGCCATACATGGGAAGACGCTCTGTTTATATACGTGATGGTGAGGGGAAACAAACAGAGACACATTCAGGTGAGGAGGGCGACTTCATTCTCCGCTCAGGACGCCATTACTACACTTGAAAATGAACGTTATACTTTCTTGTGTGTGCCCCCTGTGACGTGCGACAAACTGTAATTACTCTGCCATTTGGCGCCAAAGAAGGGTCGGCTTTCCTCGGTCGCCGGTTTGGAAATACGTTGGTGGTCCCTCCCCTTCCGCTACGTCACAAGATGGCGACCGTTCCAGCGTTCCACACTCAACTTTTCAATAGTGCATCATCCGGGTACCTATAGTACATTTAATGTTTATAGTTTGTCAGTTAAAGAGTACACAGCATATCTTTACATAGAAAATACTTGTTTGCAGCGACATTATTGTTTAAAATCTCGTTTACAGGTGAAAAGGTGATCTTAATTTTGCCCCCAAATGAACATGATGTCACAAAAATGCCCTTATTTGTAAAACTTATAGTGGATATACAAACTAACACCCAAACACAGAAACTCAAAATCATGTCAACATCACCATTTATAAATTTCAAGTTAATTTTACACACAGATACATAAGAGATGTATTTAAATAATTTCAATAAAAATAAAAATCAGAAAAACAAAAGACAAAGAATCTACAGTACTGAAGGCCATGAGTGTGGCAGTTGTTTGTTTTTTTTGGGGGGGGGTTGCAAATGTGCACTTATAGAGTGAAAACACTCACCAGCAGCACTCACATTCTTCAGTCGTTGCATTTAAATTGCTCTGAACTTATTCAAATGTGTGAACACTTCCAAGTCATTTAACTGCCAAACACCTGAATGCAGCATTCATCAAGTGAAGAGCCTCAAATGAATGAAAGCTTTCAGCTATGACAGCTGAGCCAATCACATGTTAAGGAGGGAAAAATGAAGCAGCACGCCTGAGCCCACTCATGACTTAAAGCTATAATATATAATTTTTCCACATTAAAATGTCTGAAAACGACTAGACCTGTTACATATTTTTACGAGTTGTGCACTTATATAATTCCAAATGTTTCCAGCAATTTTCAAACATAGAGAAATACATGATTTTAATCATGGCAACGGTCTGTTTCAGTTGGTCATCCCCTTGTGTTGGCTAGATGCGGTCAAAATTGACTTTTTATTTAGTTTGAAGCTACATTCTTATACACTTTTTAGGAGAGAAGGCCTCTGGTTAAAACCTCCTGAATGACTGACACTGAAGGACTCCACACCGAGAGAAACCGACTGCAATCATGGCAACAACTCCCATGATCCCACGCTACTTCTTTTGATATAGTTTTGATTTTAATGCTGTGTATTTAACTGTCAACGCCAGCTTTGGTCTGTCCCGGTGAACATGGATGTTTCATAAAGTACTTCCGCTCTCTGCCTCCCCTGCAGTCCACAGATCCCCCTCTCGCAGCAGTGGCTTGGACCGCTCTGAGTCCATGCTGTACGGAGGGAGCATGGGGCAGCTGAACGGAGCGGGGAACGTCTACCTGCCAGATTACTCTGTCAGACAGCTCACACACCTTCAGATCATCAAGGTAACACCTCGGCAGTTTGGGGCTTTTCTTTGCTCGGTTTATTTGTGGATTTCATTAGGAGCTCAGTAAAGGGTGGAAATGCTTTAAATATAAAGTTGAAACTACAAAGAGAAGTCAATGAAAACATGATTATCTCCTGGAAAGAGGAGGAAGGCTTCACTGATATTTGGCCATTACTGAATAAAATATCTTAAAGTTGGTATTTTGGCCTGAGGAAAGCTGTGTGTTAATAATAATACCCACAATGCTGCTGTGTGTCAGATAACCCGCAGCCACTACCAGAACGCTGTAACGGCCACCAGGATGGACAGCTCTCCTCAGACCCCCGATGCAGACGCTCGTCCCACAGAAGGCAACACCCCGACCCCGGAGCCCCCGACAACAGAGCATGCCGCCACGCTGATGCCCCCGCCACACACCACCGCCACCCTCATGCCTCCGCCCAGGGAGCCCGGGCGGCCCAGCTCAGCGAGAACCCACGGACAGCAGTCCAGCGTCCCACACAGCACCTCCCTGCTGAACGAGAAGAACCGCATCGTCCGTAAGTATCCTCGCGCCCAGAGACAGACGGTGGCTGGTGAATCCAATAAAAAAAAAAAAAAAAAAAAAAAAGAGAGAGCTGAACAGGAAATGACAATCGTGGAGCAGGTCAGACCGAGGTCAGTGAGAGATGATTCGAGCCGTCAGAGGCAGACAAACAAAGCTGCTCCTTCAAATTAGTTTTTTTTTTTCCTGAATCCATTAGGGTGCAATATTCAGGATGAATAGAGTTCAATAACCCCAAGCAGCTCACACTGGAGAAACGTTTTCAGAAGAGAGACCGACAGAGATGATGAGAAAACATAAAGACAAGACAGAAGCTACATCTCTGTGACTTTGTTAGTTCTGATGAGAAACTGTGAGTTATTAGTGTCAGATTACCTCTATGATTTATGGGTAAGAGCTAGTTTTCTGGAAGAACATACATGTATTATATATTGTATAGAAACAGCATGGATGAAAATAGTAAAGGATTATTATCTCATTATTTTAATGTAAAATGTTTCGCTCCCAAATGAAAATGTTTGTTTGAAATCAAAATGTTTTAAATAATACCAACAACCTGATTGGTTGTGTGGTGAGAGGGCAGCTCACATAGCATATTTCAAGTGCAGATTAAATTTTATTGTCACCACTTAACTACAAATGCAAAGTTTCCCCAAGAGTATTTCAAAAAGAATTCCAGTTTTTTATTACAGTAACTTTATGCTGATGCTTATGATCGTGCTGATGCATCACAGCTGTCGGTGATGTGTCTTTAAATGCACCACTGGAAGAGCAAACACAATGAGATTACAATGTGTTTAAATATTAACGTTCCACTAGAGTTGAATTACTTTGGACAAAGTGGTCTGCAAAGTGGAGACTACCTGTATGTGTGCAGACTTATTGATTCTTGCATGGACTAACGTTTTACTTTAGGAAAGAGCTGAACAGGTGGAAAACAGGACATTTAAAAAAAGTCACATGCAAACATACCTGAGAACCACCTGAACGGACGGACACCATGTCAGCACATTCTGACGGAATATAAATATAATTATGACTCTGATGTATTCAGTCAATGGACCTACTGTTCGTGGAGTCACATAGGTCAAGAGCCGTTGCTGTAATGATGCCACGTAGGTGTACAGTTCAAACTCAGGTTAAAGTTGTGTGTAAGCATTTAATTATTTCATCGTTATTTTTACTGTATTTGCCCTTTTTTGTCCGATAGTTCACTTTTTAAGCTCGGTACGGTCAGTCTTAATGTCTAGGGACGCTTTTTGGTGATTTGTTGTTCAAAATCCCTCATAATCCATGTGTGGGAGACATTATTTTAAAAATGTGGACTAACCCTAAATAAACAGGACTCACGTTTGTGTGTGTGTGTGTGTGTGTGTGTGTGTGTGTGTGTGTTTCAGGGAGTAAATCTGACGGCCAGAAGAGTCCCAGCGACTCAGTGTTTCTCAGGATGGACGAGATCCCGTACATCAGAGAGGACAGATCTGAGACTGACACACACACTGGTACGACGTGTGGCTCCATTAGCGTATCAGCATGACATCTGTCTGGTCACACAGACCGTCACAAATAATCCACTACATGTGGCGATAATAGTTAGAAATTCTGTGGGTGACACGTGGTAACACTTTATTTTGAAAGAACAGATGAACCGGGTGGTTAGCATGAGCATAGGAAGTTTTCAACAGCATCATTTTCCAAATAAAGCAATTTCATTTTCACATTGAACTTTCCACAAGTTCCTAAAAGTTGTTTGTCTTTAGTTTCATCTTGTGGACAGAGACTTGGAGTCATACAGGACTTTAATCTGTCCCCCAACAGAGGCTAAAGCTGTTCATCATTGACGGGGTCATGACTAGGTCTCTCTCTCTCTCTCTCTCTCTCCCTCTCTCTCAGACATGGCCTCTGTTCCCATAGAAACGGACACGTCTCCTTTCATCAGCAGCCTGTCGCTGAGCGGCTCAGAGGACACACTGGGCAAGAAACTCCTGCTCAAACTCAGTCAGTCCCACACTCACACACACATACACACATGCACGCGCGCGCACACACACACACACACACACACACACACACACACACACAAAACCCACTTATTCACCAACCTTTTCTATACTCTCTCTCTCTTTCTCTCGTTCCCTGCTTGGCTCTGATTCACATGCAAACTGAGCTGCATACTCACAATACACACTCTCACAATCACAGCTTCCCTTCCAGAACCATTTAAACTTACATTTGTGTTTTGGGCTTTCCTACTTTGTATTCTCGTGTTGCTTCTTAAAGGACATTTCTAGTGTTTTTCTTTACTCTATGGATGTATACATTACCGCAGAGCAACATGCAAAGCTTAGCACCTGAGCCAAAGTAAATGTAGAGGTGAACGTATTTCCTGCTTGCCACTGATTTCTGTTTGTTTCAGTATGGTAAGAAAAACACAGAGAGTTACACATGGGTGTATGTTGGGTTTCACTATAGGCGGGGACACAATGAAGTAAGGGGTTCTTCAACCAACAAACAAAAACCAAAAAAAAAATATATGTATTTTCTACATTTGCATACATTTATACAGATTCACTGTTTAGAGATATTTTATCAAATCAATCAAACTGAAACCGTAAAATTGATAAAAGAAGTATTTTAAAAAGAGATGGGAACATGTTACATATATGTTGTAGTTAACTGCATAATGATGTATTTCCAGTGCAATGTGCCGGCTAATCAAACCAGTCCACGATTCCCAATCTGCACTGGTTGAGTGTTGAGTGCAAAGTTAGCAAGAGAATAAAACCCAGACTGAAAAATGACAATGAACATGTTGACATGTTTTGTCTCCTCAGGCCACAAGAAGAGGAAAAAGTCTCGCGAAGGGGAGAAAACACCAGAGGACATTTCAGAACAGCCGCTGGTTAAAACCTAGCAGGGTGTGCGTGTGTTTGAAACGGACCTGAACACTCCATCATCCGATGGCTCTTTAAGTTGTTTTGTAAAGACCGTGTGGTCGGTGAACTACAACTATCAGAGTTTTATCTGAGAAAACACACACACACACACACACACAGGAGATTATAAGGCTGCAGCTTTGGTGATACTCATCGTTGAAACTGCAGCCTCTCATCTCGACACGTTTTTCATGCTGATGCTCGTATATAAAGGAATGACAGCGAATGTAAAAGATTTGTAGAAAAACATTTTTATACACTGTATACCCTCCTCACATGTGAGCACTTCTCCAATGGAGCTAAAGGAAACGACGGTGCACAGGAAAACGGATGGAAGACACCAAAGATGTTGCTGTTTTGTACACACTTGCTCCAAAATGCACAGGAGGAATCTCAACGAAACAGAAGTTTAACTAGTTGCTTTGCGTTTGGGCTTTTACTTTGAAATGTTGCCTGTTTAATGCTTGTTAGATCTATAGCCTAATAATTATAACATAACAGTGTAGAAACATTTTTTTTTTTTTTTACCTTTTATTTATCTTCAAACAAGTATTTTCTTCACTTTCCAAATTGCAGATGGACACGCACACTTCTCAACGAAGTATCCCATAATGCCATAAGTATATGGTGTAGCGGTTTTGGAATTAGAGGTTCGACCATCACATATCAGTGTAATGTCGGTTCTCTCTTTACTTTTGGATATTTAGCACTTCATAACAGTTTGTGATCAGAGCCGTCGGTCTCCTGTTTGTGTATTTTCCTCCACTGATTAATGCTTTTCTTGTTTCCAGTTGTCAAATGTGGGCTGCAGACGCATTAAAGGAACAGTTCAACATGTTGTGAGGTAGTCTATGCTTATTCGCTTTCTTGCTGAGAGTCAGGTGAGAAGATCGGTACTGCACGCGCGTCTGTGAGCTCAAACCAAGAGGTCATTAGCCTAGCTTAGCGTAAACAAGTATGCTTACAAGTTTACCATTTCAAATAGCTTGGCCAAGAATATTACTGAGCTACAGTAATTTCAGGTTTTAAAACAGTAACGGCATGTACATGTTATTCTGTTTTGCTTGTTTGAAGTGCGGATGAAGTCTTTACGCTGAGTCTGGTCAACGCAAGAGCATCTGTCCTCATCTACTTCATGGCAAAAAAGCAAATGAATGTCCAACTATCATTTGACTTATTTCCCAGATAGCAAAGTAAAAACATACACCCGGGCCCTCGGACCAATTCTGGCCCACATCTGGGCAGATTCCGGCTGTTATCCTCTGGTATTGGCTGACAGCTGAAAGATTTTGGTCCAGATGTGGAAGTAGCATCTGACATGTCATGCTGTGTGTGTGTGTGTGTGTGTGGGCCAGATCCGGGCCGTGGAACCGGGTGTATACTGAGCCAGAAGAAAACAAGCGTGTGGCTCGGGTACGGGTCTGATTTATTATCTGGGTTGCTATGTGACCAGATGTGTCTCTGCCGGTTGCTTAGATCAGCTGATCTTCAAAGCGTTTAAATTTGCTTTTCATTTGCAAAATGATGCCCCATGTTAGTGTCCAGATGTCACAACTTATGACTGTATGGAACCGATTTTCCATCTGGTTAAAGGATGAGACTGGATTTGTATGGTGCTGTTTCTTTTTTTCCCTTTGCTTTGAGGTGAAAGTCATCGCCCCTTTATTGTTCTTGAAACGTCTCCTGCTGACTGGCCTTCTTGTTTGTTATCTGAGCCTTTTATTTTGAAGATATGTGATCTGAATTGTATTTTATGCCTCGTAAAAATTTAATTTCTTTTGTTTTCCTTTTCTGTTTCGGAGAATATCTGACATGGATACACGGTACATTTAGAAATCTGGGGATTGGGCTTTCAGTTCAGATTCATTCATCACACAAGTCTTTAAATAATCATCACCTGAGCTGAGCCTTTTTTTTCTTTTTTTATCAGAGCCATCTCAATTATTTATGAATCTCATTCCTTCTGCCTTTTCTTTATCGGAGGTGAAATGAAACTGAGCTTCTGACTGCAGGGACTGTACATTATAAACATATTATTGGGTTTATGAAGTCAGCACCTTTCACAATATCTGAATGTGATACTCAAACCTCCACATGGCCCAACTTCACTCCACAGCGTCTGCAGCGGTTTCCAAACTCAATATATCAACACGTCAGTGTGAATATGAGATAATGTGCAAGTTTGACGTCGTTAGCTCACATGCAGCTTCTCTGTTCAGCATTAAAAAGATTAAACCAGTAGTTTCCAGCCATTTTAGCTTCTTACAAAAAGTGTGTGTTCAAGGAGTTCAGATTTTCTGATTTTCTGTTTTGTTTTATTTTTTGATGGAAGTAGCAGCTTCCCTCTGCTGTCTGTCCCTGTGCTAAGCTAGGCTTCCTAGTGAGGCAGTCTAGGTCTGCTATAGTTAGCTCTGTGTTAGCCTAGCTTAGAATGAGTACTGAAGGTAAAATGAAACCGTAGTCAAGCGCCATCAAAAGAAGAAACAAAAAACAACACAAACGTAAGTTTTAAAGTTAATGGCTAGTTATTTAAATGATGAATTAATGGAAATGAAGGGAAATGGGATCAGTTGGTCTGTCAGGCTACACTGCTAGCTAAGCTAAGAACTTGTAAATCTGTTATTTTAGCTGCTACTTCCATCAAAAAAAAAAAAAACAGAAAATCAGAACTCTAACCCTGAACACATAGCCTACTGTTTATTATGTAAGACGCTAAAAAGGTTGAAAACCAGCGGTTCAATCTTTTAAAGGCTGAGCAGAGACGTGTCTGTGAGCTTGCTATGTCAAACTTTAAGGAGAGATCAATAGAAAGTATATAAGAATGTTTTTTGAGGTTAACAACACGGAAAGATTTTGCCGATTAGACCTCGCTGTGATGCATCTGGTTAATAAGCATTAGACCAATAAAGACAGGAGATAAGTAGAATCCAGTGGAGTCTGGATGCTGGTTATGATTGAGTAAAGATGGAACTTTTTCAGCTGAAACATCTGGATCGACCTGCAGGATGAGGCAGGGATGGGGAGGTGGTGGGTTGCACAGACGTGGGACTGAATGAGGGAAGGCTGACTGGCTCCAGGAAAGTGGGCAGGAAGATAATACGCCAGAAATGAAGTGGGAAGGGGCGTCGTGTAGCGTAGTGGTTTAAGCAGGCGCCCCATGTGTAGAGGCTACAGTCCTCGCTGCAGTCGGCCCCGGTTCGAATCCCGCATCGGACGGCCCTTCACTGCATGTCATTCCCCCTCTCTCTGCCTCCCCGTTTCCTGTCACTCTCCACTGTGCTGTCCATTAAAGGCATAAAAGCCCAAAAAATATACTTTAAAAAAAGAAATGAAGTGGGAAAAAGAAAGTGATGAACTAGGAGGAAATGGAAAAGCAGGAAGTCCCAATCAAAAGGAAACGTGACGGACAAAGATCGTCCTTATTGAACTTTCACAAAAGCACATATTTCTTAGACATCTCTCCTTTTTTTTTTACCATCTTAAAACATATTGCAAGAATTTGAGACGAAGATTTTATCCAACATCACTAATTATTCTCTGCAGTACATACTTTCATTGCTGCCCCCTGGTGGCGTGGAGTTGAACACGCACATACAGGTCACTGGGGTGGAAACGTCTTGCTGTGCAAACTAAGCCTGAGCTGCAGAGTTCCTCCAGCATGACACAATGCCAACAAATCCTCCTCAGAAGTCCCTGCACTTCAGACCGGGGAGGGAGGTCTTTACCAAGCTTGTCTGTTTGTTCTTTGGTTTTTGACCGCCGCCCACTTTTTTGTATAAAAGCAATATTGAAAACACTTAAAGCAATGTTATTGACGTGAATGACCCTGCAGAATGTAGATGACAATGAACATGTTGTTATTAGTAACATCTGTGCTTTCCCCGCTACGATTAGTCGAAACTCATTGTCCAGTAAGAGACATTTTGACGAGCCAGTGGTCTGAATGAAAATATGTTTTTTATAAGTTTTATATAAGTGGATGTTATCGTTTTGGGATCCCTACTTGGAAATCAAAGTGTAGCTATTTGGATGTCACAGCATTGACTTATTTTAACATTGAAGAAGTTGTGTTGCTTTCTAACTACTTAAAGCACTCCCTGCATGCAGACTGCAGCCTAAAGCAAACAGCTGACAGGAGTTTTGTTTTCTGGAGGTTTTATATTTTACGCAAGTTCAAATTTGATCTTGTAAATGTTTTCAAAATAGAAAAAAAAGACATTAGAGTTACATCACTGGAACTCTGGTGTTTCATATTCAGCTGTTAAGGTTTGACTTGTGTCTGATCATTTGTCGGGTTCATGAAATATGATAACCTGTGCAAACGTGCGATGCTGCAGGTGTTGTGTCGAAGTCTGTTTCGCCTCACCTTCACCTGAACGTGACCTTATCCTAACCCTAATCACAGGGGAAGACACGTGTCGATGGGGAAACAGACTCTGACACAACACCGTCGCAGGACAAGACTTTTTTTCCCAGTTCATATAATCTGGCTGAAAGTCATGAGCATTTTTTTTAAAGATCCAATCATCACTGAAGCGTATGTCATGAAAGAGAGCCAATAAAAATAAACTGATATTGTCATACTGATATTTAAGATGTGTTGATTGATTAATGACATTAACTTGGTAACATAAAAGAAAACATTCACCCTGATTCATGTTTATCTCTTACTGTAAAAGTCTCTCTGTACTTCCATGATCTTTTACATTTAACATTTGTTTGTTTATTAGAATAATAATACACATCTAAAGCCAGATTAGTTATCTTTACAAAACGATAAAAACAAACGGAAGAAATCACCATGGTAACTGATGCTGAACTCCTAACCTGAGGCCTGTACCACAAAGCAGGATTTGAGTTTACTGAGGTAACGCCAGGTTCAACTCATCACTCCTACGAGTTTTCAAATCAATCAGGTCACAGAAAAAGCCTAATGACTAATGCTCTGATTACTAGCACCAATAGTGGTTTTATTATTTTTATAGTTATAATTAGTAGTATTTGTAGTAGTGGTAGTAGTTTGATTATTACTGTAACAACATTTGGCACCGGTGCAAGTTCAGTATCATTTGATGCACTAGTAACAGCGATACTCAGTTGTGGGTCTAATAATTTTAGATTTGTTCTATTTCCAACTTAAATACTCTTTGGGTTTTTCAGTGACATTTTTAGAAGCATCTTTTACATGTTTGTTTATCATGTACAGATTAATGTCAAGTGCAAGTTTAGTTAAGTTATAAAGTTTAGAGTTTAGTTAAGTTAGAGGGTTTAGAGTTTAGTTAAGTTAGAGAGTTCAGTTAAAGAACCTGCTCACTTGACCAACATGTTAAAATTGATTATTATTATAAGTAAGTAACTGGTTTTGGAACATCCCAAAAACATCGACTTGGTCAATGTTAATGTTTGAGGTAAGAGGTTACACTGAGCTGCGTTGTAAATGTTATTCTGTGCATGTGAGCAATGCAGAAGTCACCTGTCAGTTAATGGGGTGTTTCAGGTGGTTGCTGTTGGCAGGTGGCTGCTACGAACAAACGATGAAGGACAATACCCTCATCACAAGAGGTCATTTGAATGGCGAAAGTTTAACTATCATATTTCCTGCTATATACGTAGAGTATAAATATTGACATTAAAAAACAACAGACCAACGCTAACACAGCAAGAGTCTCAAAAGTAGTTTGTGGCTCCAGATTTTCAGGTAATGGTCATTTTATTGATAACAAGATACTGAGACAGTATGGACATAATCACTCTAACCTGCCACACTCTATGTAGTCTCAAATCCTTCCTCTGAACGTGTCCCTGAACCTGCACAGATCTGCACTTCATGTGTTTTCTGCATGATGCTGAGCAGACGGGGACGGACGGGCGTGGCTCCGTCTGACCGAGTTTACAGGATCAGATTTGTGCCAATGCAGCACAGAGGGGGGTGGGGGGGTTCAGGGAAGGCTGGGAGAAGAGCGAAACACAGATAGAGGTCTGAAGTTTCAGTCAAGATGATCAATGTAATTTAGTTTTCTGCCTGAACTAACCTGCTGTGTTGCTTGTAAAATTTTATTTTGGCGGGTCACAGGCATTAAAGAGCTGCATTTGTTTCATGGGAGGTCTCAACATGTCGGAGTAGTTTAAGTTTTCTATCTTATAAAGAGAAAGGTCTCCAGGGAATCAGTCTGTGTGTATTTAAATATGACAATCATCAAATTCAAAGATCTGTTTGTGATGAATCCTGCATCATCAGCCTCTCCCAGTAGTACTGGCTCTGTAACACATCCTCTCAGGCTGGAGAGGATGAGTCAGTGGGAGGGGCGCTTTCTAACGCTGCTCATTGGCTAATGTAACAGGAAGAGAGAGAGAGCGAGAGAGAGGGAGGGAGGGAGGGAGAGAGAGAGACAGAGAGAGAGAGAGAGAGAGGGATGAAACATCCCTTCTGGGTACAATACATCAAACCTGCTGAGTCACTTTGCTGCATTGGAGCGCCGGCCTCAGCCAATCAGCTTCACCCTCTGAGGTTGAACCCAGACAGTGAACTGATCCTGCTGCAGGATGTTGGTGATCAGAGTGAAGATTCAGTGACATGTTGCTTCATTACCATGAACACACACACACTGTGGTTTGTTTTGATTCAATCCCACGTACACCATCCCACGCATGGAAATACTTACAAGAGCAGTGGTTCTCAAAGTGGGGTTCGGGGACCCCCAGGGGTCCTTGGGGGGGTTGCTGAGGATCCGCAGCAAAAAGGGGAATATTTTATTTTCACTATAATTCCATCCATAAGTAAAACAATGACAGGATGACTATTTTTGATCATGGGTTCAAACACTTTCTGTAATAAAAGATCTAAAAGCTAAAATCTTATCAACTATGGGTCTAAATTGTGTCACATTAGGGGACGTGAAAAATTAAATAGTCCCCAACAAATTCACTCTTTCCACCTAATGGATTTATGCTTACTAAGAAGTACAGCGCCAAGCTGCTTCAGGAAATGACTGGGTGTCGTTTTTTAAAGTGACACTACACATTTGGTAAGATTTACTTTAGGCTTCAGCCTTACTGAATATTGTGGTATTTCGCACCAAATGTGATATGTTTCATAATGATCGGGAAAAAAAATTCATGCAGTTTCGCACAGTCTGATCTTCTGCTCATTCCTGCCCTGATGTCACTGTTTTGCTTATTGTTGTCATGGTTTGTCCTCCATACATACCTGCCTTCAGTTGTTTTCCACTCACCACTCCCTTGCTCACCCCATCTGCCAGCCACACCCACCTCGTCAGTCACTTCATTCACCTGTTCACTCAGCTGCAGCTCTTCAGCAATCAAGCCTGGTTAAAAGCTCCACTCTCCTCCACACTCACTGCCAGATTGTTCTTTGTTCCCATGAAAGACTTTCCAGCGTTTACTCTTCATCTGATCTCCCGGTTCCGACCCTGCCTGCTCCTGACCTACCCGCCTCGTCTCTGCCCTGGTAATTACTTCAGCCCTTCTGTTTTTGACCACGATTCTGCCTTGCCTCTTCCTGGTCTTCGTCTGCCTGTTCTCGGGGCTGCTCTGAGTCCTCCACCTCCGCTGCTGCAGCGTGTGAGTTCTCCTTGTTTCCCCATTGATCATCGCTGGGACAGAGTCCTCGTCTCGACCATCGTGAGTGTTCCTGTGTTACTCACCTGCTGGTTTTTCGGTCCTCTGCCTGGTTCCGACCTACCCTCTGCCAGGTACGGCTGCCTCATCCACAGCTTCATTCTGGGCCCTCGGATTTTCCCCAAGCCCCTCAAAGACTGCCATTCCCCTTTTGAATTGAACTGTGTTTATTTACCTGCATCTACTAACAATAAAAGTCATTACCAATCATCGGTTCTAGTCGGTGCTGCTTTTGGGTCCAAACCTCACCCATTACAATTGTTCATTGACCAATAAAACTTTGAACTGCTGTTTAGTGGCAGCATCGCTTACACCTGAAACATAAAATACATATGATTACACATTATAAAATTAAACACCTGAAACATAAAATACGATATGATTACTTATTATTATAAAAAAACACCTGAAACATTATATAATTATGTACTGTTAAAGAAGTTACTTGTAAGTTTTGGTATTGCTACATAGCTAAAGTTAGCACTAACAGCTGTTCAGCTGTTTAGCTTCAGCCATTATGGTGTTTACAATACAAAAGGATGTAATACATCCTCTGACCAGCTACTTCTTCTGGACGCTACAGTGACTCGGTATCAGAAAATGACAAGACAGGCCGACCCAGTCGGGGCAAACAGGCCTGACTTGTCGACCCTGGTGAGCCAGGCTTCATAATCATTAAAGTATATAAACAACGTTAGAGATACCAGATCAGGGCCATGAGAAAACATTTTACCATCCATTGATTAATCACATTTACTCTTGGTGCTTTATTTTCACATTTTATGATTGAAACTACTTATACTTTTATTATAGTTATTTACAGAGATTAAGTTCAGGACGTGTCATTAGTTCACACTGGTGACAAACATCTTTGACATATTACAACGGTAAACTCCTCAAATTATAATTAGGGTGTTGCACACGCTGTCAACAATGGACTTTTATTCTGAAAAGGCTTCACATTTAGTGAACTACATTCTGCTTTGATGAGTGACCCCAGAGATTTACAGGAAGTTCAGGTCCTCTTCAATAAAAACTGTCTTTGCATCTTCATATCAGTAAAATCCTGAATACTAATAAACTACTGCACTGTGGCACATTTCATCCACATAGAGACAAAACTTAGGAAAATCAATCACAACAAAGGAACAGATTTAAACTTTATCTGTCTTCATAGCTGCTAAATAAAATAATAAGATGAAAATTAACAGAAAAATCTTTAAAGCTGAAATCAATGTTCTACTTCCTGTTTCCACCAGGTGAGTCCCACCTTTGCTTCAACATCATCTAAAAAAGATCACATGAAACCTGTGTAAAGTTACAGTTGTAATTATAAATCTGGAGTCTGTGTGTTATTTATCTATTTCTTTCATTAAGTGTGAGAGGCTCTAACCTGACTGTAACTTCACACCAGGTCTTCCTGCTCCTCTGTGTCTTGTGTCTGTGCTGCAGTGGTGCTGTTCTCATAACCAGGACAAGAGTCTACCTGATGGAGAGAGGTGACAAAATGACACTCACTGGACCTCATTCATCACACCTGCATACAATTACATTTTATTCTAATGTTTTTAATCCTGTTTAAAACTGAATTATGTGATGAAATGTGATGTGGTCAAATACTTTACTGGTTCATAATGAGAAAGTTGTATTTTAAATATAAATTCACTTCACATCTTCTTCAGTTTCCAGAGCGTTTATGAGCCAAGTTATAATAACTGTGATAGAGAGTAAGTTGTGTAAGTTTTGTAGGACCTCTCTGTCTCTCACCTCCATCATCTCTACAGCTTCATTTGGTTCAGAGTTTGAAATTAAAGTTTAAAAAAATCACACCAATCAACAAATACAAGATTTAACATAATGAAATTCATCACAAACCAAAAACTACAGGAAGTTTGAAGAAGAAAAATAAAAGAGCAGCGATCTGAACTGATGGATGTTTTTATTGTTTTACCTCTGTCACAGACTGCAGCGACGACAGTGGAATTCAGCATCAGACACCAGAGTCAATCTGATGATGTTCAATATTAATACGGATTTGTACTGTGAGAAGTGAGACCAACAGAGAGGAAGAACATTAGCAGTAAGATTAGACTCGATAGATCAGTTTGTCAGGTGTGCTTGTCAGTCAGTCAGCCAGGTGTCGTCCATGTTCAGTTATGATGAGGTCTCAGTACACAGCTACAAGAAGTCTGAAAATCCTCAGACTTTCTTTCTGCATCAGCTGAAAGTTTTCTTTATGTTGATGACGTCTAGTGGCCAAAAACAGTGTGTGTCAGATGGAATGGTGTGTGAACTCACCTGCGTACAACATCAGATCTTAAGGTGATTTACGACGTCCTCTTTGTGTTCTGGGCTTTCACAGTAATAATTTCCCACTGGGTCAGTCTGAGTGTCAGTGAATGGTTGAAGATCCTGCCTGAAGCTTCTTGTGAGTCTCATCTTCTTCGCTGTACCGCTTAGGATGTAATCTAGCTGCTGGGTTTTAGCATCACTGCTACAGGTCAGATTCACTGAACTGCCCTCCACGTATCTCACCCACGAGGGACTCACTGACAACAGCGAGGAGCTTTGGAGCATCTGGAGGAGGGAATATGATGGAGAACGTTAACATCAATATGAAAATGTGTTTTATCTCAGATATTAACTTTAATGCAAGGACGACCTTTATAAGTGGAAGTGAATATTATTGATGTCCAATAGATTAACAAAGGTTGCTCAAATATTAGACATAACTGTGGTAGTGGAAGGTTTAAGTTGCACATTGTATTAGGACCCAACTGTGGAGTAAATAATCATCAATTGGAGGGGCGCGTGATCCTCACGTCCTTTCAAGAGACAGGAATAGCTGTTTGTCATCACTTTAACAAGAACTACTACGGAAAATGTTTCCTCCTCTCATTTTAGTCGTTCTTGTAACCAGACATATGAAGGACGTCAGCTGCATTTAACAACTGCTGTGACACTTCAGCTCGTCCTGGGTTGATGATCTTTCCCCAGCATCCTGGGGAGAATGTCTGACATGTGACGCTAAGAACAGACATTAACTAAACTAGAAAAGTTTTACAATCAATAGCAACACACACAGATTCTTCAGTCGTATGATTGGAACCAAAATGATTAAAATTATCCTGTTGAAAACGTTACCTTGTGACAAGACAAAGTGACTCCAGGTTCGACCTTTTATATTTCCACTTGGTTGGTTTGTTTGTGAATCTGACATGTACCTAGCTGAGTCGCTCTTCTCTCTAGGTCTCTAGATTCTCAGAGTGCAACCTGTCCATGGTATGACAATTATACCTCCACGCACGACCTCTGTAGTCTGAGTCTGTTTCTCACGATCCACAGCTCATAATCCATTTAGGTAAAACCAGAATGTCGTTCCTCAATGGGTGAGTATTCACTGACCATTATTCTGAAAGGGTATAACGTGTAGAGCAGCTTATTTCACTGTTGATATACTTTTAGAGACAATTTTCGATGTGTATTCACTAGCATCACTTAGTTGAATCACATCCGCACCAGCGACTACAGTGACCCTAATCACCTAGATATACAACAAGCAAACCAGAAGTCAACGAAGGGATGAACTTTCATGTGAGGTTCTCAACATGGGAAACCCCATGCTACATGACTAACATACATTTGTTAAAACTACTTTGGCTCCATACACTTCTAACTGTGAGGTTTAAGACAAAGATGTGTGTCAGTTTGTTATATTATGTCTATATAATGTTACTGAAGGTAAGAGTCATGTTTTCTTCCTATGGTCTCTTGCGCGTTTTTATTCAACTATTTAAACTCAGGATGTTAATAATGTTTTGACTTTTTGACTGTAGTCTCTCGTAATTATAGCCACAAGTGAAGCACCCGACATGGAAAGTCCTAACAGAAAACCTTGGACCTGTGAATCTATTAATGCAGCTGTACAATGAACAGTGTGAAGAGGAACAATTATTATTATTTAGAAGGGTGTGAAACTTCCTTGTTTTAGAGTTTCCTCTCTGTCTCACTCTGCTGTGGTAGGTTGTGTGCTCAGTATTATGTATGTATGTATGTGTACCATGTGGTTGCTACTGTATGATGATTAGTGATCAGGAAAGAGCAGGCACTGCTGACGCATACAGGAGTGGAAACAGTCACACTGACATCAGCAATAAACAAAATAAATTGACAACATTCTGTTTCCTCATTCTTGAGCCTTGGTTAGATGTTATGCTTGTTCTCTTTAAACAGAACGTTAAAGACATTTGCTAGATTTAACTCTTCAGTTATACTGAATCCTTTCAGATGAACCACTTACAGCTCCTATTTTATATACAGTTAATTCAAACAGCACAACTGCTTACTGTGCAAATAACACTCACCGACTAAATGTTGACGGTCAAAACTACTGAGAATGCTGCATGGTGGAAAAACACACTGAAACAGATCTAAGGACTTTGGTTTAACAGCACAATTAAAAAAAAAACAGCTAAACAAGTGATGATAAGAAAAATCCACATTAGAAAAAAACAACATTAACTGCACAATTATTATTCATCCTGCTTTCAGCTGATTACTCAGTAAGTTACTGAACGTCCTAGAGTTTAAATGTAGAATTACAGTACCTGTACAGTGAGGAGGAGGACGACCAAATCCACTTGATGCTGCCTGTTAAAACCTACATGAGCTGCTCTCCTCATCCTCTCTGTGTGACGCCAGCAGACCAATCAAAACAATCAGCTGATAGTAATATATGCAAGAAATATTTCAATACTCGGAAAATGATTCTCGTCTTACAGTAGAGAAAGGTGATTTCCTCTAAACAGCAAAACGCTGCAAACAGAGGAAAAAATCAAGCTGTGAAAAAAGACCAGACTCTCTTCCTCTTCCCATCATGAATATGCATGAAGTCTGACAAAAGTCTGAACTTAAAGTCATTTTTGTTGCCATTTTGGAGAACAGTGCGACAAAATGTTTTGGCAGGATGTTGCTTGACGGACCGAAACACATGTTCTAGAACAATGGTTGTCAAAGCTTTCGTTGTAAGAGAACCCACACTGACATGCAAACAAGCTGTGGACCCACATTTGATGCTTCAGTGACTTCACCCAGCTTACCAGGGCTAAAAACTCATTTACTGACACTAAAAACCACAAACTTGAGCTCAAATAAGAAAACCATTTGTTGACAAAAAACTGAGCATGACAGTAATTTTTACACAAACTTAGCTACACACACCGTCATACACTGTACCTTGCTGTTTAGAGTAAAGGAGAGAAATGAAAATCTCACTGCACTGAACACATGAATCACTTTTTAATCCTATTACGACCTGAGCCTTACGTAGTGGTGACAAACTGCAGCCTCTTGTGCTGAAATGAGTATTTACAACAGATAAACAGCTATGCACACACACACACCCCACACGACACACAGCACACACACACAACACAACACACACACACACACACACCACACAACCACACACCCACACACACACAGCTGCATGTGGTGGACTTATCTGACTCCAAGGCTGATCGTGTCTTCAACGGTACATCTCACTGCCACGAGAAAAGTGCTGAGAGTTTTTCATCTCTGATGCTACAAATATAACGCCAAATGAACATTTTGATACAAAGGTTATGTAAGATTTCAGGCCGATGACATGTACTTGTGCCACAAACACTTACTGTGATTCCAACCAAACTGCAACAAGGACGCTTCACACCCCATGAAAGCGGTCTCACACAACACAAATGTTTGACTGTATTTTAATTCATATTTTCTTTAAAATATACATTCATGCCATTATATCAGAGTTTTCCTCCTATGCTTCAACTGAAGTAAAGTTCAGATACAATTTTTTATTTTTTTTTTTTTAATTACGCCTACATACCCACTTTTTTTATTATGTTTGTACTTTTCTGATTCTCTTGATGCTGTAAAACTCCAAGCTATAAATAACAGAGCACAGATTCATGGTGTGTTTTTGTTGTTGTTGACTGGCTGTTACAGTGCACATGAACTCATTTTCCATCTTTCCTGACGTCTGGTTCTGTGAAAGGCACCAAAGAAATTGAAACCATTCACTCTGACATTTTTAACCTAATGTTTATTTTCTTGTTAAAAAAAAAAAGTGTAGTGATGAAAATGTTGCTTGTATGAGAGGAGCTGCTCACCCTGGTGCACTGCTGGCATTGTTTAAATCTGACAGCAGAGTATTCAAACCCCAATCCTCCTCTTCCTTTCCTCTGGTTTCTCTCTGGGAATGAACTCTGACGTTTGGAGTAGACAAACATCTCCCTGGTTCTGTGAGAAGCCAGATGCTGGCATAGTGAAGGTCACCCTGCTGTCCTGCTTGCTTGTCTCTGTTGCTGCAAGATGACGGGGTGGTCATACACTGGGACCACATTCAGCTGACGGGACAAAACAGAACTCAAATTAAACAAGACTTTTTATGTGTGCTGTTGCACAAAAATGACCGTACAGTAAAATACTTGCTGTATGGGATCACGGGAGTTGTTCGTTCCAGCTCTTATTCTCTACTTCAACAGGTTACTGAGAGTTTCTGGAAACACACGTTCTTCCACACTTAACAAAAAGCTTTCTGTTGTAATTCCTTACTGGCCACCAGCAGAGGTCGATAATATTCACAGGTTGATTAATATTGATCTTTTGCCACTGGAAAACTTTGAACTCTTCTTTCTCACCTGTGGCTCTGGTTGTAGGTTCTCTCAACACTTACACTTGCTGTGCTGAAGGAGGTGATTCTTCTTTCTAGACAGGAGTGAAAAGCGCAATTGAGTTGAATTAAGAACTGAATACATTTAGAAGCATTAGTTGAAATCATATTTCATGATGACACAGACATTACTCACTGATCCTACAGGGAAGACAGCCCGAGGGAGATAGGAGAGCAAGGGAAGAACAGCAAGTGATTGATTCCAGCAGCTGCCTGGATTTCATTGCCACACCTGGATAATCAGAAAAGCAATGACTGACTCGAGAGAGGGAAGATATTACAGGATGTTTTGAGTAAACATTGAGCTTAATACACTAGTCACACCGTGGTGAGGTTGTCTTGTCTTGGGTTTGTTTTGTCCTGTCATTTCCTGTTTTATTTTGAAAATTAATTCTCCTCTCGTTTCAGGTCACTTGCCCTTCCTCATGTGTCTCAGTCTGATTGCCCTTAGTGTTTCCACCTGTCCCCTATTTCCCCCCATGTGTTTAAATAGTCTGTGTTCCCCTTGTCTTGTGCCAGAGTGTCATTGTCCTTGTCCTGCACCAGAGCCTTGGTCCATGTCCACAGCCATAGTAATCGCCATAGTAAGCTGTATGTACCTCGTGAAGAGTGATTTTTTTGTTTGTAATTTTTTCCTTAGCTAAAGTTCATAGCCCTTTGTTTTTCCTCGTTCAAGAGTGATTTTTTGTTTGTTAATTTTTACCATAGCTTAGATTCATAGCCCTTTGTTATTCCTCGTTAGAGAGTGATTTTTTGTTTGTTATTTCTTGCCATAATTTAGATTCATAGTCCTTGGTTTTTTCCTCTTTAAGTGTGATTTTTTTTTTTTTTTGTTTGTAGCCAAATTATTTTTTATAGTCAGGTTTTTCCTCCATACGGAGCGTTTTGTTTATTTATTTGTTTCTTTTTGATTAGAGTTATTTTCCCTCCTCTTGGAGTGTTTATTGTTTCTCAATATTCAGAGTATAGTGTCTAGTTTTGTTTATAGCCATTTGTTTGTCACTCGGTCCGAGGTCTCCGGTGAATTCAATAAAAGCCTTTTGTTATCTAAAATCTCTGCATCTGAGTCCTGCTTTCAGTCTCGGCCTGACATACACAGCTCCAAAATCTCCAAGAGGTGTTGCGGTAAGTTGTGTTGTGTAGAGATCATTTTCATAGTCAAACCTTTCAGTTTTTGTCATCTATCCATCTTTAGGTATTTTAGAGACAGTTCTACTTTGGTTGAGGTCAGGTCAAGTATGTGTCACAGACATCTGCTACCGTCTGTAATAGTGGTGGGATGCAAAATAAAAGCTGCAGTAAACAGGTGTGTGTAGATGAATGTGTGTAACTCACCTGCTACAACAGTCAGATTTAAGTTACGACGTCCTCTTGTGTTCTGGGCTTCACAGTAATAATTCCCACTGTGTTCAGGTCTGAAGTCAGTGATGGTGAAGATCTGTCCTGAAGCTTTTGGTGAGTCTTCATTCTCCTTGTACCAGGTGTAATTAGCTGCTGGGTTAGCATCACTGCTACAGGTCAGATTCACTGAACTGCCCTCCAATATCTCACCAGAGGGACTCACTGACACAGAGAGAAGCTTGGGAGCATCTGGTGAAAATTATAGACAGAAATGCATAAATTCTGTGCGCAGACCTGATTTAACTAAAGTAAATCACTTTGTAGTCAGTGTCTTATGCTATATAAATAAAGTGCTATATAAATTAACTTTATTATCATCTTTATGTATGGAAGTAACTTCAAACTTTCTACAGCTACATTTTAAGACTGTAGCTGGACTATTGCTTCTTTTTAACATGTTATAAGATGAAACATCCACCATCTCTAATTTTAAATAGAGTGTCCAAGTGATTTGCCAATGTTTTCTACTCACACTGGACATCTAAGAATAGAGACGCAGAGTTGATCTGTCCATGTTTATTCTCAGACTTGCAGTAGTAGTTCCCTCTGTCCTCAGAGCTGATGGAGGAGAAATGATAAACTCCTTCTGGTCCTTGAAGCAGTTTTAGGTTCTCCTTGTACCAGGTGTAATTAGCTGCTGGGTTAGCATCACTGCTACAGGTCAGAGTCACTGAACTGCCCTCCACTATCTCACCAGAGGGACTCACTGACAGAGTGGAGGTCTGAGGACCATCTGGAAGAGATGTATTTACATTGATCTTTATGAATTGAGGTGTGTTGCAGCAACAGAAATTTTAAAGGTCTTGTGATGAATATGTCAGTGCACAATGGGAGCTACTCTGTAAATAGCAGCGGCTCACTGTGAATGTGAAGAAAGCAAGCAAAATCTGCATACAAGTCATTTGTTGCTTTAAATAAACACTTTTTACTCACATTTCACCTTAAGTGAGACATGTTCAGATGTCGTCTTCCCCAGCTCATTCTCAGCTGTGCAGTAATACTCTCCAGAGTCGGAGGACTGGACGGAGGTGAAAACAAGCTGCGGTTCTCCACTGAGCAGTAACTGCTTCTCTTTGTACCAGGTGTATTTAGCTGCTGGGTTAGCATCGATGCTACAGGTGAGATTCACTGAACTGTCCTTCATTACGTCACCAGAGGGATTCATCAACACTGAGACCTTCGGAGCATCTGCAGGATATAAACACACATTAACACGAGACTGTTATGATTAAAATATATCATTACCATCTTTCACACCTGTGTGTGTTAAAATCACTGGGCTGAACCTTGTGATTTATTTTTGGAGAAAGAGAGGCCCTCTTTATGTTTATTACACGTCCCAATAATTTTTTTTAAATACAATACCTGACTGACTTCTATCATTATATCATCTACTACACATTCATATCTTCACAAATATTCTGTCTCGGGAATAACTGTTATTTCTAAAGGACATACACGTGACAGTCTGATGTGAAAGTGGAACCCCATGAGGTACAATGATCCACTGTGGTTACCTCAATTAAATCATGCACAATCAACACCAGCACAGTATGTGCATCCATGAAGAGTTGAAAACATTTCCTTTCTCATAAAAGCTGATTTTATCCATCATTTGTTCACATGCATATTTGTTTTATTGCAGTCTTCCTCTTAAACGTCTTTGCTAATGCACTGATCAGCAAAGGTTGCACGAACATCTTAAGTGAAAATCAATATTGAAATTATTTAATGAAAATCATTTCAGTGTGTCATTGTGACATAGTGGAGTGAACTCACACACTGGAGGAGAGCGGTAACCCTCATAAGCACAGGAATAACTGTCCTCAGGATCAACGTGTCCTCTAAAAGATGGAGACGTCTCTCCCTGAATTTCTTTTTCTCTCTTGTACCAGACAAAGGAAGAACGAGCAGAGAGAAGACAGCTGCTGGAACAAATCAGTGTTGGACCGGTAGAAGTCCAGATCACCTGCACCTGCACATCTGGATCTGTGGACGAGAAGCAGATATGTCACATAAAATGAACCGTCAATAACACAGAGTTAGAGGTACGACTTCTCCCCCCTCTGGCCAGTGGATGTAAGTGCAACCCATCATGCAAAATCAGCCACTTCCCCATGTACACTTCACTCTCTTACAATGTGCTCATGCTCCACATTTACTTCTTATTTAATACAGTCCCTTATGTTAGACTTCACTTTTATCTTACCATGCAAATAACAAAATGAACATCATTAAGAAAGAATAATCTCATGAACACATATTTCAGCGACATAATGAGCTTGTGCTCATCAGTACCTGTGACAGTCAGAGTTGTACCACGTAAGCTGCTCCCCCATTCAAACCATAGTGTTTTGAATTTGAAGCGATACTCAGCTGAATCTCCCTCTGTCAGGTCAGTGATTCTCAGAGTGGAGCGTCCTCTCTCTGCTTCAAGGACATAAACACGACGTGAGTACTGGGAGTCTTCACGAAGGTCCACAGGTCGTATGTAACGCTGCGGCTGATCATTACTGAACCAGAATTTAGATTTGATAGATTGATAACTGCTGTAAGTGCAAGAAATGTCAACTGAAGAGCCTTTAAAGGCACAGATGCTTCTGTCAGTGTAAGTCACTGTGTTGCATGAAGAACCATGGACACCTGGAAAATGAAATATTTTTGATCATCACTATTCAGTTTCAGTTGGTTGTATTGCTGTGGACACAGTTACCTGTGTAGAAAAAAGATGAAATCATGGTGGTGTATAAGATAAAAATTCAAACAAGTGCTAATGTTACTGGAAGACTGTGGATTAAACTCACACACTGAAGGAGAGGGGAAATCCTCGTGTCCTTTTACAGCACAGGCATAACTGTTTTCACCATAAAAGTATGCTGGAAAAGAATGTGCATCTTTCTGAATATTCTTTCCACTCTCGTACCAGATGTAGGACGGATGATCAGGTAGAGGACAACTGCTGTGACACGTGAGACGTGACCATGTACAGGGCTCAACCACGCACCTTTTTGATTCGCTCATCTTCACCTGTAAACCTGGATTTATAAAGAAACAGACATTGTTTTAGACAGAACTGTCAACAGATAAATGATAATAGATTTACAAAGATTCAGGGTTTAACTTATGTAGTTTCCAACAGATATGTTACCTGTGACAGACAAAGTGACTCCAGGTTCACCTGTATATTTCCTTCCTGGTTGGTTTGTAATGAACCTGAACTTGTACTCAGCTGAGTCGCTCTCTCTCAGGTCTGTGATTCTCAGAGTGCAGTCGTTCTCCCCACAGTGATACTGAACACGACCTGAATACTCTGAGTCTGCTCTCAGATCCACAGGTTCATTATCACTGAATCTAGTGAACCAGAATGCTTCTTCAACTGCAGTATCAGCATCATTTAACCTGGAAGGGTAATTGAAGGCGCAGTGTATTTCCACTATTGATCCTTCAAGGGCACAGATAAGATCAGTAGGAGTGTAAGTCACTCCCCAGTCATTCTGACCCTGCATCACTGTAACAGAGCACAGCAGAAACTAAAATCAGAAACATGATAAAATAAAAAAAAATCATTTTATTTACACACACACACCATACAGCCACATGTTTTCCAAGGCGCATCACCTGAGCCAAATGAACCAGGGAAAAAAAAAAAAAAAAACTACCACGTTTTGGTGTTGGTCTGCAGCCTCTCACACACAGACAGCACAGGTGGAGACCAGTGAGGAGTGAATTTTTTACCGGAGCTGACAACAACTGCAGTCGTAGCTCTAAGTGTCATCACAACCTTTGCAAGAAAAAAAAAAAGCAAATAGTGTCCACCTGTTCAAGATTTAAACATATAGAAGAGACACATTTTCAACTTCACCATCCACCAAGGTTTGTTTTACACGAGTGCAGTGCGCTAACGATAAGCTAATAGTGAACAAGGAAAAAAAACTGTGTGTAGACTGCAGCTTAATTTGCCAAACTTTAATAAACTCATAACTACTGCCTGAGACAGACACGTCTGCCTGCATTTTTTTAGCAGTGTGAACACAAATGTGTCCTGGGCCACAATGAAGGACCTACTCTACTGACATCCAGTCCCGCCACGGCTTCATAGGCGCTGTTCAGACCTGGTATTAACATCTGTCTCGGATGATCTGATCACAAGTGGACAGCTCTCAGTTCGTCAGTTCACACCTGGCTCTAAAATCCGTCTCCACATGCGTCTCGATTGACCACTTGTGATCGGATCTCACTTCCTCGCTTTATTTATTTATTTATTTTTTTGGATTAGCCAAGAGTTCGGCGTAGTGAGGTACTGGCAAGGTGGCAATGATGTAACAGCCCACTCTGAGCTTCAAAACCGCTATTCAGAAATTTACGGTGACATCATGGAGGCTACGTCCATATATATTTAGTCTATGGTGTGTGTGAGAGCGAGTGAGAGAGAGCGAGTGGGGCACGGAGGGGTTATTTAATGAAAAGCGAGGAAGTGAGATCCAATCAAAAGTGGTCAATCAAGACACATGTGGAGGAGCATTTCAAAGTGAGGTGTGAACTGACGAACAGAGCTGTCCACTTGTGATCGGATCACTGAAGACACCGATTAAGCTTATTTTCATCGTCATGAACATGTGCAATAAACACATCACAAAAGACTGACTGAAATGCGATTTATTGGAAAAAAAAAATATTTAAAAGGCGCAGCACCTGAGCCAAATGAACTGGAAAAAAAAAAACTCACTACCGTGTTTTGGTGTCAGGCTGCAGTCTCTCTCACACACACACAGCAGACAGCACACAGGCAGCAGTGGAGACCAGTGAGGAGGAAACTTTTTACTGGAGCCCACAACAATCATGGTTTTAGCTCTGCGAGTGTCATAACAACCTTTGCAATTAGGGCCCTTCATCACTCCACATGTTAAAAAAAAAAAAAAAATTAAACACGAAGAAAAGACACATTTTCAACATCTCCATCCACAACAGTTTGTTTTACATGAGCGCAGGGTGCTAACGTTGACCTAATAGTGAACCGTTAGGTTCACCAGCAACGTTACCTGCAGCAGAGGGAGGACGCACACTTCAATGTTTGTTTATTTATTGCAAGTCATGTCGTCATCGCAAAATTTAACATTGTTAATATTGTCATACATATGTTACTGGGTAAAAAATAATGTTTTTCTCCTATGGTCTCTTCCTTTTTTATCCACTTTTGAACTCATATTGTTAATAATGTTTCTCACTTCTTCATGTTATTGCTGTATTAAGCCACAGTGAACACAGATCACTGTTAACCATACTGACGATGAAAACATCACAATGTCAGCAAGTTACCTAATTAACTGACAACGTTTGGTTCCTTATTTTGAGCCCTTGGTTGATTGTATCTTGTATCAAGTAAAAAAAAGCGAGCGCTAAACATGTAATGATAAAAATAAATAAAAATACATATATATACTGTGTATATATATATATATACACACACACATATATACACACACACATATATACATAAACATGAAAAACAACATTAACTGCAATGACAAAGCAACAAAGAAAGATATTATTTGAATTATTTGGGATCATATTAAACATTGTATCCAGAAAACTGTTGATTGAGGAATTCATTTAAGACAATTTTAGCTTGCTCTGAGTGGGTTCACTAAATGCCCTCCCAAGTAAAGTTTACAGTACCTGGTAAAGTGAGAAGAAGGATGACAAATCCACTTGATGCTGCTATTAAACACATAGCTGCTCCTCTCATCTCTCTGTGACTTAAGAGACAATAAGACACTTTAGCTGGTGAACAATGTATGAAAGAAATATCAATTATATAAAGAAAATTCTCTTTTTACATTGGAGGGAGGTGATGTTCCTCTGTGCGTAGTGCAGCAAGCAGAAGTCAGGCTGTTAAAATAAGACAGACTTCCTTCCTCTTCACTTATTAATATGCATGAGGCCAGTACAAGTCTTACAGAAAGAAAAAATGTGACAAAGAAAAAAAAACCCACCTTCTACTCCCATCTATGCTTCCTTTTTATACAGGTGGATCGCAGGAAAGAAATTTTGGCTATCTTGGCACATACAAGCCATTGGATAAGGCTGTACCCATCTACATCAAATATTAAACACGAGAAGATACTTATAATTGCTTATCAAGCTGTCATTTAGAAAGACATTCCATTTTGATCATAATTATAATGAGATTCATTTATGTATTGCAGTGAGGATAAAAACAAATGCAGTGTCACCAAAAAAGGGCAATCTTTTAAAATCTATTAGAATCAAGTGACCTGGGAAGTCAATAATATTAAGTAAAATCAGGAAAAGTTCACTGAAGTTTTAAGAACACATTTAAAGAGGGCTCACCGATTCTACTGACCTGATATCACGCAGCTTGTTCCAGAGTTTCAGGGCTCTGTCACCTCTACTTTTCAGCCTTGCCTGAGGAAAAAACTAGAGGACTTCTGCCCGAGGATCTCAGGCTACAAACTGGTTCATAAGCAGTTAAGAGGTCACATACACTGTAACATGAACAGAGGCCAGGATGAACTTTATATGTCAATAGTAGTATCTTAAAACATTCATTATGCACTATAGTTAAGAGGCTTTGATGATGGTCACAACCAAAAGGTTCTGCCCAGTGAGTTACTCTGTGATTCCCACCTATTATGTTCCAACTCTGTTTAATCAGTGTATGCAACAAACTGAATGTCACAGGCTCAACAATGCACATTCCAACCATATCTAAACAAAACAATACCCATTTCAATTTTAAGAGAATTTGTTACTCAGACCAAACCAGACTTTTTCTTGACTCTGCAGTTTTTTAAGGACAAACCAATACAGAACAAAGATAAATAAAAAGAGATGGTGTTAAGAGTATATGTACAAAACAAAAACACATGGGAAGTAATGATACTTTCTATGTAACACTGCTTTGTACTACCATCTAGTGGTAGCAGTATCAAGCTACAACTTCATCAGAAAATGCATTCAATCTTGCCAATAAACAATTTAAAGAAATTAAATAACCATTTATAGTAAAATTGGTTAACTGTGTTACCCAAACTAATAAATGAATGCTCTTACACTTTAACTTAATCAGGGGATATGAAATAAATGATTGCTGCTTCTTTTTTTCTTTTGCACCATTTAAAATACATAGAAAATGACAAACAAAACAAATTGCATACAGTGCAGGGAGAGGCAAAAAGCCCAATTGCCTTATTTAAAGCCTCCACCTGACTATGTTAAAATATCACAACATTATATGGATAGAAAATAAACATGCCAGAAAAATACGTAAACATGATGGCCGATTCACTTGCAATTAAGCAAGAAGGAAAAAATATACTCAGCACATGCAAAAGTTTATTACTCACGACCTCCCAAAGCCGTTGGTTGGACAAGCTGGGCGATGAACTGATGAGGGAAACCGGGAATGTTAAGGGGGACACCCGCAGCTGGCGGCAGCAACAACCAGACACGGTGACAGCTGAAACCAGGATCTTCTATGCTCCGAATAAAAAGTCGGAATATGTCCTGGTCCGATCCTTGAATGCGCATACACAAGTTTCTCAGTAAAAGTTCTCACATTAAAGCCTCTTAACAAGGTAATTCTGAGTTTGTTTAAGCGTTAACTCAGCGTACAACCTCAACACACGTTAGCAATACTTACTACTACGCTCAGCTACAACACCGCAACCGTTGCTAATATTTCTAGCGGGCTAACACTAACACGCTAACCGCAATTAGCATGCGTATTTTACCACACCGCATCTTACTGAAACAGTATGAAAATTACACTCAGAGATTATTTATCTTCCCCAAGCCGTAACAAGTGCTTTACCCATCGGCAAACTTTGTATCCATCAACGTAAACGGCCTAATTCTCGGAGACGTTGACATCGTTAACGCTGTAGGTTGCTAGGCACCTACCAACTGCCCACTGGTTGCTAATGCACGGGGTTTCCCTGAAATGCCGCCCCAACACCGTTTTGACTGGGCTGACAGCTCGGTTAGGTTGTGACCTGCCATTAGTGTATGTCAACCAAACTACTTGAACTACAATCAGCTTTATTTACAAACGACAGACATTTCTCTATCACCTACTGTTTTAACCTCTTAAATTTACTATGAACTGGATTTAAACACTGTAAAGGAACTAGTAACTATTCATTTAAATATTTAATATCTTATAATAACTATTTACTGCAGGTACATTTCACTGTTTTATCCTTGCCTTTATAAATTATAGACTGGGCTACAGTAGTATAGAAAACAAAAATAGAAACAAACGATTTGTAAACCACTATATATTTTAAATTATATATCTATTTATAGAGATTTGAGAAAGAAAATCAACCTGAACTTTTAAAAGTTAGGGAGACATGCCCCCATCCCTGGTGGAGATGACACCTGTGGGGCTAAGGGTGCTATGGATTTCACTTGGCTGAAGCCAGAATTATAACTGAAAAGAGGGATAACAGTTAAGACTGACTGCCTCTGATAACAAAACCTAAAAGTTCAAGTGAGCTATAGTCTGTATAGTACGCTACTGTATCCAGGTTGGATCCAAACCCAATTTTGAAAATGTTTTGTCACATTTATGAGGTAGCAAAAAAAAAAAACATGTTACCTAAATCACAGTCACAATAATTCATTAATACTCAAATAGCCTATATATATAGTAAATACAATTAAAATAATTACCATGTATGAATGTCAGAGCAGAGATTCTGGTTTTCACTCTACAGTAGGGTACTGCTGGATCTTACATTAATACATTATTTCTTAAACCGACTGCATGACATTTCATTTTATGTTTCAGTGTTTCAATAAACAACAATTTACTGCTCACCTAATCCAGCGCAAGACAGAAAATTAGTAAATCAACAAGGAAAAATTGTCACTTTAATTACAAGAGAACACTTCAAGATTCAAGAGTATTTAAATGATGTTCTTACAAAAACAGTCAGGGTTACAATTCAACCAAGTTTACTTATCAAAATCTGTGAGAACTAGTACATATGTAAATAATAAAGTTGTATAAAGCCCTATAGGCAGCTGCACAAAATGTGATCAATTGCCTCAGGTGATGTCATCTGATCCAGCGTTGGTTGGGGCTGAAGACTATGGGTTTGAAAAGTAAAGAAATCTGGGGGTGTGGAGATAGAAGTGACTTTACCAGACATACTCAGACAGAATGGCACAGCAGCCTGATCTAAGGTGGAGTTATGACACCCTCTGCTGTTCTGGGCTTCACAGTGATAATTCCACAGTTGTTATTCTACCACACTGCTGTACGAAATTTACACAAAGACAGTTTACAACATATTTGTGATAAGTTTGTTAATACTAATTTCAACACTTCCGTTTCAGCAGAGAAAAAAAAAGGTACATCCTCCAGTTGCTGTGGTGAAAATGACGACAGACAAAACGCTTATCTTCAACTTCCTTCAAAAGGAACTTCAGCCACTGGTAACTTTTCTCACAGCCACAGAATTTCAGTTGTTAATTCTGTCAACACACTGTGCATGAATGTGTTGACAGCAGGAACTCTGTGAATAATTATATCCATGAGCTCAAAATCACTATGTGATCCTCTGAGTTAAGTAGCTTATTGTCTAGTCTAATGTGTAAACCAGTTCTATCTAACCAGAGCAAAAATACATTGGGATTCCTGAGAATAAAATACAATGCAGAGCACAAATGTGATCATGTTACCAGTACAAACGGGTACAGAACAAAAACAGGTGACCCATATAATCAGTTCTAAGAATAAAAGTAGAAATATAAACAATTTGGCAACATTACAGCAGGAGAAATACTTTAGAAAGTGTGTGTAAACTACCAACAATGGATCTTTGAGTGAAAATAAAACAAGTAAAGAAGAAGAAGTAGAAGCAGAAAGAGTGCGTGGAGGTTGTTCAATGATTTGCCATCAGTATAAAACGTCTCTTTACTAACATCTAGTGGCAGAAGGAGGAAACTACAACCAGATTAGCAAATACATTCCCCACCATTGGCTGCTTATTGTGCTGTCCAAATCCATCCTAGTGCAGTTTAGTGCTTTCTCTCACCATTGTTGAGGTTCTTCATTCAAACTGATCAGTCCAACAGGTTTAACACTGCTGCTGTATGTTCTGCTTGAATTTGTAAATTTAATTAGCAATTAAAATGCAATTTGTGTTGCATTCTTAATGAGATATGGTTTAAAACCCATTGTGATTTTCTTTCATAAAAATAATGAAAAAAAAAAAATGCCATGGATGGAAAGTAGAGTAGAGATTCACTGTTTTTTGTGGCGTTTGCTGACTGTGCTGTACAATGCAGCTGGATCCTCTGGAGCTTTCTGACCTCTGGCTCTGAGAAGGAAATAAATTAAATTAGGGGATTGTGATGATATGGTATTAATGTAAAACATCCTGATCATAAAACATGTAAAAACAGTGCAATAAGGAGCTGCTCACCTCTGGGCCGTACCGGCGCTGTTAAATGAGACAGTGGTGTACTCCACCATTTCTTCTTCTTCCTTCTTTTCCTCCTTCTGTCCTTTGGGCTGAGCCGGTGTGATGTTGGAGTAGACAGGGTCGTCTTTGGAAAAGTGGACGCTGGCATAGTGAAGGTTAGCCTGCTGCTCTGCTGGTTCCACCTGTAAACATTGGACAAATAAAATTGCTGTTATTTTACATGTGTGGACGGTCCTCTGGGAGAAAGTAGGTAAGATTTTATTCACAGCAAAATAAAAAATAAAAATCAGATCAGTGCTGTTGCTGCTGTTTTAGCTCCTGGTCACTTATATCAGATGATGAAGCTGATAAATTGCCTAACTTCCCCTTAAGCAGAGTTCAAGTTTGGTAGAACTTTGGGGGCAAAACATGTCTCAATTTTAGCTGATAAAAACAGGAAGAAATAAGATTGACTTGATATGAAACCATTTTCTTTTGTCTCTGCACCTATAACTATATGTTTGTTACATCTCTGCTTAAGAGGAAGTCATTTCAAATTCCATAACACAACATTAACAGAGAAACTCAATTTTTCAAAAAAATAAAATAAAAAGACTAGGGCAAAACCTAGCACATGGCTGGACTGCATCATATTTGCCTTCAGCCTACGTGTTAACCACCAGTCACCTCCACACCATTTTCAAGCTGCTGGTCCACACTGCTAAAATCCTGATTTTATAACCGTGTTACAGACAAAAGCTGTGCTGTACTGCTTGTTCGCACCAAAGAAACACCCAATGAGGAAACGCCAACACTCGGCAGACAGACCAATGTAACTTGGTCAGTCAGTCAGTCAGTCAGTCAGTCAGTCAGTCAGTCAGTGACAGGTCCGGTCATATCTGCTCGGTAAAGGAGAGAGAAAATAAAACACTTACATGGCTCATCAGCCAAACAAGGCCGTGATATTAGTCCAATATTTAGAATTCATGTAGCCAGGAAGCTGTACAACATACGGCTCTCCAGGAATTTATTACAAATCTTTCTTCTTTTTTTAAAAGAATAAACGTCAAATTTTTTTAACATTTTAACTATATTTATAAAATGTATAAATTTTAGTTTGATTGGTGAACACCAAAAGTGCAATAATCAAAATAATGAAATCCTCAGCACCAACAGCAATACTGGAACAAATAGTCCTGTTTTAGCTAAAAGTGGGCTGGAAAATAGATAATGTAGGATTCTTGACTAAACTTTTGGGGCAGATTGGGTTTTCTTTTGCACCGGATTTGGGTCAGTTCTCCTTTCTTACCTGTTGCCTGGCGTCTGGTCTCTCTTCAGGCTCAGACTCCTGCTTGAAGACCCTCTTTTTTCTGGTCAGGAAAATTCATTTGAAATGGTTAAAACTAAGTGCAAAACTCACTGCTGACATCAACAATTTGTAATTATTTAATGAACAATTATGAAAGAGAAGCGCTCACATGATCCAGAGGAAGACACAGACGAGTATGACAGCCAGGACAATGGCAGAGAATATAGCAACAGTTCTTAACTTCCATGCTCCTACAAAACAACAAAACAAATAAAATTAATTAGATAAAATTAACTGGAGTGTGATGGTGTGACAAAGTGGGTGAGGACACACCATACCAACCATGTGTCCCAGGGATAAAAGAAGGAACTGCCCAAACACTTCCTGTATTTGTACACTGAGTTACATCTTCAGTGATGTCACTGGGGTAGACCAAGTATCAGGGGAGGTGAGTAGGGGAAGCAGGTTAAGTGAGTGTTTATTTACTGAATATTTATTGCAATTTGTTTATGAATAGTTTGCAAATGGTAGACTGAAGAGGTTTCTACAGGAAGGTTAGTGAAAACAAATAACTGGAAACACATAATTGGCAGGTATGATACAGCCCAGGTTGGCTGTAGTTAATGCAAGGTCGTATTTAAGTAGTTGCTTTTGGTTGTTGGAAATCAGTGTAGATATTTGCATGTTAAGCTCAAGTTAAGCTCAAGTTCAGCTCAAGTTAAGATCAACACTCAAGTTCCTAACTCTGGTCAGGCTCCCCAGTACAGTAATAATATGGTTTTATAAACACTGTCTTCCAACATCTTCCAACCGCTCATGATGTACAACAGGCCAGTTTCAGAGGCAAGAGGTCATGGGAAGAAAGTTGAGCTCCCACCTTCAAAGATGTCTACCACAGAAGTGCTCATCAAGCTTTGTAGGCAAGATACTGTCACTAAGATACTTTTGCCAAGTAGTTTTTTGTTGCTTGAGCTAAACCTAACCAAACTATAATAATGGAGGTGGGCAGATCAGAAAATGTACATTTCGATTGGAGGACTTTTGAGGCAACCGCGTGCTTCCTCCATTACAAATGAAGCAGTTAACATCATTTTACCACCCAACACAGGTTTCACAAGATTTGTGTAATATGCATGAAATTGTATGTAATGCAACCCAGACAGTGTATTAGGAGTTCTGACACAGAATGTGTGTAACTCACCTGCTACAACAGTCAGATTTAAGGTGGAGTTACGACGTCCTCTTGTGTTCTGGGCTTCACAGTAATAATTCCCACTGTGTTCAGGTCTGAGGTCAGTGATGGTGAAGATCTGTCCTGAAGCTTTTGGTGAGTCTTCATTCTCCTTGTACCAGGTGTAATTAGCTGCTGGGTTAGCATCACTGCTACAGGTCAGATTCACTGAACTGCCCTCCACTATCTCACCAGAGGGACTCACTGACACAGAGAGAAGCTTTGGAGCATCTGGAGGAGATGATTTGACATGAGTTGATTGTGACATGAGCTTTTATAGCATTTAAGTGTTTTAATAGACTTAAACATAAAAATTGCTATAGATTGTATTTTCAATAAGCTCCTTCCTTTGACTCACATTCCACATCAATAAATTTGTGATCAGACGTCCTCCTCCCCAACTCATTCTCAGCTGTACAGTAATACTCTCCAGACTCAGAGGGCTGGATGGACCTGAAGAAGAGCTGTGGTTGTTGACTGGGAAGTTTACGGTCATTCTCCTTGTACCAGGTGTAATTAGCTGCTGGGTTAGCATCACTGCTACAGGTCAGAGTCACTGAACTGCCCTCCACTATCTCACCAGAGGGACTCACTGACACAGAGAGAAGCTTTGGAGCATCTGGAGGAGGGAATATGAGGAGAAGTTAACATCAATATGAAAATGTGTTTTATTCTCATTTTAACTTTAAATCAAGGACGACTTTATAAAGTGGAAGTGAATATTATTGAGTCAATAGTTTATACAAAGGTTGCTCAAATATTAGACATAAACTGTGTAGTGGAAGGTTTAAGTTTCACATTGTATTAGTGACACTGTGGAGTAAACTCACACACTGGAGGGGAGGGGTGATCCTCACATCCTTTAAGAGCACAGGAATAGCTGTTGTCATCATTAACAGAGACTCTAAGGGAAAATGTTTCCTCCTTCATTTTCTGTTGGTTCCTGTACCAGACATATGAAGGACGATCAGCTACTTTAAAACTGCTGTGACACTTCAGCTCTGTCTGGGTTGATGATCTTTCCACCAGCACCTGGAGGTCTGGACATGTGACGCAAGAACAGACATTAACTAAACTAGAAAAGTACAATCAAAGCAACACACACAGATTCTCAGTCGTTAATGATTGGAACCATAATTGATAAATATTCCAGTGAAAACGTTACCTGTGACAGACAAAGTGACTCCAGGTTCACCTTTATATTTCCCACCTTGGTTTGTTATGAATCTGAACATGTACTCAGCTGAGTCGCTCTCTCTCAGGTCTCTGATTCTCAGAGTGCACCTGTTCCATGTACGACAATTATACTCCAACACGACCTCTGTAGTCTGAGTCTGTTCTCAGATCCACAGCACCATTAATCCATTTAGTAAACCAGAATGTTTCTCAACTGTAGTATAGTAACCATTTATTCTGGTGGGTAACTGTAGCTGCAGCTTATTTCCACTGTTGATCCTTTGAGGCACAGATGTGTTTCGAGGGTAAGTCACTCCCAGCCATACTGACCCTGTATCACTGTAACACAGAGCACAGCAGAAACCACAATCAGATTCACACAACAGAGAGAAACTTTATGGAGGTTCTTCAACATGGAAACCTGCTACATGACTAAAATACATTTGTAAAACTACTTGGCTCCAACACTTTCTCACTGTGAGTTTAAGACAAAGATGTCTGTCATGTTGTTATATATTGTTATATATATGTTACTGAGGTAAAGTCATGTTTTTTCCTATGGTCTCTTCCTTTTATTCACTTTTAAACTCATGATGTTAATAATGTTTGTGACTTCTTGATTGTAGTTGCTGTATTAAGCCACAGTGAACACAGACATGGAGAAGTCCAAACAGAAAAACCATTGGACCTGTGAATCTTAATGCAGCTGTAATGAACAGTGTGAGAGGAATCAATTATTATTATTAGAGCCTGTGAAACTTCCTTTGTTTAGTTTCCTCTCTGTTCACTCTGTGGTCAGGTTGGTTGCTCAGTATGTATGTATGTATGTATGTATGTATGTATGTGTACCCACGTGGTTGCTACTGTATGTGATAGTAGATCAGGAAGGGCAGGTCACTGTTGACCATACAGGGAGTGGAAACATCACACTGACATCAACAAGTAAAAAAATTAACTGACATCTGTTTCCTCCTTGAGCCTTGGTAGATGTTATCTTGTTCTCCTATAACAGAATATACAGACATTTGTAGATTAACTCTTCAGTTACTGAATCCTTCAGATGAACCACTTACAGCTCCATTTATACAGTTAATTCAAACAGCACAACTCTTACTGTGCAATAACACTCACCACTAAAATGTTGAGGTCAAAGATACTGAGAGATGCTGCATGTGTGAAAACACTGAACAGATCTAAGGACTTTGGTTTAACAGCACAATAAAAAAACAGCTAAACAAGTGATGATAGAGAAAAATCACATTAGAAAAACAACATTAACTGCACATTTATTTATTCATCCTGTTTCAGCTTGTTCTCAGTAAGTTTACTGAACGTCCTACAGAGTAAATGTAGATGTACAGTACCTGGTACAGTGAGGAGGAGGACGACAAATCCACTTGATGCTGCTGTTAAACTCATAGCTGCTCCTCTCATCTCTCTGTGTGACTCCAGAGACAATCAAACAATCAGCTGGTGAACAATGTAGGAAAGAAATATCAGGCATCAAGAAACAATTCTCTTACAAGAGAGAAAAATTATGTTCCTCTATACGCAGGAGCAGCAAGCAGGAGAGAGAAGTAAGGCTGTTAAAGTAAGACAGACTTCCTTCCTCTTCACATCATTAATATGCATTAAGTAAGTGCAAGTCTGACCTATGGTTATTTTGTCGTTTAACTATAAACTACGGAAGTCCTGAGGGCAAGTGAGAAAAAAAAATCTGCTGATCGATTTCCTGTCTTATCTTGTTTTCTCTTAGTTTTGGACAAACATGAAGGAAGACTCACATGGGCTGCAGGTTCTGAAAGGACAAAGAATAAAGATTAAATTCAAAATAGTCTCATGTACTTATTAAAGAAATAAGGATAAAGAAGGTTCTCTGAGACTAACATGGAGAAATTATAGAAATTAAAGAGTAACAAACTTCTGAGAGAGTGAATGAGTGGAGTGAAGCCCTTAAATAATCTTCTAGTGCCCAGGTGAACTCTTATCAGGTAAGTGAGGGGTGGAGGGTGAGAAAAAAAGAGCCAATCGGTGATAAGGCAAGGAAAGGAAGAAGAAAATGAAAGAAAATAGAGATCTTTACTACACTAAGACAAAAAGATAATACAGAACAGTACAAAGACAAATGTAAAGACATGGTGTTAGGAACACACATGGGTAATTAAACGGTCTATCAGTAAAACACTGCTTCTTACTACCATCTAGTGGCAGTAGGCTCAAAGTACAACGACATCAGAAAATGCATGGTCTTCAATAACCCAGCGTTTCGTGAAGGGTCTACATTAGGATTTAACTTTTCAAACTTTTTTTAGTTTTCACAGGTGTCATACTTAAAAAAAAATGGAACCAGTGGACAATATATTTTACTTTTCCATTTGAAATCCTCAGCCCCCTTTTTTTATTTCAGTTTAAAGTGTAAAAATATGCAAATACTAAGGTCTACAGTAATTTCCCAAACCAGGTAAAAGAGCATCATAGTCTTGGTCAACTTCCACTGAACTTTCAGCTTTAAATTTCATTTCATTTCAAAGTCAAGGTAAGAACACCCCAGATAAACCCTCCTCCTCCTCCTCCTCCTCCAGTCAGCCTGCACAGCCTCAGCTTCTCATGAATAATCAGGACTTTCTAACATCCTCCCCTTCCAGTAGGCGGTGGGGTTTTAGTCAGGGGGGAGACTGACAGGTGGACCGTCCGTGAGCCCCGTCTCTAACCTGGGAAAAAGGGACTTTTAGTGTCTTCCTCGGCCCTGGGAAGACCATGGCTCTCTCCGGGATCTGTCGGGACTCTTTGCTGGTGCTTTTACTGCAAATCGTGCTGATTTGCTCTGCTCAGGTGAGACACAGCTGCTCTTGCTTTACTCTCCTTTATCTCCTGGAAAAAAAGACTCAGTGCTCAGTGATGAGTTTATAGAAACCTTATTGTACTTTATGGTGTTTTATTTCTTATGTATTGATATATTATAATATAATTTAGATGATAAAAAGAGAATTTGGGTGTTTGTATGATGCTTAAAAGTAATGTTATATCTCACTTAAACACAGTATTATGTTGTATTCCTGTTGGCACTTTCATCTTATTTGTGTTGTTCAGTATTGTGTGTGTTGTTATAGCAAGATCCTTCTACTTTAATGCTTTTTAATTAGATCTACTTGAATCAGAACATTTTTAGAGACTCAAATGTAATTGATGGTTTTAGTATCCTGTAGATTTTCCTTCACATAAGCTTCTTCTAACCTTTATACAAAGCTGGTAAAGCTGGCCACATATAGGTATTACACATTGTTATTGTCTGAGCCATTAACAGAATCAGTATGAGGAAAGTAAATGTTGAGAAATGAAGTGAATTGAAAGTGAAAGTCGTGTTTTTTCAACAAAATCTTTAAATTTATGGTCTCAGTTTGTATTTTTCATAAAGTTTTTCTAAAAACTGTCCAAAACTGATGTCCATTCATATCTGTGTGCACACCTGGCACCAATAAGCTCCAGACAGCAGCAGTAATCTGAACACATGCAGTTACTTAGCTGGTATAATGGGACTATAATGGGAAACCAGGTTTAGTTTCACGACCTTTCCCCTCACATCACCCAAACAATGAGACTCTGTGTGAGCTGCCCTTCACACCAGCAGCAGCAGCAGCAGCAGCAGCAGCAGCAGCAGCACTGGATGATATTTAGAGATTCATTTCAGTTGAAAAAAAAAAAGCAAAAACTGATTTTTGTGTTTGTTCTGCAGAGGGGCCCAGTCGGTCCCAGAGGCCCCGTGGGGCCACCAGGAACCGCCGGCGTGCCCGGAGTGGATGGCATTGATGTAAGTCGTCGTTTCGTCTCTTCCTCTGTCGCAAATTTCAGTTTTCAGATGTGGGTCAAAGCCGTCATTCTGGGTTAATCAGCTCAGTGAACAGTGGAGCAGGTTTTAACAATGAAGTCCTTTGGAAAATAAAAATGTGTATCCATGACTTCTTCAGTAAACTCAAATATGTGTCATGTTTGCACAGATAAAAGTCTGTTTTTCTTAGTTGCTATGTAAACAACAACAACAACAACAACAACAACAACAGGGCTGTGACCAGGATTTTAGGGATGCTGAGTTCAAGTTCCTCCAATTCACAAAAGCACACGTTTTGAATTGTTCTGCTGTTATTTTATTTGTTCAGATAATTTTTTATCTTTTGCATTAAGGTCTAAATGCTGCTTCGAAGCTGCTTCACCATTTAATCTCAGTATTTTTGCTTTTAAGAAGGCCAAATCTAAACATGCTGAATCCAGAAATACTGCAATAACCCTGTAAAATACCCACCATGTGTAAGACCTTTTTAAATTGCAGAATTTAAAACGTCAGGTTGCAGTATCCCCCAAATTTCTGTGATCATGGACCAGTAAATAACTCCCTGTGCAACAAGAAAATAGGAGTTTGGACTTTTGAAAAAACGTCATTCTTCTCGTATCTTCAGGGCGACAGAGGAGAAGACTCCACAGTGAACGGCGGACCAGTGAGTGGACTCTCAAATTTCTCCCTTCACATGCAGAATACAGTATAAATACACGACTTTATTAATGATTCACTGACTAAAATCGAGTTAATGAGAAGTGAACTTCTGCTTCCAGGGTCTTGATGGCGATAACGGCAAAGACGGAGTCCCTGGAGCTCCGGGCCTTCCAGGCGCAGATGTAAGTGAAACAACATGTCGATGTAGGGGAGGGTGACTTCAGGCACAGACTGGTATGGTTTTGGTTTTGGCTGGACAAGTGTTTCACCTGACAGACACATTGGACAGCCAGTGCAGCGGGGGCCCCGTCTCTATTCCAAAGCCTCTGTTGAGTTTTGGACCCGCCAGCTGCTTTAATCGAGTAGATGAAAGTCCTGCTGGTTTAACTCTGAGGATGTATTGAATGTGTGTAAGATCTGAGCTGGAGGACTTGAGATATTCAGATCTGCTGCTGTGTGAGCAGTTTGTCTTGGCCCTCCTCTGAAGAACAGTGTGGATGGAGGAGAAAAAAAAAAACAAACATTCCTTGGATAAATCAATCTGACTATTTAAGGGAGTGTCTCGAGTAGCTTCCTGACAGAAACAGGGGTCTTTTTGTGTGGGAATCAGAGGGGCCAAGTGTAGGGGGGGGGGGGGCGCGAGTAGTAATGTCCCGGCAATGGAGTCAAGGACGGGGGGAGCGATGTACACATGGCGTGGGGGGTCGGCCGCCCAGAGAGGGCTGACAGGAGAGAACTGTATGCTGGGAAAGGCGACGCAGAATGGACTCAGTGTGTTTGCCGTCTGCTGCGGTGATGGCGCCGGTTTCATGAGAATCTGAGGAGGAATTTTCCTTTTTCTGGGTTTCTACCTTTCGCTCTGAGACAGACGTAATCTGCTCTTGTCGTAGACTGAATGTCTGGCTTCAGGTGCCGTTGGTTCGCTTCTATCTCACTGATGCCTTTGACCAAGCGGAGAGCGCTTTGAGGGTTATTTATGGAGGGGGCAAGTAAGGGGAGGAGCCAAGGCCACACCCTCACCTCTGATATCACATTTGTAATGAGTCTCTGAAGATGTGCGGAGGAGGTTTGATAAGTTTGATACAAGCACCAAATGAAATGCTGTGAACTGGGAACGCTGTAGAAACACAAGCGCTAAGATAGTAAGACACGTTGCAGAGAACAACCCAGGTTAGACAAATTTAAAATTAAATTATTACATCCATCACAGTTTATAGACTCACATCTGTGATTTCCATTTCCTGCACAGAAACAGAGAAATTCATTTGACTTGATTTTTTTGTGAACACTGGAATTACTTTATCTGTATTATTAAATTGGAGTTTTCTCAACTCAACAACTATTCTAACATATTTTATGTTATTTTATTAACTCTGTAGAAATAAAAAGTCTGTGCCCCAGGAAAGCTCGGCTTCACGATGTTGTCAGCTGTTTTCATTCTAACATGTCGGTGGTGTTTAAAGGTTTTTGTGTCATCTTTGTAGGGACCTGTCGGACCTCCTGGGGATCCAGGCCCGGTGGGTCTAATGGGGTCAAAGGTAAGTTTACCAAATTGTTTCCTGTGGCTGAATGTTCATCAAATGTTATTTCTGCTTTACAGATTCAGATTTTATAGCAGCAGATTCCTACTTGGACCCACTGTGCTTTTTCTAATGCATTTCCCTGTGCAGCAAAGATTTACAAAAGCTGATGTAGGTCTCATTTCTTCTTGTTTTCAGGGGGATCCTGGGGCACGTGGGCCAACTGGAGAGCCTGTAAGTGCAGATGATAATGCAGATCTTGCATGTGTGTCATGTCTGAGCACTCAGCACTGATGTGCTCTTTAAGTTACAGGAGTCAGGACATTTGTTTGAAGACCTGCAGCGTCACACCCACACTGATCAGTCGTTTTAACCATCTAAGGATTCATTAGAATTAGTTTGTTCAACTTTGTTACAGCACAATTTATTTAACTCTCCCACACATATTATTTTATTCATTCTGTAGTTGAACTACACCCTGAATGTACTCTTGTTACCACAGTTAATTAATCAAAAGAACGAGGCTGCTTTAGCCTGCACTTATCCCTGTCTTTATGCATCAGACAAGACTTGACTGACATTTTCTTTATTGATCTGCACTGATGTCTGTTGATCAGTCGACCTCACTGTCAATCCATGATCTCTCTCTCACAGGGTGTGGGACCTGATGGGCTTGATGTGAGTACCTTCAGTATTGTAATCCATACTCTGTGGTCTGTTTTCCCGTGTATAATTAGATCTCAGCTCGGGTTAGCATGGGAAGGTAAACACAACGATTACTGCCTCAGCTTATCCTACTGTGCTGTAGGTAAAGGAATAATTACAGTAAAAGATGAAACTTGAATGTTCATCCACGTGGAAGCAATGAACTCAAGTTTCAGTCTGGGCTCCATCAGTAAAAAATAAGTGTCCTTGTTTAATAAAATACCAACTTAGTCTCATTTTCAATTGTAAAACTTTCAATAACTTTAAATAAGAAAGTGAATTTCTGCTTCTAGGGTGAATTGAATCCTGTTTACTGAATTATTGACTGACTATTATCAACAAAAGATTAGATTGGGATTTGATTTTGTTGGATTCAAAACTACATGACTGGTTCAGTTATATAATATTTTCTGTAGCGTAGTTTGTGTTTGGACCACTCACTGCCATCCTGAGTTGTAGATTGCAGTGGTTCACTGCAAGTGTTATTGAAATCGGATCAGAGTTTTGCAGAATAACACTGAGCGTACATTAAAAAAGACTAAAGCCATGTACAGAGTCAACCTCGTCTCCTGGAAAAAAAGGAGTCCCTAAACATAACCATAAAACAGTTTAATAAACAAATACAAACAAATAAATTTTACTGATGTTTAATATCAACACTTAACTTACCAAATGCATAAATTACAACGTATCCTCATTATGCATTTATAGAAAATGTAATCTGGTTGCATGAACGAGGCTTGTTTCACCGACCTCTTCCGATCTGATGATGTCAGAGTGTACTGACCACACCCCCAGTACACTCTAGCATCAGCAGGGTGAGACTTACAGATGTAGCTTTAATGGCTTTACTTATACGTGCTATCTTAGCACTTTTCCCAATACATCCCCTTTACAAATGTCAGTGGATTATTAAAAAGAATGTGCATATTCAATGAAAGCTTTATTGACAACAGACCGTTGACAGTTCAGACATGTTTTGTTTTTTTAACAGGGTATTCCTGGAACAGACGGGCTGCCAGGTGAACTGGGCAAAGTTGGAGCCCCTGTGAGTATGATTGTCTTTTAAGTTTGTGTAAAGATGAGGTGTATTGATGCTCTTTTAAGTTGATGAAGTTTTAAGATTAATAAAAACAATCGTTTGCCTGTCACAGGGAGCGAGAGGCAGAAGGGGTCAAGTTGGTTCTCCTGGTCCTGCTGGGCCTCGGGTAAATATCGCAACCTCTGTCTATACTGCTGTTAAACACCGTCAGAGAGGCTGACCATGAAAAGTCAAGAAGAAGTATTATTTTATTTTCATGATTGCCGAGTGAGTAACACCTCTCAGAGAGGTGGAGTGATACTGTGGGGAAAATATTGACTCATAGAAGTTACTGGGTAATGATTTCCTTTGACCTGTAATCTTGTGAAATGTGATATTTACTGAAAAAACACTGAAACACTGAAAAACACTTCTTATTTCTGTCCAGGGACCTCCTGCTGTGTATCAAGGCGAGGACCTGGTAAGTTTGATCCCAAAGAAAATTAATTTACAATCACAATACTGGTTATGCACATTTTAGCCCATTTACTATAACGCTCACTTTATATCACTGCTGACAACTGAAGGTTTTGGATCAATATTTAATTCCCAGTTACCAGGCAGCCTTTTTTTTTTTTAGTTCATGTCAATAAATTCATTAGAAAATTAGATCTTTTGTCAAAGTTGTGTTACCGTGTTGTTGAGATCGCTGTGTTCACACTGCAACCGTTCAAGAATTTACTACAACAAACCCACAGCATGGAACAAAGAAGGCACAATCTAAAACACTCTTAAAAAATATTCAGCAGTAATTAACAGTAAATGAGCTAAAATATAGAGAGATTTGTTTCGTTCCCTGCTCTTTCCCACGGGGTCAGGGGTCACTGTCAGTAGAGCCCCCTAGTGGCAGGGCTCTTCCATGACCTCAAATAGGCTGTTGTGTTTTTCAGTGTCCCAACGCCTGCCCCTCTGGTCTGACTGGATATTCTGGTCTCCCCGGCATGAAAGTAAGTGAACTTTTAGTGTTTCTGATTTTATTTTCTGTCACTGATGATGACTTATTATGAAATCATTTCACTTGTCCTGTTAGTGAAATGCCCTTTAAGATTAATTCTAACATTTTGCTCCTTCCTGTAGGGCCACAAAGGGGTAAAGGGTGAATCAGGTGAGCCTGGAAGACAAGGGCACAAGGTAACATCATGCTAAAGACCTAGTTTTTAACAGATTGAAAAAAAACCACATGGCTAGATATCATATCCTGACATAACCGGGTCACGCTCACTTTCAGGGAGCGGAGGGCGAACAAGGAGGGCCGGGAGAAGTCGGAGCTCAAGGACTACCAGTAAAATATTTCACCGTACTCTCTCAGATGAAAAGTTTCCTTCGCTCAGTCAATCATATTAACATGGGACATTTCTTTCTCTTTTCCTCTGTCCGCTGAGTAATTTTAGGGCCCAGGTGGATCAAGAGGCCTCCCAGGAATAATGGGCTCCAAAGGGGACAGGGTAAGAGGTCACAAGGTCACACTGTGCACTGCAGAGTTTAATGGATTGAATTCATAAAACAGTATAAAGAATGTCTTGGCAACACGAGAAGAGTCACTAAAAGTTTCATCTAAACAGGACAAGATACAGGATGTCTTAAACCGCTAACAAAATAAAAGCTTAAAAAAGAAAATTTATGTAAAATTTTTAGGTTTACCATGTAAAACTAATGTGACCAGATGACTTGATTGTCTGTATTGACATACATACATCGAACTAGGCTTAAATTACTTCAACTTTTACTGACAACAGCAACTTTCCGATTCCCCAAACAGGGAGCTCGAGGAAAGCCTGGTGATGTGGGCCCTCGGGGAATCCAAGGAGGCCCAGTGAGTACTCATCTTATTATCACCTCCTCTGACAACTCCTTGCTATTTACACAAAATTGTGATTAAACTGAGACCGATTACATTTTTTTTTTTTAGGGTGATCCAGGCCAAAGAGGAGCCATAGGTGAGAACGGGCCACAGGGAGTGCTGGTAAGATCACAAGACACAAGACACAAATCAGACAGTGACAAACACCTTTTTTCTGCAGCTTTTATCTCCCTAAATGCTGATTCAAAGAAAAATATCACGCCCAAGAATATAATCCTTGTGGATCTAATGATATTGAGTCTAAAACAATTTTAAAGATACAGTATGTCTGTGGCCTCTTAATTAGCATCTCTACTTGTGTTTATTTCTTTAGTTTTTCCTACAAACCCTTCATTTATCAGATTATTAATTTAACTTCTTGCTATTAAAGTCTGGTTGTTTGTGTCTTTGCAGGGGGAGCGAGGTCCATCAGGAATCAGAGGAGTCCCAGGACCAAAAGGAGAGCCTGTGAGTATTGTTTCATCTCATCAAAACCAGAATCAATCAATCAATCAAACAATAAATCCACCTTCCTACCTACCGTCCTACAATTGTCTACCTACCCACACATCCTCATTACCTTTCTATGCAGCTACCTATCTACCTTTCTACCTCCACAATCATATGAATGGTGCTAATGTTTTACTTTATTCTATATTATACACTGTTCAGTCTCCAGACTATATTTTCATATCAAAGAATGTCAGCCTATTTAAACAGATTTTTATACACAAATCCTATTCGGATCTTTCCCTATCAAGCATATTACCTTCCGTTCTCTTCTGTCTAGAGTTGTACTTTCATTTTAATGTGTGTAGTATTGTGGGTAATGAGCTCTGTAATCCATAGGGTCTACCTGGCCCAGATGGTCGTGAGGGAATACCTGGGCTGCCAGGATCCAAGGTAACTTACTACTGCTAGTTTGTGTGTGAGAGCTATTTTTGCTGCAAAACAATATCGAACTTGAGCCTGTTAGCAAACCCCCCTTGTCTGACAGTTTGATTGTTTGTTGCTTTTAGGGTCTTCCAGGGAAAAGTGGCGCTCCAGGTGATGCTGGCCTTCAAGGACTTCCTGTAAGTGACCTCCGACCTCCTGATTCATCATTAACAGTTTCAAATTTGCCTTTTTTTTTTTAGCTCAGATGTTGTTTGATACTACTGTCTTCATGTAGGGTTTACCAGGCACTTACGGCCAAAAGGGACAAAGCGGTTTGAAGGTATGATCAAATCTTGTGCAATCGTCTAAACAATATGAATAACACCATAAAAACTGTACTATACTACTGCTGCTGCTGCTGAAAGTCATTTCTAGACAGTAGTTTTCTTAATGAATTAATACTGGACTGTTTTTGTTACCAGGGTGTCACAGGTGATCCAGGAGTTGTAGGACTAATGGGGTCTTCGGGGAAACAAGTAAGTCTGAAGCAAGTTGAAACATAATCCATCATGTTACAATAGGAAAGAGCCTCAGAGTGACTAAATATGTAAATGAAAACTTTAAACTACCCGCCAAAAGCCAATTTAGTCTTTGGAATTTAATTGTTTTAAGTGTTTTAAGTGTTGGGGAATTTCCTCAACTCATAAAATAATCAACCAACTTTCATTTGAAGTAGAAGACAAAAGCCAATGCTGATATTTGAATTGATGTCTCATTTGTTTCCAGGGGGAGCGTGGTGAGCAGGGAGAGGTGGGACCTGTCGGACCCAGAGGAGGACCGGTGAGTCTCTGAAATCTCCTGCGTTTACATTTCACTTACTACATTAAATTATTATATTAATTATTAACTGCATCACAATGCAAAATAAAACTTAAAAAGGGTACAATGTACATAATTACAATTGACTGTATTTAGACATCTGTTTGTGTTTTCTATCCAGACTCAGTCTTTTCTTTCTAACTTTTAGGGTGAACGAGGAGAACGAGGACCTGGCGGGCCTCCGGGATCACCAGGAGCCAGGGTAAGACCTCAGAGAGGGTGTCTAATAAAACCTCACCCAGCACAGGCAACAAACAAAGACTGACAAAGTGTCGGAAAAAGAAATCACCCAGGAAGCAGCCGTACATGTGGAGGTGACTGTTTAGAGAATAGGTTTCAATGACGTGTCTTCAAACTACATTTGTTTTTACTGCATTAAGTTACAGCAAGTAAAGAAGAATAACTCCAAAGGTTTGACCCTAATCTGGTGCACAGAAAAGTGCCAAGAAGTTCTCAGAAAGTGTGTGGCCCCAGTATAGAGCCCTGTGATACTCCAAGCATTCATTACAAGTCATACATCTCTATGTTAAATTGTCGTTTATGTTATGTCAAAGGAAAAAGGCATCAAGAAAAGACTGACAATACTTCATGATGTTCATGAAGTCAAAACAAGCTCGTCCTTTTATTCTAATATCATTGATGCCATATTGGTGGTAAATAGGAACCTGTATGGACTGGAAACGGCCAATCGCACACATTTTACATTCAGAAGAAATTATTCTTGAAGGATAGAAAAAACTCCCACATTTCTGGTACAAGATAGGTTGATTACTTAACCCTGGAAAAACAAGTTCCTCTGTTAGTTTCTTAAATATGGTTGTAGTACATGACAACATGGCAAACAACCAAGATGTGGATCACAACCGTGAAAAGAAGTTATTATTATCACGATCAAGATGTGGTTAATTATCACTCAGTCAAATACTGTCCACTATCTGTCCACAAAGTTTTCTGAAATCTCCTGTTGGCAGATAAAACTGCATGATACAACTAATTAAACCTAAGAAGAAAACGATAGAATAATACTAATATTGCTGAGGGAAAAACCACAGAAGAAATGAGGACTGCAGACAGATAGAGAAAAGGTGAAGAAAAGGATTCTGATAAAGGGAAATGTAGTCAGGCAGAAAATATTAATAATGTTTCAGCCTTTGAAAAACTTGGCAAAGCGCCAGTTGAACTTTTCTGTGCCGCTCAGGCTGCTGCAAAACTTTACTCTGTCAAACTCAAACATCAGTGCCCTGAAATACAAAGCGAGTAATCAGTGTTCATAAATACTATCTGCTGTCCTGAACGTATTATTCAACACGAGGATCGTTCACCAAGGTAAACCTTGTATCTGGGCAGTGAAGCCTTGTGCTGTGATTTCTTATTAAAAAGTTGGAAGGCCTTTATGAACTTCTGTCCCTGCAGTTAAATCTCTAATCCACCGGTGAGCGGGCATGAATGGCCTCTTGTTACAGAAATCTCAAAGCCCAAGGGGTTTTTCTGCAGCTCAGGGGGGATTCAGGGCAGGAAAAGAAGCTGAGAAGCCCTGAAAGAGCTCTCTGTTCCCCAGGAATGCCTGAAACTGGTCGGCTCACTGTACGCCACAATCAGTACCCACATATGCCCAGAAACATTGTAAGGGGGAGTGCATGCGTTCTGACGATGTGAAGCTGGAAATGTTTTTATTTTTTCTGTAGATGTGGTGAGGTGAAGGTGGGGGAGGTAACTTCACACAGATGATCTTGTGTTATGACTCTGAGTGTGCATGTGTGACTGAGTGAGTGTGTGTGTGTGTGTGTGTGTGTGTGTGTGTGCATGTACCCTGTGTATTTGACAGTTTATTTTTTCATGTGTGTGTTTAAACAGGGAAGCAAAGGTGATCCGGGCCTTCCAGGACTTCCTGGCCCTGCTGGTTATCGTGGCCAGAAAGGAGACAGGGTAAGAGATGCAAAATGGCGCAAGATAAATACACAGATGAAAGACAAGCAAGTTGAACACAATAACACCCAAATTAAAGGATCATTCCTGGTGATTTCGACTCCATAACTCTCATTTTTATAGCTTTGGCCATCGGTTCTATCACTTATAACAGCTAATTATTTGCTGAGATCCGTGTTTCATGGCAACATCACTGCAATAAAATTAGACAGAGGAACAAACATGTGCAGTCAGCTGATCGGGCGGTCTGTGATCCAGATTATCTCAACCACTTTAATCAGAGGTAAAACTGACAGTGAATGCAACTGAATGTCGGTAATAATCCCTGATTGCACAGGAAAACAAAAGAGGGTGCAACTATTGAAAATACTGCAGGTGAAGTTTAAACCAGGAAGTTCGTGTGTAAACTGTGACGGATGTTTACAACAAACAATTTTGAGTAATAGTTTCACTGCTCACCTTCTGTTGTCTTGCTAGCCGGGAGTGGGCTTGTTTACAGCTTGTCTGATTTCTGCAACAAACTTGGTGCAATGTTGGTCAAAGTTCAGTCACACACAAAATGAGAGATTCAATTTAGGCACAGTTATAGAAGAAAATAAAACAATTTGCCCTGCAACATGTGAAAAAGCCTCAGTAAACATTATTAATAATATGAAAACGAATGCTACAGATTTAGTTCTTTTATATTAAAATAGTTTCAGGTAATTGAAATGAATCATTCTGTTTTTTTCCTCAGGGTGCAGTCGGTCTTGATGGGTCTAAGGGAGAGCAGGTATGTGTCTTAAGTTTTAATATTACATGTAGACATTATGAACGTGTCAAACAGATTACAGAGTGTTGAGTCAGAGAGCAGTTGGTGCCAAAAAACTGTCATGTGTGTTTATTTCAGGGACCCCCAGGTGATGAAGGAACACCAGGAGATAGAGGAGAACTGGTGAGTGATCATCTGCTGAAACACCTGTCTGATTCAGTTTAATCAATCAGCCAATCAGGAGGACTGAAACTGTATGTAGGTCTGGAAAAGCCTGACGAGCAAGTTCTCAAATCTTTATTAATCATTATTGTTATATTAATAATCTCCATTTTACATTATATTTCATATTAAGATAAGAAATAAAACAAGTCTGGTCCTACGCTTCACTCTGCAGCATCATCACATTTTCTACAAACTCTGGATGCAGCTTTTAATTCTGTATGTCTCTCTTCCCTTCCAGGGTGACCAAGGAGAAGCAGGAGAGAAAGGATCGGTATGTTCGTCATAACTGCATCACAACACTTCAGCTCCAACTGTTTAGGAAGCAAAACCAGCTGCAACAACAGCCACGACATTTTGAGTTTTGCCATGAAAAGCTAACGCTGCTTCTGCAGCAAAATTTCATCAAAATACTCCATTAATCCACTTTTAAAAGTACATTTTCATATAAATAAACACTTGGACGTTTAAATTTAGACTCTCACTTTCTTCTTGAGTTTACATTTTATATTCTATCCGTCGCTCTTGTTTTTTGCAGACAGGCCCACCAGGAGAGACAGGAAACAAAGGACCTGAGGGTGGCCGAGGACAGCAAGGGAAAGAGGGCAAGGTGGGCCAACCGGGACCACGCGGCATGCAGGGCGACATGGGGGTACCAGGCCTCCCAGGAGCGCAGGGACCAGCGGTGAGACGATTCAGTGTTGATTATTTTGAACAAGGGACTCATTTTCAAGTGCTGGTAAAAGAAATGAACTAATGTCAGTGTTCAAAATCATCCCTTAACAGGGGGGGGGGGGGGGGGGGGGGGGGGGGGGTTGAACAGAAATTAAAGAATGTTTCATGGAATTAAACATATTTTGTTTGCGGGAGTCAACACCTCAGGGGGCAGATTACATGTGATGTTTGCCCATAATATTGCGGAGGAGGAACAAATGACTCATCGCTGTCAATGATCTTTGTTTGTTCAGGGAAAATCACCAACAGATACGCACATCAAACAAGTCTGCATGAGGGTAATGCAAGGTAAGTGTTTGTCATCTTCAAACTTTCAGATTGCATCAAACAGCTCTTTACTGTGTTGTCAGTCATGTGGCAGATCTTTAATTTTCTGCAAACGTGGTCAAACGGGGGAAACGTTTATTGGTGTGGTCTCCATTTTCATCTGAAGAGTTGCCACCTCACTCTTCGAACACTTAACTCAAGCCCAGTGCTCATACTTTTCTGGTTTTTGATCTAATAACTGATGTTTATATTGACTGATAGTCGCTCTGGACATGTGACATCATCTAATGACAAGAAAAAACACAAATCTAAACCATGTCCTCCTGTGTCACAGAGCAGCTGGCCCAGCTAGCAGCCAGCCTGAGCAGGCCTGAGTCAGGTATCGCCGGGCTGCCCGGTCCCCCCGGCCCACCTGGACCTCCGGGCCCCTCCGGGGAGAACGGTTTCCCCGGACACACCGGATCACGAGGACTACCTGGTCTGAAGGGTCCGCCTGGGTTAATAGGTCGCAAAGGACTCAAAGGTGAGATCCAGATTATCCGGTCGTCATTAGGAGAACACTTCAGCACTAGCTTCGACTCTCATTTGTTGTGGTTGCTGCTTAGTTCTGTGGTCTGATTGAAGAGGTTAGAGTTGGTGACACTTTATAATAAAAAAGAGGCGATTTAAAGCCCAGATATCGTGGATCCAGAGAAGTCAAGATCATCACGGGAGAGGGACGCATCGATCGGACCGGATCTGTACTTAATGAAAATCATCTCAGTGAATTCCAGTGAGATATATGGATTTTAAATCAGGACAAAGAGAGCTGTACTCAGACACCCTGGGATAAGGAAGTAACATCTGTTGCCTCTAATCATCTGCACGTCACATAAATTTGTTGTCAAAATTATGAGAATTTCATGTTTCATTTATATCCTATTCATTGACGCTGCAGTGACCCACTTCCCCCCTCAGGGCTCAGCCAAGTTCATCTTCATTTTAATGAAGGAGCAGATGAGGTGTGAACCCTGAGCCCCAGCTTGGCTTAAAAATAGTAACTTCAATTATGCGTTTCCTCTCGGTGATGTCTCCTCTCCGCAGGCGACCAGGGTGACAGAGGCGACAGAGGACCCACAGCGAGAGGACCCAAAGGAGAACCAGGTGCCCCCGGTCTCCCAGGTAAATGACAAGCATGACTGAGACGTCTGATTTTAGAACAATGTCCTCAGTTTCTGACTGTGGTGCATCTCCATCAAGCACTCAATGAGGATTATTTATCGTCCAACGGAAGATGCCGTTTGAAATTCAGAGTGCACTCTGCACCTAAGGGTGCAAAATACATTAAAATTAGATTTAGAAGTCAAATTAATTACATGCAACATATACAAAATAAAAGTCCTTTTTTTGGTCTATAACACAATTTCAGGCAGTACAATTGTGACTGATGCTGAGTTCAGGGCTCTCTGGGTTTCAGACCGTCTGTTGCAGAATGAATTTAGGACCAATCAGACGCCTCCCTGATGGTGCTGATGGTGGAGAAGAATCTGTACATCTTAAGAGAAACAAGTGATTTGCTCAAGGGCACTTCAGCAGGGAAGACGCTACGATTTGAAGAATCAGCTTTTCAGTTGTTACGTTTTCTTCTTTCAGGTGACTCGGGCCGACCGGCTTACGGCAAAGACGGCCGTGAAGGACAGCGGGGACCTCGCGGTGTTCCCGGTATCCCCGGCGTTCCCGGGCCTCCTGGTACCGCCGGTCTGAACGGTTACTGTGAGTCGTCGCAGTGCGTCCTACCGATGGTGGCGTCACCGGTTTCAGCGAAGGACTCCAGCATGAAGGGCCCCAGTGAGATGTGAGGAGGGAGCTGGAGCTGAACGGGAGGAAAAGTGAGAGACTGGAGGAGAAACCAGAACTCCATGGAAGATTTGTCCATTTGGGTTTTTGTCTCTTGGTTTGTATGTTTGTCTTTTTTTTTTTTTTTTTTTTTTTTTTTTTTTTTGATTTGGTCAGCTCATTTGGAACTCGATTTTTTTTTGTTTTAACTCTCAAAGCCACCTGAACAACACTGAACAACACCCCTCAGCTTTTATGTAAAAAGTTTTTACCTCAGTTTTGCCATCTCTGTACTGTAACACTAAAAAGGAGTAGTCCGTATTTTTGCCAAATTAAAATCTCACTATATGTGTACAAACCCACCAGCGCCCTTTCTATCCAAACAACAACGAAGCAAGTTTTTGTGTATGTTTATGTAAATGTGTCAATACGCAAATTATACTGTTGGATAAGGTACATTTGTTTGTGAGTATCTTTGTTGTTTATCCCCTTAAATCCCCGCCTGTGCCTTTTCCTCTAAGTGTAGGATATGTTTGATGATTTCTCTGTCATGACGACTGCTGTTTTTGTGATCGGCGGGTGGTGATGTGTGGAAACCTCTCTGGCAGTTTTATATGACTTCTTATTTATTATATCAAGGTTCGACGTGACATCTTCAAGTTGTACAAAGGAGGAAATAAACACATTTTGATAACCTCTCGCATGTTTTGTATGGACGAGTAAAGCCAGAAACTAACAGGAAAAAAATAAAAAATCCAAATTAAAGCTGAATTACTACGATCAACAGCTTTAAGATATTTCTTCCTCCAAAACAAACCTGACAATCCAGGTGTGTGCAGGCGGTTTACCCATTTTTGAGCGCCAATGCCAATATCCATACTGTTAGAAGTCATCATTAAATTTAATGTTGGTTTTTGTTTTCATGTTTGTTTATTGCAAATATTTAGACTTTGATCTGAAATGATTATTTTCAGGATGGAAAACCTTCTTTAAAAAAAAGCATTTAGTTTTGCTTCCTATAGAAAATTCTGTTCATTATAAAATTCTCCAACAATTTAATTTGATTTAATTTGATTTGATTTTTATCTTGAAGGTTAAACTTTGACCCCAAATTGAGTCTACTTGATGTTTTCTACAAGTACGTCTTGGAAGCTAAACTAAAGCCTTTACAGTTTCTTAGTGGTGCATGAACTGTAGTCATTAGATTGCATTTCAATAAAATGAACCACCAATCAGAATTATCTATTGCATTAAGGTGTTTGGTCAAGTCTACAAAGTGTAAATCAAAGTGGAGTTGATTGTGAATGAAGACAGCTTTTTAAATGTTTGTATCTCTCCGCTGAAATTCATCTGTTGGAAACACTCATCAGGAAGAACAGGAGGCTTTGGGGGTGTAAATGCAACAGGCTGTATATTTTTAAAACGATCACAAGGGGGCGTCACACACGGTGGGAGCCATGGCATCAGAGAAACTGACATTCATGCAACAATGAAAATGAACTCAGTTGAAATGTCGTCCTGAAAAATAATGCTCAGTATATTTAACAATAATTTTTGCACAATTTTTCATTCATTTTTCAAGAAACTTAATATTTGGGTTTTTTTCTCGTTTCACAAAAGAGGCTTATTTGTTGAATAAAACTTAAAGGAAACACTTTTTTTTTATCCATATAACGTTCCTAACTGTAATATGGAGCATTTTGAAATTGAACGCTAAAATATTGGTATGTTTGACCCTTTTGACCCCTTTACTATCTCATTATTTCAAAGCAAACATTTCAATGACTCATCACCCCTCCTCGTGAGTCACTCATCTCACTATCTGAACTTTTAACTAGTGCAGTTTAAAAAGGTGAAATGTTGTGAATTAGAAGTATTTAATGATTACACTCAAACTGCAAGAACCACAAAACGTCCTTAAATACAAGAATTGAGTAATAATGATTAGTTACGCTCACCACACTGAAAGAAAAGAATTGCAGTCTCACTGAGATTCCTCAGGTCTTATCTTTATAGTACTTAAGAAAGCAGATAATGAGACTAAACTTACAAAGTACAGCTATGAAAAGTAGAAAGATGAGTGAGTTTATCCCACTGAAATGAAATTTAAGAACTTAATCTTTACACTGTAATTTTTCCAGCCTGGTCAAAAATCAGAAATCATCTAATATCAGTTTGATTCTGGATCATGTTTCTGGATTTGGTCAAGAACCAAAGACGGATTTGGCACCGTCTTTTCAAAAAGGAGCCCAAACCATTTGCTTCCTATCATTTTTATAAAAAGGTAGGTACTCATTCTTAAGAATGTTTTTAGACATTTAGAAAATACTTTGACAGCCGCAAACTCCACACTCAGCTGATGAGATGCAGCTGAAAGCAAAAGCTGGTAAGTGGACTTTGTATGAACTTGTCTTTGTCCAGCTGCTGTTTCCACAGTCAAGAATAAACTTCCATACACATACAGTTATAACATGATAATAACAACTTATAACCACAGAAAATGAAAACTCATTAACACTTCTTTGTTGTTTTTTCAGTGTATCATTTAATGTACTCTCACAAGTTGGTGAACAGGTACAACTTTGTCGCTCACGGTACTAAATCACACATCCATTGATAGTATAAATAGCCAACCTAATAATAATAGTACACATTTTCAAATACATAAAATCATCAAGTATCCAAGTCTTAAGTTACGGACATCAAATAAAAAGGCATACAAAATATCGCAGACGTTGGAAGTCCAGTTTGAAGCAAAAAAAAAAAAAAAAAAAAAAAAAGAAAAAAAAAAAAAAAAAAGAAAAAAAAAAAAAACGGAAAAAAAAATTAAGATAAAATAAAATCACATTTTGGACATGGCAGTTAATTAGTAAACAGAAGGTTTGATAGATAAAAGAAAAAAAAGTACGAGTTCCTAGACTTTCAATTGACAAATATTGCAACAATTAAGCATTTTATATTAAAAAATAGTTACTGAAAGGGCATAAGTGTGTGTAAGACTTCCTGCACAAGACAAAGGCAACTATTTCTTTTTTTTTTTTTGTTCCGAGTAGAAAAATGAAACACCTTTTCCAAATGCCAGCGGGAGACGACTCCCACCTCGATTGCCTTTGTTCCACTTCGATTGTAAGGCATTTATGGATGAACCATCTGATTTCAAGGAAGGCATAACTCTTTCTAGTCAGTCTTCAAACGGAACCCTAAAATTGAACGAGGGGGGACATAATTGCTCACGTGAAATTAAAAATGTTGTTTTTAAATCAGCACATTCTCAGGCAATGTAAACGCACTGGCCAATCAAAATCTTTGGGATGCGTTTGCAGAAAAACAATTAATCCAACATCTTACAACGATACACGACTCAGTGCTGCCCTTCCTAATTTTTTTTTATTTTTCTTATTTATTTTTTTTAAATGGGCACATGAAGAGGAAACACTTTGATCCCGGTTCACACAACTCTGTGTTTTTCTTTTTTTTTTTTTTAAACTTTTTTTTTTGACACTTGATTTTGAACCTGAAGAGGGAGGGGGACAGTTGAATTACCGCGCATGGTTTTCCAAATAAAGATACTTCAACACAATGATTAAGAAAACACGCCTGCCAGGTAATAAGCTAGCAAGGTTGAATTGAACTCTTCTGTAGTGGGAAGGGTGGGGGGTTCGGGGGGGGTTGGCGTGGCTCAGGGTTTGGCTCTACTGGATGCAGCAGTTATTGCGATGGCCGTTGGAATCTTTGAAGCGCAGGCGCATCTTTGGACGATATTTCTCCAGGTAGAACAGCTGCTTGCTGTTGAATGCTCCTCGACGCTTCCTAAAAGAAACAACAGGAGATTAATTCATCTTATTTTAATGTTTAAATATTGCACATTTAAAAAGGAGCTACTTGTAGGTTTTGCTAACGCTACACAGCTAACGTTAGCATTAACAGCCGTTTACTTACCAGTCTTGAGGTTATAATATGCCATCTGAGAAGTGCTACTACACCAGGGCAGCCTGGACGTTACAGTGACTCGGTATCGGAAAGGGACAAGACGGACTGACCAGGCCGGAGCTAGCTGGTTAGCATGCTAACTCAAGTAGAAAAAAAAGAAGTGATAGAAATAAAAGCAAAATAAGTGTTGCTTTCCACCTCTGGAGACAGCTGTTGAAAGTTTGATGCCAAACTCACATTGTTCTAAACTGGTAAGTAAACAGCTGTTAATGCTAACGTTAGCTATGTAGCAATAGCAAAACTTACATATGGCACCTTTAAGTTTTCATTCTTTCTGGGCAACAGCTGGGCCAAGACCACAGAAAATGTAATATATGTCACAAAAATAAATCAATTATCCACATTATTAGCCACTAGATTATAATTAGGTGGGGATGAAGCAGCTACAGGTGCAACAAACGTCTCATCTCACTGCGCTGCAGGACAGAGAGGTTCAGGAGATCCTTTGTTTCCATTGCCATCATCTTTGACATTATTCTAGTGGAAAAAAATCCCTTTATTTTTGTGGGGCCCATAAACATTTCAATGACTCATCACACTTTAAAGCACTCCCTCCACTCCTCCTCTTGAATCACTCTTATCTCACTATCTGATATCTGAGCTATTTACAGGTATGACTCATCCCTCCCTGCTACATGTAGCACAAAATCATCCTGTTTCTGTGAAAAATACGGGTTTGTCACACACGAAAAAGCAAGATAATCTCAAAATGAAGTGGCCAACCAATAAGTGTATTGTATAGTATATGTATTATATAACTAAAATATAAAAGGGATTATTATGAAAAATGTTTAAGTGTAAAAATAAATTTATCAGATTTTTTAATATCAATATCAAAAAACAGGCTTTTGGCTTATACCTAATAAGCCTAAAGAATCCAGTATCAATCTGGCTCCATTCAGAGTTTCCTGTTTCACCGTGACGACAAAATTCACCAGGAGGCTGCATCAGCTGTTCAAACTAAACAAACTTCATCTTTGGATACTTCAGATAAAACTGCCAAAATGTTTTTATTCTCATGTGAACTTACTGTCGAATGAACTGGACAGCATCTTCATATTTCATCCCACATTCTATCAAGGCGAGCGCAACCAGAACAGGAGCTCTGCAGGGGGAAGAGGAAGTGCGTTAGTCAAGGAGAGTACATCTTTTTTTTCATTCAAAGCCACAGTTTTTCACTGCTTTTGTCTGGTTTCATCTATTATCAGAAAAGTCTTCTGTGAGTTCAATTTCAGACATCAAAACATTTCACAACCTTCAAATCTGTGACTGACTGAGCACAACTGTTAAAAGTCTGTAATTGAAAAGAAAGCTGAATGTGTGAAAAGGAGACCAGCAAATTAAAAGTTCAGAGACTGGACATCCAGATATTTTCTGAATCTCAGATCAGATTAAAAGCAGATAAGATGGAAACAGAACCGACAACATGAAAGAAAATGTACACAACTGCTATTTTTCAAACCACAACTAATGACACTTGTGTCTCAATGTGATATCACTGGATAAAGCAAACTCCCAATACCAATATTTGATGTAACTGTCACCATCTAATTTTATACAATAACACACCAAATTACACAACAAAGACATGTATGAAAAATAAGACCTGCTATTGTTGCATACGGTGCAGGAAAGTCAGTTTATAGTGCTGCAACTTCTTTTTCAATTAACAGATAATTTGTTTGAAAATAGTAAATAATTCCTGTAACAACTTCCAGGAGTGCAATGTGATGTCTTCAGATCACTTGTTGTGTTCAACCAAGAGTCTTAAAACCACAAATATTCAATTTATAATGATATAAACTTGAGAAAAGCAGCAAATCATCAGAAAATGTTTAACTTTTCTTTATTGATAAATGACATAAAACAATCAGCTAATGGACTAATTGTTTCAGCACTAATAGTGTCTGTGGCATAGATTGAAGTGTCAGTTTTATTCACGATATTTCCACCAGCAGGGACCACGTGTGAACCTTTATCCTGTATGATAAGAGCGTAATACTTTGATCTTTCTGACAGCGAGTGCTCACCTCCCCAGTCCTGCCACACAGTGGACAGCTATGCAGCAGCCGGGCTCCTCCCTGAACTTCAGCTTCAGCAGGTTCAGCCAATCATCCACGATCTGGTTGGAGGGAGGAGCTCCATCATCAAACGGCCAATCCTGGAGAAGGAGAGGGAGAAAGAGGGATATAACGTCATCGGCCCAGTTTCTTAGAAACCAAAACAAAAGAAGTGTGAAGGCTGAACCGGCAGCAGGGAAAGAAAAATGTTGTTGTAGGGGGAGCGACGGTGGTGGGGTTTTTCTTCCTTCTGTATCAGTGTCTTCATTTGACATTTTAAAAAACGTTTTTCATGGTTACATGTTAAGTTTTATTTCATTTTTACTTGCTCAATGAAGTGAATTTCTGCAAAATACAACATCATTAAATGAATCCAAATACAAAATGGTGCGATGTTGCTGACTCTCTTCCAAAGGTGAAAAGCTACTGGCTGACAGATAATTAAATTAGCGCGGCAACAAGTCGATTAATCGATAAGATGATGGACAGAAAATACATTTGTGATAAGAAATTTGATAAAAGAGAACGTTTATCCATTTCACATTAATGTAAATTGATTTAAGAGTTGGTTTTAGACTGCAGTTGAGACTAAACACTTTTTTCTCCACTTTTTATAAACTAAACAACTGATAGAAAAACACAATCTACAGTTAACTGACTATCAAAATAATCAACGGTCAGCTGCAGCTATAAATTTAACACATTAATTTATATCAGCTTCACTTTTTAAATACATTCTCAAGCAGAGGAAGATGACATTTGTACATACAGGAGGCAAAGTGATCATCTGAACTCTTTGGATCAACAGGGATCAGCTGTACTGATCTGTCAACAAATGCTTTAAAAATGGAAACATTAACACTGTTCCCTGTGAGCTCCCCTCGTCGTTTTATAAGCAATTAACTCTCACGGTCAGTCTTTAAACTCCCTAAATCTGGGCGCCATGCTGACAACAGGGGAAAGGTACAAGCTGTGACTCATGACTGCATTGTGTCTGATATGTGTGTTATTAATGGAATTTTTTTTTTTTTACATAACACGGGAAGAAAACAGCTTAAAAACACTGGGATGAAACTGATCACGCATGTTTAAAGAGGGAAACCCACAGCTGGGGAAGAAAAAACTACATTGTGTTGTTTTAATCCACTGAGAGTCACAAAGTTTGTCAGTTTTGTAGGTTTAAACTCACCAGAACCTGGATTCCCTCTTTCACCACCAGGGTGGCGTCATAGGTGGCCTCACAAACTCTCACTACGGTGGTGACTCCATATTTCTTCAGCTCCTGTAAAGAAAAAAAAAAAAACATCAGAAGGATTGATGATGAAAAGTAAACAGACAGAAACAGAACGTAAGTGAGAACACAGAGCTTGATTTAAAAATACACTTCACTGCTTTTATTCCTAAATTGAAACTGATATTTTCTTCTGAGGTTTGTTGTTTTCTAGCTTCTGTCATCCAACTCCAAAGCATCCTCGATTATTGTTTCATCTTCCCTGAAACATGTTCTCAAAGCCTTAATAATACAATTTAATTATCTCTATTTCTAACATCTCCCAACTCATTATCTTTGTCCTTATGTTTTTACATAATGTGAACGTACAGTTCCGGCAACTACCTCCGATAGCACATTCCACTTACATCTGACTGAATTAATCATCTACTAACCAATGACACTGCAGCTCACCTCAATGAACTTGTTCAGGGTGGCGTTGGTGGGATTGTGGGTGATGAGGAACCTCATGTTCTTGTAGGTGATCTCCACAGGGGCCGGTCTGTTCATACGAGCCATTGTGACAACGTAAAAAAAAAATAACGAAACCCAAAAGTCTTCCACAGAGTAAAAACACCAATGTAAACGCTTAGTTAAACTCGGAGGGAATGTCAAACACAAATGTCCAACGAGCTTCCAGAAACCCAGAAACAAAAATCCTCCGGTCTTCTTCGAGGTTGGCAAGGCTTAAAAATTAAACCAAATAAACGAAGGCTGCGACAGGCAAATGGGTAAATTTGGGGCGTCGGTGGGCGAAAAAGGGCGGACAATCGGAAAAGTAACTCAAAACCCTCTCCTTTGGAATAAAACAAAAGAAAAGGAAGAAAAAAACAAGGCTGGTTCCACCTTGATCTGGCCAGGCGGAAGCCGACGAGGGCAGTGTGCAGCGAGTGGAGTTACCCCATCCAGGCCGAGTTGTCGCTGGTTCTGGGAGGCGTCCCGGTCCTGCCAACTTTCCGGGGTCCCTCCTGTGGCTCAAGTGCTTCGGATCGATGGCGAGTTTGGCTGTTCACTCGTCTGCATAGGCAGCGTGCTGAGCCTGGCAGTAGTCCCCACTGCCCTTCAGAAACTCCATAAATGTGTGACCCAGAACACCACAGAACTGCTGCAGGACACAGAGGGGGACAAGACAGAAGAAGCCGCTTTTAAAAACACACACAATGTAAGGACACTGAGGGGCTTCTGTTGAGTTTTGGTGCGTTAACAAATGCACTCTTTGCTTCTTTAAAAAAAAAACCTACATCCTGAAACAGGACAAAACAGCCTGTAGTAGTTTTGTGTTTTTGTTCGTTAGTTCGTCCAAACATTGATCGCGTTTTTCTCTGACATTGATGTGAGGTTTCAGAGTGCACAATATCCTTATCTTAGAACAAGCTCCAGCTAATTCTTCTGGAGACATACTAGGGTTTTATATTTAAATTAGATGAATTATAAAATAACTGACTGACAGAAATATAACCATTTTAATGTTCAACTTAGAGAGCAGCAATATTTCATTTTTAATTAATGAACTAATAATGATCAATTGCTTGATCTTTAAAATGTCAGAAAACTGTGACAAATGTCGATCACAATTTTGCCATCATAGATGAGTAAGTAAAGCAGGAAATAGTCCCATTTGAGAAGAAAAATAAGAACAGTGATTGATCAATAATCAGAATTGCTTCCTCTTCATTTATCTGCAAGTCATCTTAATCAGTGCACCTTTAATTAATCAATGTTTAAAAGCAGTTAACAACCAATATACTGGACATTTGATTGTTACAGCTTTAGAAAGGTGAGGATTTGTTGGATTTTCTCAATGTCACATAATTATAAATTAAATATGTTGGTTTTTTGCAATGTTGCTCCAACACCTGCTTCAATAACCTGTGATGGACATTTGTCATTATTTTGGGACATTTTGGGAACAATTGAAAACAACACATTCAACAATAACCACAAATAATCATTTAGTTGCTGTCTGTCTTATGTTGCTGATGTTGGAGAGTTTCAGAACAGGAGAAAAACATCTGTATAGTCACACAGTTGCATCACACACTCGCTGTCATCACCTATGTGGAGTAATGCCAGTTTAGTCCGACACTGGCCCCGATACTGATGTTGGATCTCCATTCAAATCTACCACGAGCTGCCATTTTACACCAATATACAAACTGTAGCCGAGTCAGGTCAATTTTATTTAAATAGCGCCGAATCACAACAAGTTATCTCAAGGCACTTTTCGAACAGAGCAGGTGTAGACCGTACTGTACAAAAGGGAACTAATCATAGAGGAAGTTAAATTTTCTGTAGCCAAGAAAAAAAACAGGTGGTAGTGTCTTTTTATGGTTTTATGAGTTTCCTGTAGCTCATGCTTTCATATGCTGCCACCACACAATCCTGCCAAAAGCACAACATATGGTAGTAATGACGGCAATAGTAATAAAATAATAAAGTCGTCGTGTTTCTGTTTTTTATTATTTACGTTAACTCCTTCTACACTGAAAACAGGAAGTGAAATTTCTCATCTATCACTATGACTTCTTTCCTGTCAAGCGACTTAAAAACACACTTGCACTGCACTACATCAAGTGTTTGTGTATCAATCAGGTTAACACATTGTGCAATTAACATGTTGAGCAATGCACTACCGGCTGCATGAGTGTACGGTTGGATTCACATACTCAGCTGGGGAAGGTGTGAGAAATGTATGACGAACTCCTGCACCAAAATGTGAGATATGATGCTTCACAGGAGGGCAGATGGGGGAAAATATAAAAAGGGCAAAAAACTGAAACTCTACCTGCCTTAATGTCACATAAACTCACACTACAGTAGTGTGTAATATCCCAACTAATGGCTGCCAGAGTACAATAGAGGGGATGTGTCATTTCTGACATCTAGGTCATATCTATGAAAGCTGAGCTCACCATGAGGCCCTCAGCAGGGCTTTAACATACCCTCTGTTATTATCACCATTATCTTCATCACAAAACTGACATACAATATCTTTCCCTGCCTTTTAGCTGCTGATGTTTTCGCAACTTAAGAAGTGTGAAATACCTGAAGGCGTAACTTACTGGCAATGCTTTTCTGCAGCTTATGCTCCAAATACTAAAAAAAAAAAAAAAAACCTAAGCTGTTCGAGTATGCTTTGTTAATCCGGTATTTTCCAACTGAAAAAACAGCATTTGGTAGAAAATGTGACATTTTGGACAAAAGAGGGCGATTAAAAGCCCAAGAGGGAGGTGACATGAAGAGATAAAAGATGCAAGAAGCACACGAGTGGTCGTTTAAATAGATGATATGCTGTTGCATTACATTGCAAGGCTGTAAAGTGTCCTTTGTGTGAGGATAGACTGGGCGCCATCATATAACGTTAGAGGCCTATAGGCACTGTCAGTAGCTACGAGACGGACAAACCAACACGTTGCTTTCAGGTGACAAACACGACGCCTCGTTGAAGCAGCGGGCGGATAGTCTGTGTCGAAAACCACGAAGAAAATGTCACTTGTATTTTTGACTTGTTTCGCGTTAAAAATGCGTCGATTTTAACCGTTAGAAACTTCCGAGTGACTAGCCAGGACCAGCCCGTGCTGCGCATCCGATTGCCGCTTCCCTAAACATGACGAACACCACACTAAGCTTTAATTACAGCAAAAATAACGGTGACAAACGCCGCTTCAGACAGTTTATTTTACAGCCAAGTAAGAGACTTAATATTAGGCGGCAGGGTCATGGAGATATTCAACCGGGTTTGCCCCGAGCAGGCCGTGATTTCACCGAAAACGTGAAGGCCAGTTGGGAATGATAACGTACTGATTTACCGCTACAACACAAGAAGAAGGAATTAACACAAAATGGCAGCCACAAAAAACACGTTACTTACTGGGATATGCTTACTCATTGAAGATTGTAGCTTAATCATACAGCCGGTCCCCAGAAAAAGGTAAAATTATAAAACGGTTCTCCACCATACAGTCCGGTGCTGTTTCTCCGAGCGGAGCCGAAGTCTCCTGATCTGTTCGGACGACACCGACAAGCTGGAAAGAAAGAGGAAACTGATTTCCTGTCAGGATTTTCAAAATAAAATACCCATAGCTTATCCGGTGTGTGGATTTGCCCATTTCCCCAGTTTTATATCATTGTAAATATAATATAGTTGGGTTTTGGACTGTCGTTTGGACAAATTAGGCAATTCAAAGCCTTCACGTTTGGCTTCAGGTAATTGTGATGACCACTGACCAAACAATTGATCCATTAATTCAGAAAATAATCACCACATCAATCAGCAATCAAAATAATAGTATATAATAATATACAATAGTATATGGTTTTGTGTTACTAGCAGGCCTATATGTCTTGTAATATTTTTGATATATAATAATATCTTGCATAATAATTTATTATTATAACATCTCTGGAGCCAGGATTTTAGAAATACTGAGGTCATGACTTCCCCCCTTAACCAGATCAGAAAATTTGAGTATTCAAACCTGATGCCAAAAAGTCTCTCTCTCTATCTCTCTCTCTCTCTCTCTCTCTCTTGTTTTGAGCATATAAATACTGGAAAGAGCCTATAAAACACCCACCACATGTAAGCTTTTAGTTGCACAATATAAAGATGTCCTAAGTTTCTGGAAGCCCCAGTTTCTATGACAAATATCCTCAGTGGTAGCTGAATGATAAACATGATAACAAAGGAGACTAAGATGATGGAGCTGATGAAAAGGAAGAAGAGCGGCACCTTTCATGAGCACTTTTGGGATTGTTGTGAATATTTAAATGTATTTTCCTCCCTGACTTTTTAATTTCCAGAAAAAAAACCACATGTATTATACTTTGATAGGCCTATTTCATATTCTACAGTTTCAATTTCAATTCGTTTTTCTTTATCTTTTATTCCTTCCACAAATTTTGTCCCCATTAATCACGAACCTGAAGCATTACTTTGAAGGGAATCCCAGAAAACATCGGGTCCTTCCTATATTCAACTATCTCCAGCTTGACGGAGCTCTGGAAACCCCACCCTGAAAATGTGAGGTGGTCTGCCCAGACATCTCTCTGCCTCCATGCTGCACAGGTCAGGTGGTGACTGCTGAGGCCTGACTGGACCACACGTGGACAGAGCACGCCAGAAAACATATATACTAAGATATATGTGAAACATGGCCCAATTATTGTTATTATTTAACCTAAAGAGGAATTTTCTTGAACTCATTGTATCCACTTGGGCCAATCAAAATTTTAAATTCGTGTAGTTTATTGAAAATTTAGACCAAAAAAATGTTGAATTGTTGTATTCACAGTTGAATTCACCCAGGAATAAAATTAAATATAATAAAATTAAATTCTAAAAAAGTCTTACCCCTAGTGATATCCAGCCATGCATTCATCCTAACAAGTACATTGCTGTTGAGTCATTAATGTCATTTTACAGTGCAATATGGATTAAATCTTCAATCGCAGTTTATGTAATTTGTTATTGTGATAGTGATATATATCACATTATAGTAGATTTCATGGAAAACTCAAATGAGAAACTAATTATAGATAAAATAACTAAGCAGAAATGTTTGTCTTGGTTAATCCTGCAAATGAAACACCTTAATTAATTAATCACATTGATCAAAGCTGTTCCAGAAAGGCATATGCACCAGATGTTTTTCATAACACGACAATCCTTAAATATTACTTATGAGTAGATTATTATGAATCTGTGAAGTATTAATAAATGATTTGATTACAATATAAAAAAAACAGTTATTGAAAGTTCATGCTTGACTCTTACAATTTTAATTGAAAAATCCAATCTTACTACAAGGTCCATTTAGTAGCTGTTTAGGAGCTTTCAATTGTATCACACCATCTTCTTCAGCAGGTTGAGTTCTCTCTGATGTGAAGACATTTTTAGACATTTAAATTAAAATTTATTTATATATAGATTTATAGATATTAGATATTAGATAGTCCACTGTGATTTAAGGATTGAGAACAAAAAATCTACTGATAACATAGTGTGCTATGATAGAAAGCTCCAGAACAGCTAATACATGGACCTTGTATTTGTTTTGTCAGCCAAACTTTTAATACATATAACTTGTAAGAGAGTTGTACCCGTATTATATATATATATATATATTATATATATATATATATATATATATGTATATATGATTGACTGAATGATGTAGCTAGTGACATTATAAAAGATAATTAACATTTTCTTTGAGCTGATGCTGATGTTCAGCTTCTTCTTGAGTTGGAGGTTAAGAGTTTGAAGNATTATAGATTATAGATATTAGATATTAGATAGTCACTGTTGATTTAAGGATTGAGACAAAAAATCTACTGATGAACATAGTGTGCTATGATAGAAAGCTCCAGAACAGCTAATACATGGACCTTGTAAGTTTGTTTTGTCAGCCAAACTTTTAATACATATAGATTGTAAAAGTTGTACCCGTATTATAATATATATATATATATATATATATATATATATATTTATATAGTATATATGATTGACTGAATGATGTAGCTAGTGACATTATAAAATAATTAACATTTTCTTTGAGCTGATGCTGATGTTCAGCTTCTCTTTGAGTTGGAGGTTAAGAGTTTGAAGATATTGACTGTAAAACATCACACAGGAATCTAGTGGAATCAACTAATCTTTTTACATTAATTTAATCTAAATATGTAAGTTTTATTAATTTCAAGTCAATTCAACTTAAAATTTCGAGTGTTTATTTTCAGACCACTTCAGAACCTATAGGAACGTGAATTCATCTTTTTTTAGAGACAAACAAAATATTCATGGTGGAAACTTTCTGTCTTTAATACATGTTAAATTAAGTTTTGTTGCTTCTTCTCATAATGAAAGATTCATTTTGATATCTGAAGTTTAATAAACTTGTTTTCTCAAGTTCCACCAACCTTCAAAACCGACTATAATTATTCCACCTAAGTTCAGTTCTCTCACATTTTTAAGGCAGCAGAGGAACTTGTGCTTTTATGATGAACCAGCTAGAAATGATTGACAGTGTATGATTTTAAAATAACTGATAAATTGATTACAATAAGGCTTTTTAGGTTTTTCCTGACGCAGTAAACCAGGTGGACAACACAAGGAAGACTGAACCTTAAATAGAAATATTAACACGCTTTATCTTTACAACTGTTTTTTTAATATTTTCATTTCATTTTCTTTCCATTGGCAGACATTTCATATAAGACTATTTTCATTTATTAATACATTCATGCACACAACATGTTTTGTTTATAAATGTAGAATGAACATATTGTACATAAATACCACAATGCAATTTATTTCACTTGACAAGAAAATGTCAACTTAAGGTCTACTACAATACCAGCTTTTTTAGTCTTCCTTAGCAGATGGAGGTCTCCATGACAACTGAAGAGACTGCATCCACTGAGGAAGACCATGACATGCAGCTGAAAGTTGAAGATAAAGCCAGTACATGGACCTTACGGTTTTTTTTTTTTGACAAATAAAATGTTTGCAAGGTCAGAATTTTTTGAAGTAAACTGATTGTATATAAATAGTAATAATGTATATGAACAGTACTGTATATGTAATGTATTTTATTGGGAAATACTGTATTCTGAGTCATATACTTGCAGTACATTATCAAATACACCAGTTAGAATACCATGTTTAATACACTGTAAAACCTATTTCCCATTTAAGAATACAAGAAAACGAGTGTCATTATATTCAGAATATATATTTATTATCTTAGTGTATCTTCTCACTTACTTCAGAAAACTCCAGTGTTATGTTAAGTTAAAGTAAAATACAGAGCATCGTCTGGCCGAGGAGAGTGGACTAGAAGCTAAATAGTTGCTCTCAGAACATTATTGCTAACGAGTTTCCTGCCCACATTTGAAGAAAATGAGAAATACATCACATGACCTGTAGCATCATGAAGTAATGAATGTATATAAATTTATAAATGGTTTATTTGTTGAGTGTTTTATGCTGTTTTTGTAAATCCATTTTGAAATCCTAAGTATTTATTGATGGATTAATCTTTCACTTACAAATTCTTTTTACAATTCCTATTGTTGATGCCTATAATATGAAATATGAAATTAAGGAAATGCTTTACTACTTTTCCTGTGACGTCCCTGGTCCTCCGATTATGGGGGGATTTTTTTTTTTAATTCTTTTGCAATAAACCCAGAGTGAGTTTTGTGTTATCTTGCAGTTCATTTTGCTTTTATATCTTATGTTTTTATGTTATATATTATCATATATTCACCCACATGTCTGTATGATTGCAGTTAGATAGATAACTAGCCGGACACTGTTGCTGTCACACGGCTGCACTTTAGTTGTTATGATTATGACATTAGTTATATATGAGGTGTAACACAAACGACATGCAGGGGTGGTTGAAATATAATGCAAGGGAGCGGAAAACTTAAATGAGAGGCAACACAAAAGTAAACTAGGATCACCTCCTCGTGGTCGTATCCCTCCGCCACTCGGACTAGTTTCCAGTAACATCCCTGTTTATCCAGAGTCATAAAATATTAAACATCCGTGTGAAATTTTTCGTACTTAATTGATTGACTTGGCTCAGTGTGAACACATGAGGTGCTTAGAGGAACTAGTGTGAGCAGTGTAAAGCAGCACAGTGTGTGACCTCTGCTTGGATGTTCTTTGTGCCTTTCAGAGACCGCTGCAACACTGTCATCATCGTCATGGGAGACCGCGTTGGCGTGGCACCCATTAACCATGTGTTGAAGAATGACCTGGAGGAAATGGAGGAGGAAGGGCGGGAAATGACAAGGTGAAGTTCCAGATGTTTTCTTGTGTTCGTGTCACTAAAAATAATAAAGGGAAACAATGGAAACACTGTTGAATTTTAATTAAATTTTTTACAATTCAAGGATTCAGGGACAGATCGATGCTGTTGCTGCGTTATGATCCTTATAAGATTCACAATTGTTTTCAATGTGCTTGTGGTGAAAATGATCAGTGCTGAAAAAT